ATCAATGAGATTTCTTCATGTCGATGAGAATTCCTGTGATTTCTAAAACAAATAGTTTATTTTCCCCCCTTTCTTATTCATCTGTACATGAAGACTTTTTGTAGTTTTCAGAATTAAGGATGGTTCCTAGCCAATAGGGCCTAGGAGGCTAGGGTTAAATTTATCTTCAAAAGGTCCGATCTTGAATAATTAATACCCCATGAATACATTTGCAGTCAAACTCAAAGTTGTGTGACAATCGTTGCAAGTTCAGTAACCTGTCCTTTCCATCCCCCCTCCCCACAAGAAAGTCTGGCATCTGATAATGCTTTCTTATCATCGGTCTAATGGCATTTTGATCAGGTGTCATGCACCTGCGCTGTCAGTGATTTTGACAGATTAATTAAATCGGCAGTTCCAGTGTGTCGGACATACATATTGGACAATTCAACAGTGTGCATAAAGATATAATCATGATGTGGATTTTAATTCTGATAAAGCATATCAGTAAGTTATTACTATAATATAAAAAGAAGAAATGTGTTTCTCCAATTTTTTTTGCTGTAATAGAAAATCGGCTTGAAAAACCATGGTGCCGGACGTGCTCAGACAAATTGATTTTTTTTTTTTACGTGAATTCATAATTTAATTGCAAGTAACTAACAGCCAAAGTGTTGAACACTGATAGAAATAAACTATATTTTCAGTAAAATACAGGTAATAGGAAACAAAATTGACGTATAAATGTTTCATTTGTGGTATTTGGACAATATTGGAATGTTGGCATTGAGGTTTATAATTCTTTAGAATTGCCCAAATTCGTTTGGAGAGGGTACCGTACATGTCATAGAATTTGGGTCACAAATTTACGAGGCTGCTGTTAGCAGAAATATTGTCACAACACGAACAATGCTTCACTTTTTAAACCCTACCCCTCCCCTGACACGCTCTCAATTGTATACTGCCAATAGCTCATGGTCTTTACCCCCCCCCCCCCCCCCCCGGTGACATAATGCATGCAAATCTCTGCACTCATCACCACGTCACATAAAAAGTGCACCCAGCAATCACAGCATAGAACACTAAAACACAAAAATTGCCTGTGGCAGTAAGGGCATCGGAAAAATCGATAGATGCGCATAATATGCCACAGAGGTGAACGCACTACAGAGGTGTAAAAGGGATGCGTGTTGGCAGTAAATGCTCATTTGTATCTTTTTCAAGCACATGTACATGTACATGTACCGGTACGTCAATACACTTACACATGTTAAGCGATCATGCGCATTCCCGCATTGACATTAAAATGATGCATTGTTGGCAAATTTGCATTTATTTCAGCTCTGTCTTAAAGATGCGTGCCCTTTGCTCTTCAAAAAATGGTCTGACAAGTTAAAATTTGTATTAAAAAAATTTAAAAAAAAAATGTTTCCCCTGATTTTTTGGCAACCCCCTGAAAAAGGGCTTCATTTTGCGCATAAATGAACCCGCCCTACAAGAGCTGAATTATTCTATTGTCAGACTGCAACTATTCCAAATTTTGTAAAGAAATAATTCAATAACTAAATGTCATTTTCTTTTCCAGTTTGATGTCTCATTCAAAAGTGAATAAGTTGTAATTGATAGGAAAATAGCAATTGAAAAAAAAAAGGAAGAAGTTTTTTGGGGGTGAAAGCACGTGGAATCATCTTTAACCCTCACTTAGCCCAAGACCTTGACACAGTGCATCCTCCAAAATCAGCCACACATTTTTGCCATGTAGCCCCAATCCTGCAAAATCCTCCATTTTGCAAACAGGATTTTGGAGGATTTGGGTAGGTTAGTGTTAATGTAACCTACATGAACAGGTACCGGTACATGTGCATTGTAAAACTAACAGTAAAAAGCCTACAGTATTTCAAAAAATTTAAAACATGGAAAAAATCACTAATAAAAACAGTATGTTTAAAAAAAAAAATTTCATTTCACTTTCAAACAAAGTTTATAATGTCAACCATTTCTGCAAATGATGGCCACTTATATGAAAATGACACTCATTGTTTGTTAACAAAAGAAAGGTTTTGGATACAGAATTCTAAGCATCTGCCGTTTTACATCGCATTTTTAATCCTCAACATCAAAAGATTAATATTTCATGAATCCTGCAGCCACGCCATGCAATTCCTCGTTCGATCTCAACGTCTACGAACCATCCAGACTCGCGTTGTAATAAAAAAAACCAAAATCCGTACAGCCTTCACATTAATATACGCCGTGGACCTTGTACGCTGTGACATATTAAAAAAAAAAAAAGAATCCCCCAGAATGCACCAAGGTGTTTGGCCGTCAATTCCCAGAGCACGGTTCCCCAGTTGGTTTTGCCACCCTCATAAACTGCCAGCATTGGATTCGATCAATTATTTGGTATTGACTTTTCAGGGACCGACAATGATTGACTTGCGCAGTTTATGTTATTACATTTACAATGTACGTAAAAAAATTTTGGTTGCTATTCGCTGTCAAGATACATACAATCGGAGCCGTACGCTCTACGATGCTGTACATACCAGTACATGTGCAATTTATAACATACCCGGTCGACTTGATGCAGTACTTTTGTCCATATGTAAATCATTGCCATCATACATATATGTGTGTCATTAAAGCCTGTTATTTATATTTAAATTTAAGACACGTAGGGACAATTGCACATTTTAGCCGGAAATATACCTACCGATTTCATGAGAAAATGCTTGCTCAAAGTGATGGATACACTGTAGGACTGGTGTCAAATACGCTGTGAAATTATTTTTTTTCCCCTGAAATTGTATCATATGGAAGAAGAATTGAAGGTGGTTTAAGAAAAAATGTTACATGCGTCGGCAATGGAATCCAGTTACGAGACCCCAAAAATTCTGCTTTCTCTGATTTCTCGAAATGCATACCGGTACAGCGTCCCCGGAACTGAAATTGAACAAGAAGTGTTGCATCATGCACCGTTCTTCAGATTGGAGCAATTTTGTTGCTGCAAATGGAGAAAAAAAAAATACAAAAAAAAGCAAATTTTCCCATGTACCCTAACTCCCTAGGCCCTTTTGGCTAGGATTCGTCCTCAATCCTGCAAAATCCTCCAATTGCCACCATGTAAAAAATGGATACAGCCTCAATCCTCCAAATATCATTTCTTGAATTTGTTCTGTAGAGGGGTGACCATTGCCTCAGTCCTTCAAAATCCACCAACAATCACTGTTAATGGATTGAGGTACCGGTAGTGCCGATAACATTCGGAAGCAGTGCGGATGATAATCGAGCACATAATGCAGGGCCCAATGCTGGGCACTGACTACGAAATTGACACAATAGCATGCATCCTACAAAATCAACTGACACTTTTTTGTCATTCAGCCTCAATCCTCCAAAAATCCTCCAAATTGCCTGGAGGATTTTGGAGGATTGAGGAGGGTTAGCGTTAAAGATGGTAAGAATTCAATCCAATTTTACATTGAACTTGTTTCTTTGAGTGAAATGTGCAGACTATTCTGAGCCGAAGAATAAACATCGTACATGTAGCCTGCCGCCCTCAGTTGAGTTAATATTGTCAGTGGTTTACAGTTTCGCTTTATGGTAAATCCCGCAAATTAAGTTTCATCTCTGCTAATTCGATAGATGATAACCTTTCTCCGCCAGGTTTGTTTTCTTTGTTTTCTAATCACAAAGTTCTGGTTCTTCACCTCTATAGTTTCACATCCTGGGGTTTTGTTTGCGCAAGATGGAAACTAGAGAACTCCATAGAGATTTGTGCAAATACCCCCTCATCCAGGTATTGCAACAACACGTTTAAAGGGGCATTGCCCATTACTGGATCAGAAAAACAAGTTTTTATCTTTTGACATTAATTTTAAAAATATGTAGCGCAAATAAGTGGTTGAGCATAATATTAATAAAATTATATTCACTGCCATTTTTGACAAATCTAACAATGACGTATTTGGCTATAGATCAGTTGCTCTTTCGTAACACACGTTTACAGTGCATAGACCTTTTCGGACCATATGTTGCATGTGAGTGCTTGAAAATCTCCTTAACCCCCCCCCCCCTCCCAATGCATTATTCCTAAGCCAAATTTTCCCCTCGGACCTGCGCATGGTTACATTAGAGAAAAAACTGCTGTGGGCGTTTTGACATTTTCTCGGAGAAGTGCAGGTTAACTCACGCGCAGGCACATCCATGTACTATCTATCATGGGTTTCAGGGTACATTCTCCCAGCTAGCCCTAGCTCCATAGGGTATGGTTTTCATTCTAATAGCCTGCTAAATTGTCACCCGTGCCTGGGTAGTCCGGCACGTCAAGTGTCGGTCAGACTCTCCAATAACTGATACTTGAGGTTTCGTTGGAGGGGCGTTTTTGAGACAGCTCCGAAGATGTATGTAATGTGATCTTCAATGGAGACTTGCGAGAAAACTCTGGCGTTCTGGTAATGCAAAACATGTATTTTTTTCATCAGTTGTGACTTTCGACAAATTTGATATGTGTGCTATTTGATAAAGATATGGGCATGTATTCAACTGCCTCAAATTCTGCTTTGTGTGTGGCGTGTATTCGAGCTTTTGCGCACAGTTGAGGTATGCTTGGAATCTCCCGGGTCCCATTGCCAAACTTCCTAAGACTGAATTTGATAGCCTTCTCTACAGCCGCAATGACTTGACAGTGCTTGTCAGGAATGGCTACATGAGAGGAACAATCTCCAAATCCATCCTTGAAACAAGACTGTCTGCTTGTTGACTCTCTATGTCATATTAAGTACAGCCCGGGTTGATAACCTGCACATGTAATGCGCATGCAAAGCATTCATGCAAGGTGAAAGCATTTCGTTGGATTACGCATGACAGGTGTAATCTGCGTTATGGAATTACATGTACATACATTATGCACGTCCAGGCAATACTTGTTGTTTTTTAGGACATCCTGAGGCAGACCACGTATGATATGATTTTTGGACAAGATTTGATCATATTTATCCGTATGTTTTCTGCTTTTACAGATGCAAGTCGGGGACATCATTCTGGAAATAAATGGCGAACTCGTCGAGGGCAAAACTACAAAAGAAGGTAAATTTATGAAAACCGAGATGTGGAGTTAATGAAGTGTGCTCTGATGACCGAGATTTTCTGACGTGACGTGACGTGCATGTCTGGCAGGAAATCGCAATTAAGGCGCTGCTTATACTACCAGCCTGTTGAGTGCTAGGTACTAGGTGTGGATGACACCCAAAGACACCTGACCCGTTTTACTGTGAAGCGCAGCTGCTTATTACTCACTGAGTTTACCCAAGCCAAGTACTCTAAAGATAGCTTATATGCTAAAGTTTCAGCTGTACATGTACCGTATGTGGGATCCGTGCACAAGTAGCCTTCTGTAACCTTAACGGTTACAAGAAATACATTGCCGACGACGCCCGACGCTCACCCGAAGATGCCACTCTTTTGTGCACATTCGTAATAAAAAAATAGTCGTGTGTACATATACAAAATGTACTTGGCTTGATACATGTTCGCGCGCAATCCAGTACAAGCATGCGTGATAGTACTCAATATTGGATCAAGTTATATGAATTAACTTGCAAAAATGTTCTTTCTCCATCGGTGTTTTCTTGGTATTTTTACGATGTCTAATCCGACCTGCCACTGCAGTGCACCGCGGCCATGCATAGACTGGTTACCACATTTCCATCATGCCTTCTTTGGCCCTTTAGTGCGCGGCGCGGCGGGAACCAGTCATCGCTGCATTGAGCATTACGCACATGTTTACAAATCGTCACCGCGACATCGAATTGCACACTAGTTATCGCAAAGCGAACTTGTAAAAGCAACGGAGGTTTCTTCCAAAAAAATAGCAAATGTAAGTCGGCAAACAAATAAATTCAAGCATTTTTGACGCAAAAGGGTTGTTGAGAGGTGTTTTGAAAAGACAGAAAAGACAACAGGATTTTTAAAATTTATTTATTCATTTACTATTATTTATATTTTTTGATTTGCTGATAAAATTTTTAGGGTTGCGGCCTTGAAAAAGGGTCGGTCGGGTAACAAGAAGCAGAAGTTTCTTTTGGGGGGCCTAATGTTGGCAAATGTTGTACATTACCTTTAAAGGGACACGTTCTTGTGCACGTGATCTTGTTTTACTTTTCTCCCGAGGACAATGCTTTGTGTTTCCCTTTGTCCCTATAATATATAACACTCTCCTACAGACTAAGCACACGAACCTACTACAGAGGACCGTTTCCAGCAAAAGACCCAACTCCCGAGGACTGAAAGGATCTGTTGTTCTCCCTTTTGTGTGTCGGTCCTGGGGGGGGGGGGGTGGGTTATGTAGAACACGTACATGTAAAGCCTGTATGCATATAATTTGTACACGATTGCCAATTATATTTGCGTTATTTCATGCCCATGGAACCACACTGACCAGTCACCTGCCAATTGTCCTTGTAGCCTGAGTGGACAGCAGCTGACCAGAAATGACACCCTGGGTGGTCATCATCCTCCAATGACCAATTACATTCCATACATCTGGAGAGTGCGACATGTGGCCTGACTGACAGCCGTACTGACCATTTAGGGTCGAGGTTGAAAAATCTCATTTCAAAACTGTGAAGTGATGTATTGTGGGCGGAATCGATACATTTGTTACACAGATGTACATTTTATGACAATTTCCCTTTTGTTTTATCCGGTGTGTGGTGTAAATCATGTCATAAAAACATTAAATTGAAAGAGCAACTCCAACAAAAAAAACACAAGGTTATTTGTTGTTTTAATTGTTTTTTCCCCCTCATTTCCCCCCAAAACAAATTAGGGTAGGGGCTGTCAAAATAGGGTACTGTACGGTAGGGTAACCGGAAGCAGAACTGGTTAATTTTTTTGGCCTTAGCACAACATTTTTCTGCTAGCAAGGTTAGCACAGAATGGTGATCGTCAGCACAGAATTTTGTGGTAAGCAGAACCATGAAATTGGGTCCTGTTTTAATGGGACCCATACAGTGTAGTCCATTACAAAAATATCTGTAGACCCAAACACATTATAACCAGTCACTTCTGCAGCTTCTCTTAGCTAGGTAATTACACCTGTAAAATATGAGTTTGTAATCAATTATTCTTGGCATAATCTCATTAGCTTTTTGCAATAGTTTCAGGGTCATACGATTCCTTGCTCTATGCATGGAGGGAGGTTAATTCCTTCCTCCATGCTCTATGGTACATGTAAACATCCCAATAAGCAAGTACATAAATTCAGCATCTGACTTGTCACAGTATTTTTTATATTTTTGGCCGAGACATGAACTGTATGTTTGTAAATGTTCTTCCCTATTCCCAACAGGCTCGCTTCAATTCTTGCCGCAGCATGAGCACTTGACTCGATTTAAATCTAAGTCAACACAATTTGTTAGCATGCTTTTGCTTGTCAACCTCTGCTCGGATTTCACCCGTTGTGATTTAATCTTCAACCCTTCCTCGCCATTCCAACAACCCCCCCCCCCCCTCATTCTAACTTATCCAACCAACAAGCCAACATTGTCTTAGGTTATATATCGGGTTTGCCTTGGCGTAATATATCTGATACTGCAATGCAACTTGAGCAACGACGACGTCACTGCGCCGGTCGGTTGCAGCGGGCAGTTTAATCACTTGATGCATCTGCCTGATAAATTGGACGTTTTCCTTGGTGGAGTCAGCTTCACTTAACCCGGGGTCTCCCCCTTCCGCGGCTCGGGGAAGAAGTGGATGAGTGAGAGAATTTCATAAAAAAAAGGCCGAACAAACGTCTTGTTTATTTGTAGCGAGTGTATACATTCATATGCAATCTTTTGGATTTTGTTGAATTTTTTTTCCTTATCAATCGTCATACCTGTATATATGTGCGTGTATTTGAAGGAAGAGTGCAATATTGAATGAAGCAATAGCTTGGAAGAAATTAAAATTACAACCAGATGGGGGTCTTTTCGATTTCGAGTATGAATAAACGCTTGGTGATTGAGCCTGTTTTCATCAAAAATTTTCCAGTGAAACATTCAGTTTACAAAGTACATGTAATTTTTTTATGGTCCTTACTGTTTTCATGCTGAATTTAGTGAATTTTTTTTTAATGTCATAGAAGGAGCCCTTTATCAATGTCACATTTTGAAATTTGGACAGTTTTATTTACATCCAAAATTGAAGGAAAAAAAAAAGTAGGAGGACCAAAATTTGGAAAGAGGTATTAAAACATTAAAAAAAGATTTTGCTTAACTGTAACAGTTACCAGTACTTGTGCCTGGTAAAACTTGACTAGAACCAGTAAAAAAAATCCATGAGATTAAAATTTTGCCCATATATCTTCTCCACCCTACTGTATGGGCATCGCGAGGCCCCCCCCCCTCCCCCCCCCCCCCCCCGGAAAAGCAAAAAAAAAAGAAGAAGAAAAAAAAAAAAGAAAACAAAAGAGAAAAAAAGAAAAGAAAAAGAGGCGCGAATTCATAGTGGTGTAAATTTAATGGGTTTTTTTTTTGGGGGGGGGGGGGGGAGAAAGCAAAATGCCCCTGCCCCCCTCTTAAAAATTGCTAAATCAAGAATATGTTATTTTTTTGGGAAAAATATGTTTTACCCCCCTCTAGAAAAAATCCTGGCGACGCCCATGCCCTACTGTCTTTCTATACCCTCCCATTTGTCTCAACCACATCAAGCTTTCACCTTGATACGCCTGTTCAACAAGCCCCAATTTATATTTCCTACCACTAGTGCAATCTCCATGTAATGCTGAGGCCAATTCCATCTGCTTAGCATGGAAAGTCTGCCCTGGCAAAAACAGGATTACCAACCAAATTTCCATGTGATGTATATCGCTTGTGATCGGTATTCTGCTGCTGTTTGCTGTAGCATGAAAATCACATGGAGTTTTGGCTGGTAACCTGCTTAGCCAGACTATTTTGTGCTAAGCAGATTTTTGTGCTTAGCAGCGTCGTGAAATGGGTCCCAGATAGTGTTTTGGACTAACCCTGGCCCATCTACATGTACCAGTATACAAGGTTTATATTGATGAGTTTCCCTCCAGGGTGTGCATGCAGGGAGATAGTTGGATATATGTCACACCATGCATAGTGTTATATCTCTCTTATTGCCCATGGTCATCACCTTGATGGGTGCAATAAAGGCACTAGGCAGTCCCAGGTGATGTCTTGTCATTACACTGATGTGTCAAAAGTGAGAAATTGGCATCGGAGAATTGTCTTTGCTTTTGTTGTGTGTCCAGGGAGATGTTTGGAAAGGGGGCATGTGTAGTAATACCGGTAGTTCTGTTTAGTATCGAATGATGTTGGTTTTAATTGCACCATTTGTACGTCTGTATTGCACACTAAAACATGGTGGTAGTCTGTGGCAGAGAATCTCTACAGTTTTCAGTGTTTTAATGTTTCAAAGGCACTTTAAAGGGAATATATGGGTACATGATTGGCTTTTGCTGTAATTTTCAGAAATGAACTATTTGAGGGGTTAGTATAATAGATCAAACATTGTTAGACTGACATGTTTGAAGGTTTGTGTTCGAAAATGCTGGAAAAAAACAAGAAAAACAAAAATGTTCAAGTAGTCTGGTTCCCTGACTCCACTAAATATAAAATGGATCACTTTACAGATGCCGGAAACTTGTAAGGTAATGGAACCAGTCTAGCCGGCCTGCACCCGTTCATGAACATGTAACCAATAGCAAACAAAATTTGGACTGAAAGAAAAATGGTTAATTTGGAGCAGTAGTTGAAAAATAGTTAGGTTTTTCCAACGGTGGTCGGCCGACCACCGTTGGAAATTTTTACAAAAATACCATTTTCTTGAAAATGACTTCACACCAGGTGCCATAATTTTACAGGATGCTTTAGACTGTCATTTACCAACATCCTAGTAAGGTATTTCGTAAAAACTAGGTAGTTTTATTTTTCAATGTTTGCAAATGTTGTATATTCCCTTTAATGATAGGTAAATGAGTCATCATAGGTGCATTTTGTTTTGGTTTGAAGCAATGAAAGTGATCAAATCTGAAGACGGGTGCTTAATGACTAACCCGATGAAGGTTTAGCACTGTGAATGCTACATTCGGAGAAAACAATATTCTAGGATCTCGCTTTCAATTCAAAAGTTGCCGAGTCATGTTTTGAATTATGCCCGAAATCAGCATCTGGGACATTATCTCATTCAGCCGATTGCAGAGCTACATTGAATGTCACACACTGATCCGACGAATAATAGCCACCACGAGTCCTTGTTTACGTTGTGTCAACACTTGCACACACCTATTCAAGGATTCGCCCAATTACAAACCAACTACTAATTGGAAATTTCCAAAAATGCATCACTGGACACATCTTTGGAAATGAACTTCTTTTATTGTTCACTTCAAAATAAGAGCATGTCAGAAGGAATCATTTCACGGGGAATTAAGCATCATTAACCCTAACTCCCTAGGCATTTTTGCTAGGATGTAGCCTCAATCCTGCAAAATCCTCCAATTGGCCTTATGGAAAAATATCATATAGCCTCAATCCTGCAAATTCCTCCGCTATTTCTTGAATATGGTCCATGGAGGGTTGACCACTGCCTGAATCCTGCAAAATCCTCTGGCTATGACTGTCAATAGGCTGAGGCAGAGGCAGTGACATCCTGGAGCAGTGCGGAGGATGTCAAGAATAATCAAGGACTAAATTTATGCACGGCTGAGCATAAACAATACAAGGTCCGGCCCAAGACCTTGGCACAGTGCGTACTCCGAAATCAACAACCCACTTTTGCCATGTAACCTCAATCCTGCAAATTCCTCCAATTTGCAAAAAGGATTTTGGAGGATTCAGGGCGGTTAGGGTTAATATCTTCCAAAAAAGTAAGCTTTTCAAAAATAATTTGGCAGGTTACTTTTGGATAGCTGCAAATGGTCGACTAGAAACTTTTGCAATTATCAAGAAAAAATCTACTGATAACTGTCAGAAGTTGACCAAAAATTGTGCATGTAGGCCTGTAGATATGAACAGTGTTGTACAATTCCGGTACCAATGATTCATCGTTGAAATACAGTCCTTATGTCTGACTGACTTGACAAAAATGTGGAGAATGTAAAGAACAAAACTAAGATTGGTCTAAATGGATTCCAGGCACAAATATTAGAGGGCACTCTTTGATCACTTTTTGGGAGCGCAGTTGACGGAACACATCACGTGCGTGTACTGGTTTGCACCTATGATGCCAAGTGCATGTCTTATTTTATTCTGAATTGTGCACAAACCCATAGTGACTTCCCTTGAGCATCAAGCGTTGTCGATAACACGTTTGAATGTCTCTCCTAGTGGTCTCCCCCAACTCCTCTTTGGTATCGTTCAGGAGTTACTTTGTCCAGTTTGCATGGCACTAGATTGGCCTACGGGCTTGCGTCTTATAATAGCCAAAAACATATTAACTGCAAGCTTTACAAAATGAAAACGAATTCTAATCAGCAATCTTTGACCGAAAGACCTCGCCAATCTTGTTTTGTAATCAATCCCGGCCTCTTGTTTCCACATTTCCTCATCCATAATCCTTGGTGACATGCACTGTGCATCCATCCTTCTCATATTTCCAAAGTAATTCATCAGTTGTCTTGATCCACCCTCAAATACCATGCAGCGTCTTTTTGAGGCCAAAGGAATACGGTTACAAGTTTCTGGTCAGTTTTGAGTAATTCTAGTCCCATCATTCTACACAAATTTTGAGAATTTCATACTGTACTTATCAGTGTGTGTGGTAATTTGAATATTATGTGAACACAATGTATTACATTGGCTTGGGTATTGATATAATTTTTATTTTATTTTTTTCAAATTATTTTTGTTATTTAGCAACTTAAATAGACTTGCAGATGAGCAATTTTCCTTTATTTGCGTTGCAAAATGCAAGTCAATTTTAACCTTTTGTGATACAAAATCCCACAAATTGCTGTACTAACATTTGTTTTGTTCTATTCTCCATGATAAAAAATGTGCAAGAGTTTGCTAGACTTTTTGTAATGAAGAAGCCCATTGTTTTATTTTTGAGTTCCATAATTTAAAAGTTCTTGTTATTCGTAATATTTCATATACTGCAGTTGAGAAAAGCCTATTCAAAAGACATGTTGTTGCAGTGACTTTGTTAGAAAATTTGAACCCGAAAAACAGGATCGCCTTTCCCTCTTGGCCAAATCCTCAACAACACCAGCGCATCATTTCATCTTGTCATCTCGCATAAACCCTATCCTCCCAGCACACACACATACATATGCAATCTTCCCTCATGCTTATTACTGATAAGACGATAACTCCCCAGACGTCTTATTCCCGTTTCTTGTTTCCCCTCCCTCCTTTGCTCCAGTTGTCACCAGTTTGATGCGTTCACCGGACGACCTCATCCTGAAAGTCAAAGAAGGTAAGTTGAAAGCACTCTGCTTTTTTTTTTTTCGTGTGTGTCTTTCTCCTTTTTGTGAGTATTTGATTTGTCTTGTCTGTCTGTTTCAACCTTAGTACAGGGCCTCGTCAGACTGTTGGAGTATGTCTGCGATTATGTCTGCGGCATTAGATTAGCGCACAAATCATTGCATGTCTGGCAAACCGAAGATCCATACACGGTGGTGTTTTGGAGATGTTATATGCCTGGTCACTAGGTCTACCGGTACGTGCGTAATTGCAGATCTTGCAACGCTCCATGATGCATCCTAATTTGCAGATTCCGTACACGTATTGTACATTCATTTAAAAGTGTCATTTTTTGGTTCAATATTGTGTTAACTCCTAGATCATCACCACATCTTCTGCACACTATTCCTTTTTAAGTTCAATACCTCGTACTCTTCATAAAATGGATTTTTTTTCCCCTTCTAATAATTTCAATTTGTATGTTGTGTTCTAATGAAAAAAAATACTATTGCGATTTTGGGCATCTGCAACCTTGGGCATCTGCAATGGCGTTCGTTTTGCACACAAATGTATCCGCCCTGCGAGAGCCGAATTATTGTCTGTCAGTCCATAATTATTTTGTGAAGAAATAATGCAATAACTAAACGTCGGTGGATTTTTTTCCTTTGGTGTCTCATTCAATAGTGAATAAACTTTAATGTTGCTACAAAAATAGCAGTTAGAAATATGCAATTATTTTGGTGAGGTAAAACATGAAAATAGCATTGGGAATCATCTTAAAAAACTGGGGGAAAAATATGCTGTACAATTGTTCAGCTCTTAAAAGGGGAAAGAAGAATGGCGTGAATAGTAAAATCATCTTGCGGGGTGACATAAACTAAACCTCGTTATCCAGCACTTGAAAAATACTCCTCATTGTCTCCCTTGTTCTCAGTTTTTAAAGGTACATGAGTACACAAGCACATGAGTGATTTGAATGCTTTTCTTGTACTAAATGAAAGCTTATTAATTGGGCTTTCATATCCTAGATTTTGAAGGTGCTACATGCAGAACTTCGTTAAAACAATTGGTCCTGCCATTTGGTTTTTCTTTTTTTGACTCTCCCTGTAAGGCTGTATAATGTCCACTCAGCTAAAACTTTCACAGATTCGTTGTTATGCACTTTTGATTTTGAACAATTTGTTGCTTCAAATGAAAAAAGAAAATTGCACCAAAGCAAACGATCGTACCTACCTTTAAACATTTTGCGTTATTTTCCCATGTTGACCCGGGCTGACTGTACAGCTCCTGGCCATGTCTGTCACCCCTCTTCATATTGCATTTGCATGGCTGACTAGCTGCGGCAAGCCATGCAGGCAACATTACATGCGCGGCAGTCCCTTTTAACTTTGAGATCTGCCGATCTTGGATGCCATTTTCCCCAGAGTTGTCACTTCTACTTTACCTTTTTTGGTGAGATTGTGTTTTTGGAGAGGGATAACCAGGGCTGTATTGAGGTTTAGCGTGACCTTTACATTTTTGCTGACATTATCCACACACAAAAAACAACAACTGCAAGTCTGTTTCGATCTTCGTCTAGGTAAGGGTAGGCCTATATGTACAGTACAGTGCGACAAAAAGATCTGAGTTTTACAAATATTAGATGTCTGTATTAATTAATTAAATTGATTCCCGTCACATCCCTCAACTTCAAATTAAAAAAAAAAAATGTATATTTTATGTTGGTATGATGGCAACTCCATTGTCATGGACATTACATTTGGAGGCAGTTTTTTTTAATAATTATTTTTTAATTTGAATCAGATCTTCGGGTTGCTCAATTTTTATTTGATAGTTGTAACTTGTACTGGTAGAAAACATGTACATGTAGTATGTTTTTGGACAAGTCTAAATTAATTAATAAGATATAAACATTACAAATGAGCGCCATCATGGACATTGCGTTAAGGGAACTTAGATTTCCTGAACCCGCGTATTGAAATCCAGAACCTCTGAATTCAAGTCAGAAAAAAAAGCCGGAATATTATAACGAGGGAGATTCAAGCGTAGGGCATACTGAAAAAAAGAAAAGAAATTTGATCTGGATTTTTATATCCCACTACTTTTTTTCTTTGAAGTTTGAAACTGGTCGTGTCAAAGGCCAAAGATCGGCAATGAATGAGTTTGTCCTTCACCTTTTTTTATTGGGTCACCTGGATTCGCTCTTGGGGAGCTACCTGTTTCACTTCAACTCTTGACATCCACAGAATTAATTTGATTTCGTTTTTCCAGATTCCGCAAATGTTATGTCCAAATTAATTTGACTTCCAATCCTGATCTGGCCCCATAAGCTACATTTTGTATTTGAACTCTTAAGCCACACAACTATTACAAGAAATCCTGTCGTGGGAAAAGGAAACGCAACTGCTTCTCTGAAAAATTCCTATTGTCTCTTTATCCTGACTAGCGACAGCACGTACCCGATATATTATATCCAATGCAGATGGGAATAATTTTCAGATGTCCTTCGATTGCATCTGTGTAATGACAACCGTCTGTATATTTTTCTAGAAAATGCCATGGTGCATTTGGTTCCTGTTGTTCGTTTGGAATTATTTCCTCTTCGCAGACCCAGCATTCCAAGTATCATCCATAAGAAAAATAAAGATTGTTTTTACAAAACTGTTCATGTAACTGGGGGATATGCCATGCGGTATTGTCAATGTACCAGCATACGGGTTCATGTATATTTGAACATAAATACACAGTGAGTCCGTGACAGTGTTTTGAAATAAATTATTGTCCATATTACATCCATGTCAACGTAGTCCTGAAAGTGATACTGATAGCCTTACATGTACATGTACCTGGGAAAAAAATTGTCACTCTACAGTTGCTGCAACATTATCCATGGGTGTGTGCATGTTAAAAGGAAGCCAATGGCTTTGTCTGTTTCTTTAGAACCTTTCAAGCAGTAAGTGAAGCTCTCTTGGCTGTTTTGGAAAAATATAGTCATATGTGTTACCTCATAAATTTCTGGTACATTATGCAGAAACGTTTTACTGGCGAAATATAAGCAATTGTATTTGTTTTATATATATTTTTTTTTTAGATACGGATACAAAAGCAAGAGTGCTCAAGTTTCTGGAGCCCCTAGAAAATCCTCCCGGGTCCAACCCCAAGATCAAAGTGAAGTCCATCGGTCGCGCCAGCCCCAAAGTGAAGCGACAGAAGAGCAAGGAATCCTCTCCGTCCAGAACTGGTCCAAGCCCTACGTCGACCCCCAATGAGAGGAACAACGATAGGCCCGAGAATGGACGGACTAGTGCGGGTTCGGATTCCCCATCGCAAAAATCGGATGCCAGTTCGGGGAGAGTTGATGGCCATATAGGGCAGAATGCGTCCACAGCTGACACGAGTGTAGATTTAGAAGTCAAACAATGCAAGAGCGGGGGTGTGATTATCGTAGAGAGCCCTAAAAAATCCCAGCAGTCTCCTGTGAAAGCCAACAACGTCCATTCTCCGGATCACAGGATAGCTGGCGGTGGCCCCGTTAACGGGATTGCGAGGGATCGATTACGGGAACGGGATGTGCCAAGCGCCAGGCAGGTGTACGCAGCCAATGCGTACTCGTTTAGCTCCGATTCCAGTATTTCCGACATTCCATCCGTGCAGGTTATGACCACGGTGGCGCAGATACACCGAGAAGACTCGTCGCTTGTCGCACGGACGTCAATCGAACAGGGGAAATCTGATGCGGCAGACGGTCAGCTTCTCAGCAGTCCAAGTCACAATCACAAGTACCCCAGCCAAGAATCTGATTTCAAGCACAACGATATCAACAGGAACATTAGCAAAATGCCAGTTGTTACGTTAGCCGAGAGCGAATCGTCCCAGAGTGAGCTATCCTCCCAAGCAAGCTCTTGTCCGGAGGAACCACTTACAGACTCGCCTCTCAGAACTCAAAAACTCGCAGCGACCTCGAAGCATCCCGCTGGTAGGGATGCCACCGAGTGCGAACGCGCCACGCAGGTTGACGTCTCGGTGGGAGGAGACAAGGAAACGGATAGCGTGACTTACGACTCTGGATACGCAAGCACGTCATCTGTCGCCAAACAGTGCACAAACCTCTCCCAGTCCCAATCAACTCAGACAAACTTGGACCCCGACACCAACAGGTTGGTGGAAAACTCCGTGGATGAGCAGCCCACGGATGAGTCCCCAAAGGCGGCTGCCCTGGTGCGTCATGGGAGCGATGCCACGGAGACATGGAACGGGGGAATGGGTTCCAGGACGTCCAGCGACCACAGCGTGAATTCCGAGGAATCCGAGTGTCTGGACATGGACAGTTTAGGTAACGCTCTACAGGCCGGCAGCAAGAATCTAGACGTGCCGTCAGCCCAGCGGCTTGCCAAACGGTTGTTCCTGTTGGATGGATTCAAGCGGTCGGATGTCTCAAAGCATTTAAGTAAAAGGTAAGCTAGAGATTAAGAGTACCCTCGGCAGACCGTTAGAGAAAGTTGCACTGTGGGGCACTTTAATACAATACCACTCACAACACTCAGGCGATGTTATTTTATACATTAGGTGTTATTTTTCCAAAGGCTGTTGCCAAAGTATCAAAACATTGACCAAAAAAGTGGTTTTTATTCCATTGGATTTCCCCCCTGTTTGTTGGTAAAATGTTTTTGAAGATAAAAGGTTACACACAAGAAACTTCCTCTAAACTGTTTCTGCGACTGTGTTTGATTTGTGTGGGAAAAAAACAAAAAAACTGCAAACACATATTCCATTCACTAAAATGGAAGCAAACATGAATGGTAATATAATCTATACTGGTCATACAGGGTTTAGACAACTCTTCCATATTTTAATGATTTTTTTCCCTCCAAAAATTGGTTCAGTTTCGGGTGACTGAAAAAAAGCAAAGTGTACCCCTGCAAATGCAGGTACTCATCATTTCAAGACGCTTTTCACATGCCATGTTCTCCACATTATTGATTTTCTCAAAATGCATCAATGTTTCGAAAGGACACCAAAATGTACTGCCACAAGATACAAGGAAAAGAAAAAAAAATAACAGAATGGATTCTTTAGGAAAAAGGGCACCTTCAGACGTCATCTTCCCAATCCCAATTTGATATCTTAATCAAATTAGGCCTTCTGCGAGTGTTATCGCAGAAGGCCAATCAACCAAGTGGACAAGCCATCTCCGTGGACCTGTGAATTTGACGGCTGGTTTACTGCCTGAAGCTAAGAGTTTTTATTTTTCCCCTCGGAGCTCTGGTATGGAATTTCAAACCCGATGAATTCTTTCGATCCCTTTTCCGATTTTCATTCATGTGCTCGTAGGAATGTAGAAATTAGTTGTAAACACACTGTCATTCACCGATGAGTTGCCAAACTTTTTCAGGACGACTGGATTGGTATTTTCTTTTGTGCCCACTAATCCTATTGGCTTCAATCAAATTTCATTTGAGTTTTACTGAGAAAAACAGAGAATAATTGACTGTCAGTCCATTAGGCCAAAAAAAAAAAGTCTCTGGTTTCTGGTATGGAGCTTGCCCAAAAAGTGGTGCGGCAACGTGTTTTTTTTTTTTTTTTACCTGATTTTTTGGCTTCAAATGTCGGCTGATGACTGCAAATGGTGCCCGACTAAACTTAGTGCAAATATATGGGAGTCCAGAGAGACCACATAAAGCTTATTCTCGACCATAACCCCGTCTATTGTAAAAACACGTTAAAATTGTGTAGCAGCAGGATTCCAGTCAAACCAGTGAGTTTGGCGGTTTTGAGACATCATCTTTCATTGAAAAAAAAACTTTTTCATTTTGCCGACGCGCATGGCTACGGCGACGCGCGCGCATACTAGAAACCGGAGACTTTTTTTTTTTGGCCTTATACTATTTTTTTTTTGCTCAAAATGTTAAGATGAAAAAAAAACAAAAAAACCGAAAACATTTTACCTGCCTATCCATCGTAACTGTTTTCATTGTAATAGATTTACAAATGTAGGTAAAGTATCAAAATAAAAACAACTTGTTATACAGATAAAAACAATGTACGGCAGGTGAATTAAAACATTTTCGGATCTGCATCATGCTGCTTGTATTTTAACACTCCAAAGGAAGATGTCTGTTCTGTCTTCTGCAGGTCTTTGAGCGTTCATACCCCCTATGCCAACCCTCGCCCTTGGACCAATCCATTTCCTTCTCAACCATCCACTTCCTAAAATCCATCCATCGTCAGGTTTAAAGTGCTCAGTCACGAGGGCAAACGAACCCCCCCCCCCTAACCCCCCCCCCATTTGGCCTGAAATCCACGGGACAGAAAGGCTAAAACTAGCGAGCGCTTAAACTAATTTATTATTTGTCAGGCCTTGGTTCTCGGTTTAACCCTCCATGATCCATTGAGGGGGGTGGGGGTAGTAGGTGGGGGGGGGATGTCATGGGGGGGGGGGGTCGGGGAGACAGAGAGGTTTTTCTCACTCGTCAATTGTGTGATTTAGCTTAAGTGCAGCACAGAGGGTTGGCTTGAATTTGTGCACACCCTTCTAGGCAATACACGGTATGTACTGGAATCACACAGAACTTGGCACTATGTTTGTGAGAATGAAATTAATCCCCATTTGTTACATTCCTACATGTACATGTTAAAGTAAATAAACTTCACACAGTTTTGATGTGCTGAGTTACATGTACTTGTGGAAGTGGAAGGTGAGATTCAAGTGTGTACATGTACCGGGTACATGTAGACAGAGGAAAAGATGGATTGACAAACAAACAAATTGGATGAAAGACAGTTGTACAGGGAACGACAGACAGATAAATAATATGTATAGGACTACATGTGTAGGATGAGATTAAGTGAATACATACCGGTACAAGCAAACTCTTTAAGGTTTGGGAAATGTAGCAGGAGTAGGGACTGTTTGCTTGAGATTACATGCTTCAAAGGGTAAGGATTCTGTCACATGACGTTGTTAGAATTCACTGGTACCCATTTGATGTTAATGCATGTTTTACTGGTCACTAATGAATTGCTGGCTTTTAAATAAAAATACTGCAAGTAACGGGATGATAATTTAAAATACAAATATACATGTACCTGGTAAGAGAGAACAGAATCATGCATGTTTCGAATCACAAACTTGAACATACATTCGTTGGAAAAAAATTGTCATCGTTATTAAATTGACACATACAGTTAATGACATTAGTACATGAAATAACAGAATTGTGGTTCAAACCCAATTTATTAACAGAATTCAACAGACAAAGAAACATGAATCCTGCACATACACGTACATGTATTATATGTGTCCGCAAATAAGCCCACCACGTAGTGTCATCCTTCTCCCTATGTTGTGTACACACGCACACCTGCCTAATAAATTGAATCAATTGTATGAAAAAAGGAAAGTGACTAATCTAAAGATTGTGATGAAACCAGGTTGAGCAAAAATAAAAAATTGAACTGATCCAAATCCTTTGTGTTGACACCTTGAATTTTTCAGTTCTCTCTGGATTTAATTAAGACAAGTGTCAACAAATGGTACATGTATTTTCGTACAGTGAGATGTGTATTCCTGTATTGGCAGACTTTTGTGAGTGGATTTGGTGAGAACTAATTCACCCACTATATGCACACGTAGCATGGATCAGACCGTTAAATTTCTTCCGTTGTTCCTTTGTACCATTGAGTTTAAACTATATGAAAAATGAAAGAAAGTAACAGGATAGAAAGTAACAACGATAGAATGCAGCTCTATACTGAGCACTACTAAACTGAAGTTTTGGCTATAATGAACGTCCTCTTTTGGTCCAGAATTGTATGTGAAATTATACCAAGCGTTGATCTCTATGGGTTCCCAGCGTAAACAAGAGAGGGTGCTCTTTATGACTTTCAAGAGCCAAGTGGATGGGACACGCCATGTTTGCGTACTGGTTCGCTCATGTAGCGAAGGTATGCACAACTTTACTTACATTTGAGGGAGTTCTTGTGCCTGGAACCCATAGCAAAGTTCCATTGCACACGTGTTGTACATATCGAATGACTAGAATTCACAGACAAGTACAAGTGTGTAATTCAAAACTTAAAGTCTCTTTGCCATTCTTTGTCATTGATCCTAGGAATGACTTCAGCAAACTGGTTGCCGAGGAATACGTCACCTACTTCGATTTCAGCAACCTACCCCTGGACATCGCGCTACGCAAATTCCTGGCCAAGATCGCGGTGTCGGGCGAGACCCAGGAGAGGGAGCGCGTACTGCTTCACTTCTCCACGCGGTACCAGCGATGCAACGAGATCGAGTACCGGTCAGCCGATGCCGTACACACCCTGACGTGTGCGCTGATGCTGCTGAACACCGACCTCCATGGACAGGTACGGTATACGTGCCTGTTTGCGTATTTAGGTCTTTTTATAAACTGTGGGCCTAACTGCACAGCGGATGCAAAATGGGTTAGGAAAACATATGGAAAGACTGATTAAATTGGACAAAGTGACATATGGAGTACCGAAGTGTGACGTCATTTAGAACCAGAAAGTGTAGTGCAAACGAATGGAGTGCCCGTGCGTGTTGGTTCTCGGGCTGACTCACGCGCTAATGTCTTTTACACACATTTTGTGCGCGTGACGTATTCACTTTGCTACTCCATAACAGGCATGCAACTTTTCCTCGGATCTGCTGATTTCCTCGTTTTTGACTTCCCACGAATGCATTACAAATTGAAAAACACCTTACAAAGTCTCTTGTGGTTTGGAGTTTCCTCGTTTTTTTTCTCCAAAATTCTCAATTGCATGCCTGATATTAAGAGTGTTATATTACAGGGCATTTGGCAAATGATGAGCAGGTTGCCAGTAATATACAGTACAGGTGTATGTTCTATTTCCCCTGAGGGGGTTCTGGCTCGGCCAGCAGCCTCGGGCTACTGTCAGTTTCACACCTCAGTGTCCTGACTACGGGCTTGGCTAATAAACTCTACAGACACATGGGAATCAAAATAAGGGCATCCCTTTTTATTTCTGTGGTTCGCATTTCTGACCCGACCCAATTTTGGGCTACTGACACACCCTCTCCCCTCCCAACCTCCTCCCCTCCAAAAAAATCCCCACAAACACACACAAATTAAATTCCTGTCGACCCTGTCTGGAACCCTCAAAAACCACCTCCCCCAACCCCCACCCCCCCCCCCAAAAAAAAACCCACATAAATTAAAAAACATAGACCACAACAAAACAAAACTCCCCCCCCCCCTAAAAAAAAACAACCCAAAAAACTAATAATAATAATAATAAATAAATAAAAAAAATAAAAAAATGAAACTAAAGTATTATCTTTTAATAGTTGATTAATTTGTTTGTGCCATAATCATGCCAGTGTTGAAAACTCAATAAGATCATTTGTATTTGCTTTTGTTGCTGTTAACACTGCTCAGATAAACTGAATCCTTTTCGTTGCGATGACATTTCATCCCGGTCATTTTTGTTTTTACTTTGGAACTGCTACACATGAGACCGGGGAAAAAAAACCCTGTTCAAACACAAATATTTACACAGTGGACCAATATGACAGGTGTCTATATAAATCTTAAAATGCCGTCAGTACCGTACATACCCTTGTTCCCGGTACGTCATTTTGTTTATAAATCAGAACAACTTTTCCTTTTTATAAGAGAAAATTTGTGGGTGAGTTTCAATTTCTATGAGACTTTTTTTTTTAAAGAGGCAGTAAAAAGAATGAACATCTGAGGATTCCCACGGCAAAATCGAAGTGAATGAATATTTTACCTCACCAGAAATGGTAAAAAGTTGCAGTCAAGTCAAGTCTAAAGATCCTTACTATGTTTTGCACTGCGTCCAGGTTTTCGCTAGCACAGTAAAGCAGATTTTCTTTATCCATTAATTCAAAGATTGAACGGAATTAAACGCAACCGCTCTCAGATTACTGGCCCGTCACTATTGGTTATTCTCCATGTTTACTTAAATGGCTCCGTTCCTTTGGCTTCCCAGGATTTTGCCGAATAAATTGCTCTTCGTACGAAGCAAGGATTTGTTTTCTCAGCTGTGTTGTACATGCACGTACATGTATATCCATTATAAGCCATGGCTTTTCCCGTATTGTGTCAAAGCACAATTTTTTTTATAAATAAAATAACTGAAGGTATTTTGTAACGCATCAGGTTTTCAAAGTGAGAATTATGTTCAACAGCACTTTTTTTCTTTGACCACACAGTAATTTGTAAACGATTCTCGCCCAGGATTAAGTTTTTGTATAAATTATGTTGAGATGCACTTTATGTAAACTGTGCTTCAACAAATTGTTGCTACAAGAAAATTGTCTCACTTAAAGGATCTAAAGGAACAAAAGAGTTTGAATGGCTTGATAGAACTCTGTTTCTTAAAAGGTCTTCTCATGCTTATCCTTGTGGAACAAAAGAACGCACCTCAAACATGGCGGCAGTGCAAATAATCTATAAGACTAAAAAGTGTAATTAGTGTTATCTAGATTTCCTCTTTTTCTTCCTTCTGAAAAAACCCAGAACATCGGCAAGAAGATGTCGCTGAGCTCCTTCATATCCAACCTGGAGGGTCTGAACGAGGGTGAGGACTTCTCCAAGGAATCTCTCAAGATGTTCTACCAGTCCATCAAGTCCAAGCCGCTGGAGTGGGCGTGCGACGAGGATGAGAAACTCCTCAAGCGAGGGAGCAGGACAGGCAACGGGACCATGACTATCAGCGGCAATCCGTTCCTTGAGGTAGGTGTGCGCAGGATCTCATCTGAACACAACTCAAAATGCCAGAATATTGTGGACAGCCATTTAAAGATGCATTCCCAGATCCCTGTGTTATTTTCGAGTTTCATCCCGCAAAATGTACTCCTTTTCTCAATTGCTATTTTTTTAGCAATACAACAATTATTCAGTTTTGAATGAGACATTGACCTAAAAAAAAAATCGGCCCATGGTTAGTTATTGAATTTCTTGACAATTTTGGATTCTTGGCTGCCAGATGTAATTCCAGTTCTCGCAGGGTAGGCTGGTTCCTGCCCCACAGTCAGTATTGATAATGTACAGACTGGGAGCCAGTCTGCTTGCAAGGCAGATCTGTTTTTGCCCAAACAGAAACCTTTTTTTCCCCCAGAGGTTTGCAAACTTTCAAAAAGGAAAAACGGAGGTTTTTGGTTGGAATAAAACATACAAGCTGAAATTGACATGTTTCAGTAGGGAAAAAATGATTTTTTTTTTTTTTAGGAGCACAGGGAATTTTCTTTTTTAAAGTCTGATAACGACCAGCAAATTGATTGTCAGATTAGCCTATGATGTGAGGTCAACTTAATTTAAATATCATGCGTATAACAATAGGGTGTTGCATAAAGCATGAGTGTGCAGAACAGCAGAAGTAGGCCAATCAAACCACATGTATAGAGGTGGCACAGCCAATAAGAAACATGAGGCCGTTGCCTGTCCTCATATACCGGTACATGTGTGTTTAAGTTCAGGTCTCCGGTCTAGTTGCAGGATCCAGCTTTGCAAGGGGATAGTATACAAATATTGACTGCTCTGATGGGGTGTAGTAAAACTAGCCTCCTGAGGTGATCCATGGAGCATTCTGTTGTCCCGTGGTGAAGCCAAGGTGATGATGAAAACATGATGAATGAGAGATGTCATTTCAGAGAAGTTTTTGGTTTAAGTTTTTTTTTTTCAAACGGAATAGTTGTTACTAGTTAAATGTAACCAGTTACATTTATAATTTTCCATTTTTTTTTAAACAGTCACACTATCTTCAACAATGTTGTTATGTCACACATGAAGTTTATCATGGGTCGTGGTTTCGATGAGGCAAAGTTAAATTTTGTTTCATATTTTTATAATTTTTTTGCATCATGTTGGCTGCAGTATCCATACATTTGTCATTATGGAAGGCAGTGGTTTAGTAATAAAATAATTTTTAAAAAGTTGTTCATTAAAGTAAAAGCTTGCAATTCAGTTACATATTTTTATTTCCTTATCTTTTTTACATGTACCTCAACGATGTTGTCATCTTTCAACCTGTCTATCCTTTCATAACCAATATCACAAAATCCGGTTCAAACCTTGGCCACTTTAATCCCTTCCCCTTGACAATCCTTTTTTTTACGCGCCTATCTCCCCTCATACGAGCCCCCTGTCCCCCCTCCCCTTCCTTCCTGTCCCCAGATTGTACCCACCCTGCCCTCTTGTAAACACAACAAAAGACGGAGAGGTCCCCTGTAATGTCGACGTGTCAGATTCCATTCCCGTCACTAGAGCTCAGAAAGGGTTAGAACCGACCAGAAGTGGAGGATTAAGTCTGATTTTTGAGAAAAGGGTTTGTCATCAGTTCCTAAAGTCGGACCCTGAATAAGGAATATGGCCTGCATCCTGAACTTGTCTAGGGTATGCTAGGAAGTTTCACAAGCTTGTTAGTTTGCTAACATGCATACACTCTCATCTGGAACATTCATTTATAGTCAAGGTTGTGACATGTATGACTGTTTATAAGGACTACAGTTTTGACGGATGCACAGTGTACCTTACATCTTAGGTTTTGCAGAAGTATGGAATACCTCACTTGATCTGGACAGCGAGACGTTCTGTGTAAAGATTGTCTTTTGCAAAAGGATGTTTTCTTGTCTCCGTCGTTTCCTGAAGAGCAGACGTCTTCATCGAGCGTGTCCGCAGGTGCCTTTTTCCAAAGGAGAACTCATACATTGGGATGACTGATCTCTCTCAATTTTGATGCTGGATTTTATGTGAAAGCTGTCTCTTTGTTTGGACTCAGTGCTGGGATTTTGTTGAGAGATCGTTTGTAAAAAAATGGACACGGATTTAAAGTCTGAATCGATGCCGGATTTGGTGAGAGTGTACATGGTGGAGAATCGTACACTACTGGTAAGTTGTGGAAATGGGCTGCTTGAAGTGTTGCTTTGGAGAACAAGTCTGATGCGTTAAAAAAAAAAACGAAAAAAAGAATACCGCATTTTATTTTTGACGTTTACACACAAAGGCGATTAGTTCTGCAGTGTATGAGTGCAGTGCAGCGCAGCAAATCATTAACAAGTGTTCTCTAGGGAGTTGAGATGAATCTAGGCAGGATTAAATACATTTCCACCTGCCAATTAGTGAAATGTCAAAAGATAATTTGGTACTGAATGTTTTAGATCAACTGATTGAAGCCCATTATGCACACGAAGCCCTTGAATTGGACAATCGAGTGCACAGACGTAAACTATATTTTCAGTGAATTGATTCTTTTTCTAAAAAAAAACTCAACTAGCTTTAAGTGAAAGCAATGTTTATAAATAGATACAGATAGTTTGCTCGAGGTCACTGACTCTTTTCCGTCTCCATTTTCATTATCTCCTGGGCAAAAATTTCCTCTACTTGATTAGGAGTCTAGCCAGTCTATCTCAAAGAGCCCCCTCGAGTCTAAAGCACATGTATCTTATGTGATCGTTGATTTATACATTAACCCTAACTCCCTAGGGGGTGTGCAAAATCGTATTGAAATTAGAGGATTCAGGACTGTTAGGGCTATCCCTCCTGGGCAATACATTCTGTGCCAAGTTGTCCTTAAAGTCAAAATCAATCAAGTGACTGTTTTCAGCATTTAAGAGCTCCCAGCCTATTGACTGGCTGTCTGGCTAAGACTAAATGTAGCTTGATTCAGCTATGCTTTGACTGTAGGTGATTGATATTGATATTTTTGTCTGTTGAACTGAAGTAGGAGGGTTAATGTGTTATTGGCTGAAAAATAATATCAATTTTTGTTGATAAAATACTGAATGTATTTGCAGTTACTGCACTTTTAAGCTTGATGTGCATGTACATGAATTTGTAACATGTATGATGAACAAAATACATGTACATGTATAATAATGAGACACTTCATTGTTCATGTACATGTACATGTATAGTGATTTGAACATTTTACATGTGTACATGTATTTCCTTTTTCTTTCACTGTAGAAAACCAATGTGACAAAAAATATCAACTTCAACCACCATTGAGTATGGATTGGATTTTTTGTTGTGTCTTTTGATACTCTTAACTGTGGATAAAAGAAGGACTACCCGGACAAAAATGGAACATTCAGATGTAAATGAAAAATGTTTCAGCTTTGTTTTGAACAAATACATCATGAAGAAAACATGTTACATGTAGTTTGGAAATTTAAAGGTACATGTACAATGTCCCATTACTGAGAAATCAATTTTTGCCTGTGGTGTCAATTGGAGACAATGCGGCTTCACTACCCAACTTTAACATTTTCCCTCCCCCCCCCAACAAAAAAGAGAAAGCCTGTTCACAATAATATAGACAGATCAGTCTGGCCATCGACCAGCAAATTCAGGTCTACGCTCACCGATGTTGGACGCCGTCGTGTTTGGAGTAGTTCTCCCGAGCATTGGGGCGGGCTGTTGTAATAATAATAACCGACGTCTCTCAAGAAGGAGAAAAAAAGGGGAAATTCTCTGCCGACGACGTAAACAGTGTCCATATGTCAGATCTATCTAATGTGGTGACATCCTGACATTTTGGGGAGAGGGGATCCGTGGACAAACAACCCAATTAATTCATGCAGACAAGATGTTTTTGTTACTGATCATAATTTCTTTGATACTGGAGGAGATGTAAAGTTACACGTTTTTTATTGAGAATACACTGTAGGTCAAAGTCTATAGGGTCTCCTATACTATCCCCTAAATAAAAGGCCCCTTCCCCACCAAAACAAAATTTGCAAATACATGGGCACATGCTGACAAAAGATGCAGCTGTGGCTCTGGAAGCCAGTTACAGACATTGCCTATAATTATCACAAGTGACTATTGTGATAAACAGATTCAGTTATAAAAAAATGCTAAATTCATCGTACCAATGTACCATAAAAGGCAGATCATTTGCAAACATCGTAACACAAAACTGCGATTTTTTTATGAAATACCTTACTGGACTGTTGGTGAATGACAGTCTGAAGCATCCTGTAAAATCGTTGCACCTGGTGTGCTGACATTTTCAAGACAAGTGGTATTTTTTCAAACAAAGTGGTTGGAAAAAAGTGGGTTTTTTTACACTGAACGGGTACAAGCCAACTACAAGCCAGCTACACATGTAGACTGGTTCCCTGACCTTACAATTCTCGGACGTCTGTGAATTGCCCCATTTCAATTTAAGTGAGGTCAGGGAACCTGACTACAAGAACGTGATTGTTTTTCTTGTTTTTTCTAGCATCTACGAACACAGAACTTCAAACAAGTCAGCATAACAATAATTGCTATAAACCACTAATCCCCCTTATTTATCCATTTCTGAAAATCACAGCAAAGGCAATTTATGTTGTATTTCCTTTAAATGTTAACTCGCTCAGGTTTTTTGTGATGTATAGGTACATGTTCATGTTCAAATACATGTGGAGATCATGTACAGTCTCATGCTGCTCAAGTGAGTCATGAAGGTCGTGCTTGGGATGTATTACATTCTTTCCTTGTTTCATTATCATTTGTAACAGTAGGACTGCCACTACCCACTCCGCAGTTGAATCACCCCTTTAAATTGGGCTGGGACAATAGGGTTGGGTAATTTTGTGGTCGCCGGTTTAGCCTAAAAATAGCAATCATAGGCTTATGATTTTCTGGCTTAAAGACCTTGCAGGCACCGCACCCAAACAAAGATGATTGGTTAAGTAATAAGTAAATTCTGTCCCCAGCCAATGTGGCTCATCACGCCAGTGTTCATCTCTGATTTCCTTGGCATGCATCGACTGAGAATATTTCTATTCCCCCTGGATGGGATGCCAGTCCATCGCAGGTTACTCCCCAGCTAATGCCGGTGTAGCATGAATTTAGGTTTTATGAAATACGGACTCCTTGGTGGTATTGCGCATGCTCATGCATAGATAATTAGGAGAGGGACCGGTCACGTGAGAGGGTTTAACCAATAAAAGGGAAAAAGAGTCCGATTTTCATACGAGTCCAATTTTCATATGACACCGGTACCCACATGTATTTACATATATACTACTCCTTGTTAGAGAGAGGCAAGTTGAGGTGAAGTGGCTTGCCCAGGGACACAACATATTGTAACCTGGGGCCAATTTCATGCAGCTGCTAAGCACAAAAAATTGCTTAGCACAAAAATGTCTGGCTTATAAACGCAGGTTACCAGCCAAAACTCCATGTGATTTTTCATGCTAAGCAAACAACAGCTGAATACCAACCACAAGCAATATACATCACATGGAAATTTGGTTGGTAATCCTGTTTTTGCCACGCCTTTTCATGCTAAGCAAATTTTGTGCTTCGCAACTTCATGAAATTGGGCCCTGCAGGATTCAAGCCCCTGACCCTCTGATCATGCGTCACAAACCCTTACCACTAAGCCACACTCCCCCATTTGTATATTTAAGGAAAAATACTAATGTGGTTAATTAGATTGTTTCAATTGTAAAACGGTGAAACAGGTGTAGGCAGGTTGTGGTACATGTCCGGGTTTAGTCATAAGGTAGAGATCTGGCTAACTTCTTGAGCTGTTGCGGGTGCTTTTTTTTTGCTCGGTTTAAAGAGAAGCTGTATCAGAAAGCTTTAGAGAAGCTGTATCAGAAAGCTTCAATTTGTCGAATTGATTTCTATGTCATATCAAGGCAGCAAAGATGGAGATGTCTAGTAAATTATCATGCAAGAGATTGTTGGTATGGTTAAAGTGCTAGACAATCAGACTATGGGGGCACTGTCCAAAGCAGATGATATTTGACACTGTCAGACAATACGTGGCAAATTGTGCAAATAGTGCGGCAAATTTGGCGACAGAAACATGATTTTGCAAACAGGACAACGATTTTGCCAACAAAAGTAATAATGGGGGGAGGGGGGGGGGGGGTATGTCACCCACTTCCCCCTCTAGCCACGCCCCTGAGTGGAACCAAATAGAATACAGCCATATTACATGTACAGTGTAGGTCATTGGTATAACATCATATGATTTTGTTTTCCTTTTTTGTTTTTGTTTCATAGGTCCAGAATGACCCTAATGCTCCAGTTTACATCAAAGGTTACATTATGAGAAAAGTAACCAGGGACGCTGAAGGAAAGAAAAGTATGTCTTTCTTCTCCTCTTTTTGTTTGTAAATAAGTAATATATCTATTAAAATTTTTTGTTATCCTGACGTTCATTGCTTCAAAAGATCGAAGACCCAGCCTCATAAATTTTTTTTTTTTCATGAATTTTTTGGTTTCCCTTCAGCGACGGTCGGTTGAAACAAACAGAGTAATTTATTTTGCCGGAACATTTGACGTTGATTCAAAGTCGTGATTTAAGTGATGGATCGTTTGCAACCATTCATGATCCTCAATTTATTCTAATGAATGACCCTATTAGTCATAAATTGGTCCATTGAAGACGGTTTATGGCAGTGTTGACTAGAGACCAGAATATTTTACGAAATGAAATCTACATGAGATGTTTATACCTGGTAGAGGTTCTGTTGGCAACAATTTTCTATTACATTAGTTTTGAGATTGAGTTCACTTTTGAATTTTTTTGTTTGAATTGATGGTAGTCTTTTAGGGTAACAGTATTTTGTAATTTTTTTTATTATATTGCAGATCCTAAAGGGAAAAGAGCGTGGAAAATGTTCTATGCAACAGTGAAAGGACTAATTCTTTATTTACACAAGGTAAGAAGGTGATATGCGTTGTATCAACAGTGGTTACATTAAACCTAAAAAAAAAGATTGGTAATTTCATATCAGCCACATACCGCCTGCTACAAGTAGGCTTTCTTGTTGACTGGATGGTAGGCTGACTAAGTGATTAGCTGCTGAGCTGGTTGGCTGACTACCTGGTTGGTTGGCTGACTGACTCATTGGCTGACTAGTTGGTTAGCTTAATAATTGGTTTGCTGAGTAGCTGGTTAGCTGACCAGCTTGTTGGCAGACTATCCTGTTATCTGATTTGCTGGTTGGTTGGCTGACTGACTGGTTGGCTGACGAGCTGGTTAGCTTAATAGTTGGTGAGTCGAGTAGCTGGTTGACAGACTAGCTGGTTAAGTAAGTAACTGATTATCTGACTAGCTGGTTAGCTGACTAACTGGCTGGTTGGCTGACAAGCTGGTTGGCTGGCTTGTCCAGTATAAATAGGGTTATAGACTAATTGACTGACTAGCTGGTTAGCTGACTAGTTTGTTGTCTGACTAGTTACTTAGCTGACTAGCTTGATTACTCACTAGGTTGTTGGCTAGCTGAATTGGTTTGCTGGCTGACAAGTAATGTTTGGTTTCTAAATACCTCACAGGAAATCGCCATGAAGTTGTTTCATAATGTAATCTAAATAAGTATTGTAAAAAAAAAATTGTTATCTTCTACAGTCTGAGATGCACCATCAGATGCACTTCAACAGCCCCAAGGAAGCGGTCAGCATCCACCACTGTCTTGCCAGCAAGGTGCCCAACTACAACAAGAGACCCAACGTCTTCAACCTGCGTCTTGCCAACTGGAAGGAGTTCCTCATGCAGTGTCTGTGAGTATATACCAGGGGGGAGGGGGGGGGGGGGCAATTACAATTTTAAACCTGTGCCAAATATTCTTGTGGTAACATGGTTTTTTTTCAAAGCAGCAGACGTTTTTTGCAAAGTGTTTTGTCTACTTGGCAAAAATCAACTTCAGAAGAGTTCAATTTGGAGTCGTAGTATACTACTGTTCATTCCGTCAAATCATAGTTGTACTTCTATTCAGGATAGGTATCCTTTAAAATATTGTGTATATTTAACACTTGGGTTGTTGTACTCACACAAGTTACCAGTAGTATCTAAGTCATACACATACACATACCTATCCAATGTAATCAACTACAGTTCCAGAATGGTACATCTTCTGGTGTTGTATCTCTGACAAAGAGAACACCAAAAAGCGTTTTTACCCGCAGCCTTTCTAAGATTTTAACCTTTTTACAATTTTCAACTAAGATATTCCCTTTAACCTGTATTCTCTGGTATTATCCTCAATAACAGAAAACATCCCTTTTTTCAATACTTTCTCTTAACTATTGACAACCCTTCACGTAAACCACAACGTAGCAAGTAGGGCTACCCATTAACGACCTTTGACCTCTCCTTCCAACTCCTCCCATTTTGTAACCAATCAGACCATGCGATGACAAGCAGAATCAGGAAGCAGGCGCCACTACTGATTCTAACACACCCCAAGGTTCCAGGCGAGTAGTTGGTGTCGATGCTGAGATTTAATAGCGTGTAGTTGGTGCTGTGATGGAGTTTTTTTGCATGCATCTGTTTAGATGTGACTTCCCTGTGACGTTTTTCAGTAGCTTTGAGAGAAAAGTCGCCGCTAAATCATTGTTGTGCTCAAATATTGCTTGCTTTGGGTGTCATAATTTGTTCACAGTTTTGGACTTAAACACGGTTACATGTACATGTCAGACATTTTGTTTTTATTTAGCATTTTTTTTATGATGGGACGACACGGTAGGTGCTCCAATTATTGAAGTTTTTTTGCTGTTCAACACTTTGGTTTGGGAATATGGCATGGATTTCATTTCATTTATAACCCTTACCCATTCCATGTTCGTTTTAAAAAAAAGTCTTACATTGTCTTTGCGTGTGGTGTTTGTGGTAATTTCTGGTCATACTAAACCTTGCAACTTCCAAGGCATTCTTAATATGACTGACTACTGTTAGTGTTAGAATCTAACTTGCTAATTTGTTCAACTTTGGACTTTCTTTCTTTTCCCAGTCACGTTTAGTTTTATTTTACGTGTTGACAGAACGTTGAATCACACTTGAAAAATCCTTAATTTCACCTGTATGACCCATATTTTCACAATCAATGTGAACCTGTCATTTAAGGTGTTTAATATAGTTGTACTTGAACAAGTAGAAATGACCTGGGATAGTTTTTAGTGTAGCTTGTCAGCTTTGATTTTAGCTTGGATTTTAACGTCGAAAGTCATTTGGAAAACACTTGTCAGTTGTATGCCCATAGACATGTAGAAAGAAGCAAGATGGTAAGTCACCATAACAAAATTGCAGCTTCAACCAATCGGAAGCCCCGATTTGGAACGCTTTTGTAACCCAAGCTTTTAGAATTGTGTTTTCTGACTAATCAAATGTTCACGTCATAATCACTGCGTCTTAATTTTTAAGTCAACTTCAGTGGAAGCACAGTGGGCAATGAATGATATGTACATTTATTTGTTTGGGGTGTTGGGATGGACTGAATTACGCCAGACACAATGTAATGCATGGCGCGCTCCGCTGGTACATGCCTTGGCATTGGGAAGACGTACGGATACGTGTTGTTGCCCGCATGCAAAGTTGGTCATGTGTCCCTGGCACCAGAAGCGCGGGCAACCAGTGAAGAGCAACAACATATTCTTGTTGTCCTCAGGCGGAGATCTTCTGTTGAGAGTGGTCCGTGCACACACATGTGCTTAGTCTATGAGAGAGTGTATATTATTGCAACAAAAGGCAACCAAATGTCTTGATCTCGAATGTTGAGGTAAAGTACAACTGTTGAACACACTGTACAGTATCCACTGGCGCCCGTTTGACTCGCAAGTATACTATTTACTACAGGGTCATTAGTAATTATTTTATGTTGCGTTTCATATATTGCAGTGACACACAAGATTTGCAGAACTGGATGCAAGCGTTGAACCTAGCCTCAGCGGTTCACTCCGCTCCGCCGTTGCCGGCCGCCGTCGGTCTGCAGAAGACGTTCAGACGACCGCTGCTACCATCATCACTAACCAAGCTGAACATGGTACCCATTGCAAGATTGGAGTAGGGGCAAGGAAGGGGATTTCTTAAATCTTATTCTTTTTACTCTTAAATGTGGAGTAAAAACGTTACTCTTTTTCGAAGCTTTTAAGAATGCATTGCATGTACGTTTAACACACGTGTGCACAAACACCAGTTTGACTTCTTAAGGTCTTAGTACTTTCACAAATTGGTACCAGAAAATGGTATTAAATTGTTTTGCAGCTTATTGTCAAAACACTAGCAAGGACTTTTTGTTTTTCCTTCTTTCCGGAGGGGAGTTAAGAAAACTGTAAAAGTAGGGTTTAGGGTGGATGGCCGAAACACTGTGTCGCTTGACATGCCAATGTGCGTGTGAACTGGTAAATATTGGTGTTCTGAGTTGACCGTTGAATGACGACACATCTTCGGCATCATGTTATTGACCGAGCTGACGATGCCACTATCTTTTATTTGGATTTCCTTTGCAGCAAGAGCAACTTGCCAACCACGAGAGGAAAGTAGAATCCATAGAGCAGGAGCTGGAGGACCATCGGACCTACCCTCCCGATCAGGGGCAGAGGACGTCCGTGATGAAGGACTACCAGATCAAGCAAGAGTATCTGGAATTTGAGGTCAGAGTTTGTCTGTTGGTCTGTCCGGGGTGTAGGGGTGTTTGTTTGTTTGTTTGTTTATTGGTCTGTCCGGGTTGTATGTCTGTTTGTTTGTTTTTCCTCTTGGAGAATCCTCTCAGTTTGGGACAAAGAATGTCAGTGATGAAAGACTAGCAAACCAAGCAAGAGTATCTTGGAATTTGAGGTCAGAGTTTGTCTGTTGGTCTGTCCGGGTTGTGTGTCTGTTTGTTTGTTTGTGGAGATGTCTTTATTACAATTTGTTCGCTAATTTTATCCCCAATCTCTCTTTTTATCACAACAGTTGTCTCGCTTCAAGACCTACATCTACCTACTCCGCTCCCAGCCCACCTTCCCCATCGGCAAGTACCCGCTGGAGGAGGTCATGCCCCAACCCAAGCAGTCAGTGGACAGCATGTCGTCCTCCACGTCAAGCATCTCGTCGTCGGAGGGGAGTCAGGGTGCCAGTCCACAGCAGCAACAGAACCAGGTACAGCGGGGGTTTTCCAATCGCTACAGCTATCGAATGGCCATCTATAATAGCAATATCGGGGTGTTTGAACAAAATGTCTGATCGGCCAAAAAAACACAATTTTTTCTAGAGAATTTATTGAGCTGCTAATTAAGCCATTATGAAGAAAAAAAGAACAGATCTCATGTGAAGAGATTGTTGGGTATTACATTACTAGAAACAAGTTCTCTCTGCTGCACTTGAGCCAGTAAAAACTTAGTTCTTGCAATATGAACAATGTAGCCAAACAAAGTTGCCAAATTATTTGGGGCAAGATTTAGTTTAAAAAAATGTTGACATTGCAAAGGGATTTTTTTCAGAAACCACATTTTTTTTTGCAAATATGAACAAGTGTAATCAACTGGGCTAGTTGTAACTAACAAAACTAACTGAACCAATAAACTATCAAACTTGAAAGTTTTTAAACGGGAAGCTTAATCATAACATCGTAAAAAGTAAAATCCAGTTATATCCGGACTGTATGTGGTTCAAAATGTCATTTCTGTATTCCATCCTCATTTTCCGATTCAAGTTTGTCGGTTCCCTGTTCATACTTACCTCCATGTAGGTACCCTTAGCTCATAATTTATTCAAATCTTTTTATGTACTCCATTTACAATTTCTGTTCTGGTCTCTGCTTCATATTTGGATCCCAATTCTGGTGGTTCTTCCTTGCTAATTTCTTTCCCTCTTTAGAAAAACTCACCTAAATCTTTTACTTGTAAAAATTAAATAAAATTTGAAACCCACAGTCAACATTTGTTCTCATGAAAGCATCGTGAAGGCATCCAAATCAAGTCACAAAAAATTTCACAAATTTCCTTTTTTTTTCAGAAGGGAGAAGGTTTTTTTTGTAAAAAGAAGCAATGTATTGAGAAGTCAGACAGATTTGGGAATATTTTTCGGATAAAGAGGAGATTAAAAGTTATACAGACAATAGTCGTGGTCACAGATTTCAAGTGATATCTAAATTTATATTCTTGACGAGAACTGCCGGTTAGCCAGATGAAATAAGTTTTTTCTTATAATCAGTGAATAGTAATTTATATATTGGACGTAATGATGACTATTTTTTGATATGGGGATAGAGAAAAAATTCTGATAGATTAATACAAGTAGTGAAATGAGAGGAGTACAGTAAACCACAATATATATGAGTGTTCTTGTGCAATTCTAAATATTTTGTATCGTATCAATTGCTAAGCTTTAAGATTTAATTGAAATTTGTATTGTTGGCACCTGCTGCTTATAACAAGCTCTGTGAGTTGAAGTAAGCAGATATGTATACGTACACACGTAGTTACTATTAACACTTGCCCCTGTTGACATTGGTTTGAATGTTTTATGGTGTCCGTGTGTAAGTACTCCCTTAGCGGTTACAAAGAGAGTAAGGTGGGAATTGTTAAATCCATCGATGCTGTACGCCTGGCACTGACACGAACTACAGGTTCATGGACTTTCAGATGAAAATTTATCATGCGTACTTTGCGCCATGCGCACGCCAACCAGTGCGTTATTTCTAAAAAACATTAAATATACCGGGTGAGTAAAAAAAAAAAAAAACGCATCCCAAATGGCAGGACCAATTTTAGAATGAAGTTTTGCCTGTAGCACTTTCAAATCTAGGATTTGAAAGCCCAGTCATTAAGCTTTCTTTTAGTACAAGAATTATTCAAATCACTCATGTGCTTTTCAAGTTACGGCATTTTGAACACAAACACCGTTTTAAAGTTCAGTCCACGTATCACAAAACAGGTAAGTGTTCTTTCAGCAAGACGAAAACAATTCTCATAGGGAAGTATGCGAATTGTTTTCGTTTTTTTTTGCCGATAATTGGTCCTGCGATTTGGGATGCGTTTTTTTTACTCACCCTGTAGATTACTTGCAAAATTGGGGGAAAAAATACAGATAAGGCTGGGGAAGAAATTGTATGGTTACAGTAACGCCACAAAAATTGTCCAGCTAGGTAGGTAGGAAAATAATTTTGTTTTGTAAGGTTTTTACCTTTTTAATTATTTTAACTTTTTTAATTTAATTTTGTTTGTACCATGCTAAACATAGCACCACGTCTGTCATATTATCATGTAATAATTCTAATCCATGAAAAAGTTATGTATTTAATAACCAGTTTCAATGGTTTTTCACCTGTTTCACCTGACCTACTAATTTTGCTGGTTTCCAATAATATTTATTTATATTTATTTTGGTTTTCAACTGAGCACAGTTGGAGATTTTGTGACCTTCGGTTAATAACACAGGTTGTTTGCAACTGTGATTCGTTGTAATGATCTTATGTGTAACTTCTGCCATTTGAATTTCTCAATAATTGTTTTCATTATAACTAAGAGATATTTTAACACAGCACCCATAACAAAATATCCTTTTTTTATCACTGTATTGGGTTACTACCTCCATTGGGAATATAATACCAAATATCTACTGATATTAACCACGACTAACCCACACTTTTATTGTCCATTATGCCATGAAATGTGCCAGTTTTTCTTAATTTTTTTGTCTTTTCACACAATTGTCATTCCTCAGTCTACGGCTTGAAATTACACATGTGTCTATGGTAGCGGCTGCAGCCACTTCTCATAGACTCGTGTGTAATTTCAAAGCCGTACCCAAGTAATTCGGACACGGCTTAATTTGCACTGTGGCTTTGTCCTGATTGCACTGAGCCCGAGTGGTGATTATTAGACTTGCCACAAGTCCTTCACCAGGACAACCGACCTTGGCACACCTGCTAGACTGTTCAGATAATATCAGTGTTCAGCTAATATTTAAAATCGTGTATTAATTACATTTCTTGTGCTGTATGGAAATGGTGGTAAGTTGTCGCAGTTGTCATCTTTTTGTCGTTATGCACGTCTGGCTTGTATGGAAGAGCACATCAATATTAAAATTCTACTTATTTAAGGAATAAATTACAAACAATATTTATTTAAAGTAATCAATATTTTTAAAAAAATAAGCTTTTTTATGCGTAAGATTTTACTTTCTTCGTCACTGGAAGAATCCATCTTTAGAAACAAGAAAGAGTTCAAAAAAATTCCAAGAAATTAAAATGAGAAATGGAAAAGACAAACATCAAATTTATTATTACTTTGTGATTGCCTTAAAGACAAATTGCGATTCGCGTTACACATGTAACTTACACGTATCTGGAGTGTCATTGGGGCTCTGTTTCCATGACAATAGTAACTCGGGTCGTCACTGCAGTCACGCTGGGGTCCGGCACATTTCATGCAACTTAACATTCTGTTATTACTCATTTTATGTTAAACTAATTTTTTTGTCTTCTTTTAATAAAAAAAGGTTTTTATTTTTATACTTTGATCTAAGCTTTTGTGTTTTTTAAATTTTCGAGGTAGATATTTTTATTTGGCTGCAAATGCAAAAAAAATAGTTGCGTATGATATCATTGATGGCAAAATAGGTTTGCTGGTGAATTTTTTTTTTTTTTCTTATCTTTTCTTTTGAAATACAATGCTGCTAAATGTTTATAGTAAAAAAAACAGCATAAAAATGCCATTGCCAAAATGACTAATGTTTAACTTCAGAGGAAGTGTAGCTTTCTGGCTTCTAGGAAATTTGCTTAATTTGATTTGGTTTAAAAGGGGTCCTCAAAAAATACACGTAACAAAAAAAAAAGCGATGCAGATTGCAGAAATTCAAATTTATGCTAAAATATTGAAATAAATAATACATGATTGAAATTCCCCCTATCAAATTGCTCGTTTGTTTTTGTCTTTTTTAAAATTCTTTTTCATGTAAATAACACTTGTATGTTACATGTAAATTCACCATGGAAGGTTATGATTGCAATTGTTAATTTTAACCTGGGTATATTTTTAGGATTTTTTTTTTTTTACTTTTGGTGGTAAATTAATTCTTGTTTTATTTGATTTCAAACCCAGTTTGGAAAAAAAGATCTTAAAATGGAGTATATTTCAAAAGTTGCATTTGTTGGACTAACATTATCATAATTTGTAAGATTCTTATGATTTTGTTTTTATTCGAATGAATAAATCTGTAAAATAATTGCCAAGTTACACACAAAAAGAAGGACATGTGTAATATACTTGTAATTTCTTGCCTTTATAAACGTAATATATTAAAAAGTAACATGGAAAGAAGCTTCAAAGACTCAGTCTATTTTTGGATTTTATTTTTGTCCATTTTTATTATTTCAAATTGCAGGTCCTCAGTTTTGCAAAATGGCATTGATTTGGTGGTGCAGAAATACTGTAAGCAGAAAAAATCCTGTAAGCACAGAATCCTTAAGCTACGGGATGTACACATGCATACAAACCAAAATTGCCTGCTAACCAGTGAAATACATACATGCTTACCATTGGTGTGGAAGTTTCTGCTACAGTTTTAAAGCAGGGTGTTTTTTTTTGAAAGGTAAACAAAGCAATGAAAGTTTGTTACGTTTTATCCCAGTACATACTAGTCTGAGGATAAAACATTCACTTGTGCAGAGCCACAGTCGATATAAACTAACATGCAAATTGTATGCAAGCCAGCGCGCCAGCCAATCGGAGTCGACTTTAGAAACTGTGACGTCAGTTTGATCAGAAATGTGGACTAAGCTGTTGATTGGTCAAAATTTGGATGCCATGTTTTTGTAATACAACGGGTTACTGAAGACCTGATATAGAATGCACCTGCGAAATGGTCAGAATCTCGAGGTCAAGACGCAGTCTTGTTTTGCATAATTAATTGCCGAATGTACCCTTGCTGAGCAATCTTGTTTCCTCCTTTATCCTGGTTTTACAGCGTCGTTAAAAGCCAGCCTCAACAATTGACATTGTAACTGTTTATCCATTTGCCGTCGTCAAGTTTTTTTTCACAGAAAAAGAACATGTTTTTGAATGGGGTTGTTAGGTAATATACATATTCTGCATATTAACACAAGCCAAATAATTCCATCATCACTTAATAACATTAATTAACCAATGCACTGTGGAGACTCTTTTTTTTCAGTTTTCATCCATTTCTTTGATAATCCTAATTTATTTGGGTAAGTTGGTATAATGTCATGTGCATGTTATTTGGCTCTTGTTCTTTTTAGACTAGTGGCAATTTTATTTTGGTATGCTAATTATTAAAAGATACAGAGCAAATTGCAGGCCAAACGAAAAGCAGAATGAAGTAGCTATTTTCACATCTTCCTTGATTTTTCATATAAATTGGGTTTGATGGTTGTGTTTAAAAGCAGCATTAATAAGCCAGTTGGGTATTTCAACTGTACATGCGCACAATGATGTGGGTCACTGGTCACTCGGAATAATCAAACGCTCATCGAAGATGCATGAACACGCAAAGAGACGGTCGCACGGTGCTCACGTGTTAAATACAAGCAGAATGGCATTCGCATTACATCGCGTTTACATTTTATCCAGCGATTTTATCCAGAATGACCTTTGAAATGGACTACTTTGTTGGTAAACGGTAACATTCATCTGTGTATGTGGTATTCTGGTTGAGGGTTTTCTTTGCAGCAAATGCAACTTAAGACAAAATAACTAAGAGTGCTGAACATATGTAGTTGTGTTTACAGCATTTTGAGAAATCACAAGTCAACTGAGAAAAGCGGGGCATGACAGACCCTTTGCACACAGCGCCCTCGGTAAGGCCAGGCAGTGTTTCCCCTGCCCATTCAAACGTGAGGCGGCCCACCTTTACTTTCAGTGACCACCTCGCCCAATTTTTGCCAATATCACCACCTCACTGTGAAGGTTTGCAATAAAGGAAAAACTCAATTATCAAAAAAAAATTATCAAGTTGTGTAAATTTATTAGCGTTTTATTAAGAACTCACAATTTGGTGAAGATGGAATCATCACGCTTTTTTGTGAGCGTGCATTCTTTTCAGTTTGTATAGACCGCGTAAGTTTCAATCATCAATTTGAATTTTTACCACCTCGCTCAGTTCATTAGCCGGGGGAAACACTGAGGCCAGGTTTTGTTATTTAAAGTCAGTGACAATGAAAGTATACAAAGTGTCCACTCATGGTTATTACAGAGTAACAAAGACTGTCCACCTTGAGGGCGCTCTATGCAAAGTGTGTATACCTTATTTTTTCTGAATTGTGAGTTTTCTAGTCGTACTTTTTGCATGTGCAGTGTTGCCATTCATTTGATTACTTTCTCTGAATTCATAAATGTATTTTATTTATGTTCTTTCCAAATTGGACATGCTGTGCTGGGATACAATATCTGTTGCCCAAATTCATGATCGTGCTCGTCTTTTTTTATGCATTTTTTATCCCGCAGGTTCATTTGCAAGCAAATTAAATATCTTAGCCTTTCAGCAATTTAAAAGCAGCATCATGATTTCACACATGAAGGTTTTTTTTAAATCATCTGACACATGAATTCACTTATAGTTTGCAGTATTTCCTTTAGTTCCATACTGCTTGATTGAAAGCCTGTGCATTACAACAAAAAAAAAAATTTGTAGCTAGTGCTTGCACAGAAATAGAGCTTAGACAGTGCAAACCAAGAATTTAGAAATTGGAAGTGATCTTGTGTGTGCAACTTTCCTTTAATCTTCCTTGGCAACTTGTTCTTCTGTAGACGATTTGGTCTTACTTTGTGGGATTGCATGCTGACATCTAGCCAAAAAAAAGTGCTGTTGCCAAAAAAAAAAAAATCTCAATCCCACACTAATGCATGGCATGCATGCATGTCTTTTCTTTTTGCATGTTAACACTGCAGATGTACATGTATGAAGATGGTGAAGTAGTCAACCGTTACTACGACGACACGGATGACACTGATGAGGAGAGTGACTCGGACACAGGTTATCAAGAGGACTATTCCGTGATGGCAGTAGCACCTTTCCCTATCAATCAATTTGACGAGATGACAAAGTTGTAAAAAATGAATATTCATAAAATGGACTCGATCTACCTGTCAGTCGTACAGTGCATGTTGACCAATTAGATCGCGACTTTTTGGTAAGGTGACCACTGAAGCTCGGTCAAAGAAAATATTAAATTTATCGATTTTTTTTTATGCCAGTTACAGAATATTCTGAACTTAACATCAAGAATTAGTGTATCATAATTGACCGATCAGTTACTTATTTTATATGTATAGTCATAAAAGTATATTCAAAGTGTATTCAATTATTGTAAAGTGTGAATAAGGCATTATAAGCATCAAATGTATGTAAAAAAAAAATTTGTCATTATAGCTTTGTTAAAACTATATTTGTTAATACTATCCTCATTACCCTATTTATGACATACAAATGACAAAATGGCCATTCTAAGACTCGAAAAAAAAGTGAAACACACAGACAACTGGACTAAACTTACTAGAGAAAGTTTCATGACCTATCCAGGTCACTTCCTCAGCACAACAGACTTTGAAGTTTATTGGTATAGGCAATCAAGTTTTATCACAGTATTTTCTTTTTAAGTTTTGGATTTTTTTGTTTTTAATACTGAATAACTCAGTCTCGGAGAGCCAGTTTTCACGTCAGCAAAACAATTTTGTTTTAAACAATGAGGTAAAACAAACATGTAAATTGAACCAAATTTAATGAAAACTTGAGCCGAAGAAAAAGTGAGATTTTTTCCATCAGTTTTCTGAGCAACTCAGTTCCACCCTTTTAAACACTATTCATAAATACCTGAGAGTCTACCCATTCCTGTTGGTCAAGCTCGTCATTTGCAGGCATGCAACTTTTCCTTGGATCAGCTGATTTCCTCTTTTGTTACTTCCCACGTCTGCCATTGAAAATAGAAAAACACTGTACAAAGTCTTGGAAAGATTTGAATTTCCTCTTTTTTTGTGACTTCCCAGTTGCATGCCTGCATTTGGGTGGTTTTAAACTGCTGGTAAAACACTGCTGCGTTCTGCACCACATCGCACAGTATGCGCCACGCGCAGCTCTCTCCATATAAGGAGATTTTTAGCACTATGCCCATGAGGCGCATACCATAGACATGGCCAGAGGGGTGTTTCCACAAAATATGAAGTAAAATTGCTGGACAAAATCGTTGAAATTGTATCAGTTTCTGACTTTTTAAAAAACTTTTTGACCAAAAGGGTATTTATGAATGTGTGCTTGGCCAGTTTAAAACAATTACGTTTAAAACCAGCTTGGGGCCTGTAGGCAGATAAATTTGACTTTGGCTAGTGTGTACACGCTCCTAGCCGGTATTAAACGTACTTGTTTAAAACTGGCCAAGCACATTTATTTTCTTACTATAGCTTGATGTAAAAAGAAAAAACCAAGGACCCAAAGTGAAATGTTTTTGAAAGAAATTGTTTGAATTTTATTTTTACTATGTTAACCAAAGTCACAAACAATGGCGTGTAATCAGATGTCTTTTTATTTAACAAAATTTGTTGAAAATAAACATGTTATTCCACAAAACTATTTACTTATGAAACAAAAGGTTGGTTGAATTTGGGACAAAGCAATGATAACAATTGACATTTGGAGAAAAATATTTAATTTAACTGATCTATTTATTGGGTTAACTATTATTCCCAAAGGGTTATTTACTCAATAAAGTAATGCTCACTATTAATTATAATTTAAACAATTATTTGACACATTTATCTGATAACTTTCAAAATGTAGGGACTATTTTCAAGATGCCCACAGGGTAGCAAAATCATTCTTTGCGACAATTGCGACATGTTCGCTAGAAATTTATTTGCTCAAAATCAAAACTTCACATTTTTCTATCCAAGGGCATTTTATTCTTGCCACATCCAAGCATTGTTCTCATGTTGCAGCCTATATTACAAATGGTCTCTCCCAATTTCAAAACATCTTCTTAGAGAAGTATCTGACTCTGAAGGCTTGCTTCATTTCCTGCAAGGGGTGTTTCATCTCGGAGGGGGACGGAGGGATGTCGACAAGTCTCCGGAAGGCCGGCCATCGCAGGAGTGCAAATTGTCCTAGACCGACCAGACTGGAGGACAGCCAGAAGAACGAAAGAGCCTGGCAGAAAAGGGAATCAATTGCAACAATTAGCTCTTGTATTACATTGTATCAAATTGTATTACATTGTATAACATTGTAATAAACCCTATGACATTTTATTACAGAGTACTTATTCTTTAGTTTCATTACCAGATGAAGTGATGAAAAAAATTGAAGCCAGAAAAAAATTGAAAAAAAACACACAGTTTCTTACTGCTGGCATCATGGTTGCTATGGGGACCATTCCCAGAGAAAGTAGACGGAACCAGTTGACCAGTCGATGTTGTAACAATGTAAGTGGGCCACGCCTTAACGACCACATCTGCAAAATTTAAGAAAGGAAAACATTTTTCAGGCCACAATTGTTCAAAAATATAGAACAGCAGTGTATGTGTGTGCCTAGATCCTGCTGTGGGAAAATTTCAAAACTAAGACAGTTTATTGAACTACATGTACCAACCCTTGCTTTTTTGTGGTGTACATGTTTGTATGAAGTGCATGGTAGTAAGACATGCGAACAGCCAAGTAAATTCTGTAGTGCATAAAAATGCCAAAAGACGGCAAAATTTGGATTCCATTCCTCACCTCAACCAGTGCTAGATTGACCACGCCGAGCATTATGGGTATCGCTAGGTCAAACTGGGTAAGGTCCGAAAACCACAATGCACCCTGGGTAGCCAGCTCCGGCAGGAAATCTACGTCCATCTCTGCAAATTGCCAAAGAAACAAAAATTGTTGCTGTTATTTGAATTGCCAGAATTGACAAAAACAACATAGTTTATACTCGATGACTCGGTCGGTCAGAGGACAATACATTAGACTGACCCTTCAGGTCAGGCAAAGCTGAATTACAAGGAGCTAGGAAGTTTTCATATTAAAGAAGCAATTTTGTAAATAATCAGGTCTTTATTTCTTTGCTGTGTTTTTAATCGAGCAATAGTCTTGGACAGTCTTACCTGTACTGAAGAGTTCTGGGTATTTGCCGGTCATCTGACCAATGGCCATGGTCAGTGACGACCATACACCCATCTGCACTAAGCCAACATAGAAGATCTTCCTGGACTGGCATTTGTTGTCAAAGTGGAGCCGTGTTACCATGAATTTAACCTGAGAGGGAGAAGATCAAAGATTATTGTTTTACTTTTACTTTCCTTGCTGTAAATGAAGGCTTGTGCTTGCACCATATGAATCTCTCTCTCTCTTAATAAATATTTTAGGTTCTGGAAAGAAGCAATTGTACTTGTATGTTCGGCTGCGTATTTGACCAAATGCGAAGTCAAAGTAATCACAAGTTAGGTCACAGGTAAACAGAGCTAGAGGATGAACAATAAACAAAGGAATGCCGTTGTCGTGGTTCATTTGAACGACTTTTGATGGACTTGTGTATTTCACGCGACTGTTTTACTGGTAAGTTGTACTGCCCAAAATTTGTCTTTGCTTAGCCAATTTGTATACTTAAGAATTCACCCCCAATAAGCAGAATTTCCTAAAATTGTTTTCAATTTTGTTTATTTATAGGTCTTCCCAAGATGCTGACGATAACATCTGTGCATCTACCTGTTGGCTATAGACATTGGCCATCTCTTTCTGTGACCAGTTTAATTCTTTGGCCTTCAGAGCAACTTGCTGCTTCATGTGCTCAGCGTGGGTGTTTATCTGCGGCTGAACGTTCTCAATCTTGGCCAGAACTCGCTGTTGCAAGATGGAGAACGGCAAGACAAGCGCACCACGGAGGAGGAACGTCGTCACGAGGATTGTCAACCACCATGGTAGTGTCAACGTTTCGTGGATGTGCTCTAGGAATTCATAACTGCACTCGACCGGTGTCGGCATGTAGGATGATGAACTGGTGTTAGCGACATTGATGCAGCGTCTTTGTATTACCAGTGAAGGGACTGTGGGTAAAGTTGCAGGATGGTAAAGGTATGTGAGAGCAGTTCTGCAGGAGGGCAGATTTGAGTTTGTCAAACAGTCATGTGATCTCGTCAGGTGAGAGAATGTCCTGTGGTGCAGTTGTTTGTGACTTCTTATCCTCCAATGATTGAGACACGAGAAGACGAGCGTTGGTTCTGCTGCACTGATGCACCTCTGTAAACTGGACAGCTGTGATGGAAATAAAAATAAATTAAGGAGTTAAACTTGAAGTAACAAAAAAATGATAAAATCGAACAGCTCAACCATAGAACTAAATTATTCAAAAGATTAAAATTAATTTTGAAATTAAAAAAAATAAGGAACGGCTACACATGGAAGATAGACTGTTGCAATCAATCAAAATTACTTAAATGGTTTGACCATTCACTTCAATGTTCTTTAACTTTTTGAATATTTTTGCCCCATATGATCAGATCAGCTTAGTTTGATAATAAAATAATCTTTGAAGTTATTACGTGGCTCAAGGCCTTAGCCGCCCAAATTGTTTGCATTTTTTCTCTTTATATTTTATTATTGTTGGCATGGTTGGAGGTGTAACAAAATAAAAACCTAACACTAACATAAACAAATGACCTGACAGTGACAACATCATTTTAATGTTTATTTGACGAACCTGACAATGGTATAAAATCCTCCCATCTGTCAAAGATGATCTAATCAGTCTTGTAAGTGCCATTCTGGTGAAGATGGTAGCTGTGGTTTCATCTGCAGTGCGCAGGTACAGGTGGGCTAAAAATCGGTGAATCTAAAAATCAAACGTAGAGGAAAACTAGGCGTTACACCTACAGCACTGGGCAACCGGCGCGGCACGGTACATGGACGGGTTTAGTAAGTTACTTTGCAAGGGGTGGGAGCTATAAGAACTGCGCAATCGGTATTTTTCTAAGCCGAAATGCTACGATCGGTGAGTATGCACGCATTGTGGTTTTTCTCACCTATAGAAAGGCGATAGTCGGTCACAAACGGCCAGTAAAATGCCGCCGAACTTTTCTTGTGAGCGCAGCCATCTTCGATTCACAAATTATCAATAGCGCCCTCAAGTGATGTGGCAGTAAAACTCGGCCGAGCTAGCGAGGACGTGTCTTGTGTTGGTAAGTGGAGGAATTTTCATTTTTTTTAAAGGTGAAAATCTATTCTTGGAGCCTTGAAGGACAAATGAATACATTAACGAAGGCCAGTGCACAGTGCATGGGATTTAGAACTTAGCCTGCGGTAGAAGGTCGTTGTAATAATTGAAAAATAACGGTGACATTTTCGCAAAAATTTCCGTATGTCACTTGTCGGTATCATGTCGTGTATGTGGAAATAAGTCGGGCTAAATCATTTGCTAGTCAACTCGCCTTCCGTCCAAGCCACGAGTTTTTATGCGTCCCTGTGTATACGTGCGCATGTGCCGAGGGAGTGGAAGTGCCCGCACAAGAGCAGAAAAATGGACTGGTTCAAGGTACTAGGCCTATAAACATGAGCAACACTTCGTCATGTTCGTAGAAATAAATCATGGCAAATTTTTTTTCATATTTTTAACTTGTTAATAATGACAAATTGTTATAAAATTTAATCAATTAATGTTGGTTGAAAAGAAAACTTGCATGGTTAACTTGCGTGGTTAAAAGAAATAAAATAAAATTGGCCATTCTGATTTCTGTCTAATTTTGGTTTCATGTGTAGGCCTAACCATCACTCCCCCCCCCCCCCATCAGACAATTTTCAAAGTTTATTTCAAATTTTCCTGTGAAAATTAGGCCCTATACGTAAATTACACAATTAGATGATGAAAACACGTAATTATAAATTAATACTGTATTAAAGAGTTTTTGTCTTGTTTACATGTACATGTAAGTTGTTAGGAATATCTACAAATGAAGCTGACAGTCATGACAGTGACAACCGAGGATACATGTACCATCCGATGAAGCATCTGGACTTGAGATTGAGGCTACATTGAAGAAATCCTGAACTTGTATCCGACAGTAAACCTTCTGGATATCATCATGGTCAGGATTCTAGCCAACGGCGACATTGTCCAAGATGACGACCCACGAGTCCAACAGTCATCACATTCTGGCAACGCACCAACCAACAGAGGCTCTCGAATGGTGAGATTGTGTAGCATACATTGAGTACTAAAGTCAAGTTAGGCAAAATATTCACATGAGTGCTAGCCTTACACTTTACAGTGGTGGTGCGTTCAAGGATCATGCTAAACCCTTTCTTTGTAATTGTTAAGGTACAGTTTGCGTACTACGTAGTCTAGTACTGCATTAAGGATGAACTTTTGTTTATAAAATACATGTGTGTCTAATTTTAATAATCAAGGTATGAATGTTTTTTTAACAGGGTTACATCCAACAGAACACGGAGCCCCATCAGTACGGCCACGATGGTCAAGGCGCTGGAGGACACGAAGTTCAGAACGTCTCGATATTCCAAACACTCAACCAACGTCTCCTGGATTTGGGCATTCCGTGCTTCAACATCGGACCTTATACCATCCAGCCTATCGTCACCGTAGCCTTCATTCTTGCAATGCTTATCTTTGGACTCCCTGGCTTACTGTTCGCCGGGCTCCTGTTTGGGGTTGTGATGCTCAGCGGTGGGGGAGGAGGCGGCGATGACGGTGGCACAGGGGGTGGCGGAGGGCAGAGCACTGGGCGTGGGGATGGACAGCGGAGGCACAGAGGTGGACGGGTGCTCCGACACAGATGATTCGATGGAATTCAAATCATTCATTCATCGACTCTTTGCTGCATTTAGTAATACTGCCCTCAAGTGTTTATGTACCCTGAGACAGCAAATGTCTGGTGGAACGATTTTATCAATGTGACTTCACAGGGCCAGTGTACATGTGTAAACAAAAATAATTTTAATCATCTGTATTATATTTTTGTTTGTTTTCAACTCTTTGAATTAAAGCGAAGTCGAATAATCTTTATAACATTCAATCAAATTTCTTTAAAATGTATGGATCACCATCACGTTTTGATAATGTATTTTTGGCAAGACCAGATTCAGTGACCAATGAAATCCAAATTCAAATCTACATATTTAAGTCTCGGTAACTATTGAGAATTTTTAGCAAGACATTTTTAATATACGGTAAATTTGAGGAGATATTTGCAATATTGTAATAACGTCTTCTTTAAAATATAATACATTGTAAATTTTTTTGGGATGTTATTGGGAACATTGCCTAATTGTGATGTACAATGTAGTGTACATGTATGTAAGGCCAAAAAAAGAAGGTGGGCTTACGGTAAAGCTGTAATATTTTAGGTTTAGTTTGTAACTTTTTCTTTTGTCTTTTATGCTTTTTGTTTTTTCTCTTTAGGACACCATTAACGGTGTTCCATTTTGTTCACCTGTTTTATTGTTTAATTAACCAATAATACAACTAAGTTGCATATATGGAAGACTTTTTCTAAGATAAATAAATAAAGCCAAATATTTTGGTCAGCATAGCCAAAACAGTTGGAGGTCGGCAATTTGGCCCTAAAAAAATCCAGATATGTCAGGTTACTGTAAACACATGGTTTTTTTTCGACAAGCTTAAGTTAAACTACATGTTATAACATTTGGATAATCTTTTCATGTGGAATATCTTTGACAAGTGAAGTAGGCTAAGTGGCTTGGCATGATGCTCAGTAGAACTAATTGGCCTTTGCAAGGCAGAGTTGAAAGAGAGGCTCTACTAGCAGACTTTGATAAGGCCAAGAAACAAAATAATGTTTCCTATTACCCCACCCAACCTAGAAAATTATGCAGAACCTAAATCTTTATTCTACATTTTGTATAAAATCTATATATAACAACTTAAGACGCTGCCCCCACCCTAGCCTAGTTTTTGCGGATTTCATTTCTTTGAAACTGTTGTCAGCAGTGCGGTTTTGTCGCGCCATTCAGCGAAGCCTATTAACAAAAGCGCAGAAAAAATGCAGAATGAACACTTGATTAAAAAAACAAATCAAAAGAAATGTGCCATTATCCCAACGTATTTTTCTGGCTATAAAAAGTTACGACAAAAAAAAAATGACCAACACCCCCCTTACTTCACTATTGTTCAATGTAATAGGAAACACAACATTTTTTTTTCTTGCCCTGACTTGAATGGGTTTTTACATAAATTCATAATATAGCAAGGGCGGATCCAAAACCAAATTTTTAGGGGGGGGGGGGGTCGAGTATTTTTTTTCCTCAAAAAGGGGAAGGTGATTAAGTATATAGTGTGCACATTTCCACATTGTAATATTAATACTAAAATGTAATTTGAAGCTGATGGTTCGGGAGGGAGATACGCAAGGTTTTAATTTATTTCCTGACAATTTATGACAAAAATGTGTCTTCATTTCTCAGATTAACACCCCCCCCCATACGCCAATTAATGTAGAAGAAGCATGTAATGGCCAAATCTACTACCTTTTACTATATTATTTACTTTTAAAGTAATTTTACAAATAACTTGTGAATTTACAAAGTGATTATACTGATTTGGCCAAATCTAACCATCTACAACAAACAAAGGTGCCATATAATGGGTCTCATATTTTCATATACTTTATTTAATAGACATAAATAGCGCCTTGAATACGCAACTGTTATTAGAAACGTGCACTATATAATACTCTGGTATTATTATTATTATAAATTTGTTAAAAAATATATTTACTGAATAGTAGAAAAGCAAAGGGACTTCAAAAATGAAGCAAAAAAATCCAGTATTTGGGACGTTTCACATTTGTTCTCAGATAAAGACTTTTGATTTTACTGTACTAACCAAAAAGAAACTTACTGACGTGTCAATTTTACCCTGTGAAATATTGGCTGGAATTAAATAAATGATAAAAACAGCATCTTCGACCATTGTTTTTTTTTAATATTCAGTTTTTTGTTTTTGTTATTCAAATGAGGTCAGGGGCCATTTTTTCCTCTTTTTTTTGATTGCGCAATCTAACCTTTAAATATAAGTTCCGAGCACAAATTTTTCGAAGAAGCCAGTGGCCTGGCGGTCTAGCCCGCTGACCGCCAGGCCGGGGTCCCCGGATCAAATCCCAGCCGGGGACCCGGGAGGAGAATTTTTATTCACAGCAGTGTTAATTTATAAAAATAAATAAAATAGTGGCATGGGGCAGGGTTGAACCGTGTACCTTCTGCATGCCAGCTCTATTCTTTTCCGCTCTGCCATGGCACTTTCTTGAAAAAGTCTCCGGTTTTCGTAATTAAAACCCTTAGGTTGTTTGTACTTAGAGATTTTTCAGCTCTGGCCAGAATTTCAGATTTCAAGGGGTACCCCTTGAAAATTTTCCAGATCTGAGGGTCTGGGAGGCTGAGGGGTTTGGAGATGGAGGGTAGGCTTGGGAGCTCAAGAGTTGGCTGGTTGATGGTTTAGAGGAAATTGGACTACTAGTTAAAGCCTCTAGTTAAAGCCTCTAGTTAAAGCTACTAGTTTTGGGAGTTTATAATCTTGGAGGTTGTTGGATTTAAGAGTTAAGGGGCTGGACCTAGGTTTTGGGACTTTTGTAGTTACTGTGGAGTTAAAAAAGAGCAGGATGATTGAATCTTAACAGATCTAACTGTTGGAAGGCAGATGGCAATAAAGTGTTACTACACACACAAATTTGTTTTTTTTTCTTCAAAACTTTTTTTTTTTATTTAAGTCTGAAAGTGTTGAGGTCACTTGAAAATCCAGAACAATAAAGCAAGTATTTTTAACAGAGGTTTATGTACAAGAGTTGACATTTGTCGGTCTTCAACATTCCATTTCTTGCTGTGTCAACAATTTAAATCACTCATATTTGTGTACAAAAGTAGTAGACACATTTGAAGAAATTTAAACCAATTTTATAATAATTTGGTTTTTTTAATAATAGGCTGCACTTTTCTTTATTTAACATTCCTTTGCTTAATGTTTGTTTTACGATACAAAATATCAGCTCAATGCATGTACTTATATTAAGGCTGCTTCATGCAATTTTTTTTGCTATTCAGATCAAGAAAATATTCGACATATTATTTCAATTCTTTAAATTGGTACTGTTGAATGCATTTCTTCAAAGCACAAAGTTTCCATGCAAAATGGTGTTTTTTTTAACGTGATAGATACTGGTTTAGCACTATTAAAACAAGCAGCATTTTTATGCTTAAATCAACCATTTATCATTCAAAGTACTAAATTATGCTGATATTATGGACATACATGCGTTATAATTGTAAACATCATGGATTGTGTAACTTGATTGACGTCGTCTAAAGTAACAATTTCTTAATGCCAATGTATGTTATAGAACTGTTTAAATTTTGTCAACAATTGCGTACGTCGAACATAATGCTATTGCACTTTTTGAGTCACTACTAGTATGAAATGCCGATTGTCCGTCTTGGATGCGTTAAATAAATAGTTACCATGGTAATACAATATATATAGGAAAAAAAAAACAAGGTGTGTAACATCAGGTTAAGGTGATTTACCACAGAAAGCACTTTTTTGATAAAAATGTTTTGTTTTCATCAACACAAGGTTGTACGAAGTTAGATCTTTGCCCAAATATTTTTCTGGACATGAATTAGCTACATAACAAAAATAACCCTACTTTTTTTTTCTCTCCTGAAAACGTTTAGTTGAAATACACCTGGCTGTACAAATATCCCTGTAAATACAACATTCCATGAGTTCATCAACAATTCAGTGAAAAAAAATCCTTATTTACATGGATGGATAAAATTCAGGGTGAATTTACCCAACTACTGTTTCATGCAATACTTTTTTTTTTAAAGGCACACAACTGATGTTTATCGTCAAACTTTAAGTACATTTTCAGACATATCTTCAGCCAATATATTATATAACCTGTTGTAATATTCCAATTATTTACAGAAATGTTACATGTCAAAAGAAACTCGCCAAAACAAAAACAAACAAAAAATTCACAGCAAGTATATATCTTAACAGAGTTACATAAGAAAAAACAATACTTCAGTTTCTGATAAAAATGTTCACTGTGTTTGAATGCCATTAAGCTACAGAACAGAACAAAAACTAACAAGCACAAGTATTTGAATTCCTGTTCCAGAAATTGAAAAGTGACTTGAAGTCCCATTCACAGAAGCCATGTCCGAATGAATTGGCTGTGGCTGGCGAAAGTGTGACGTCACCTCCAGCACTTTCTGCACGATTGGAACCGAAAGTTAACGCAGCTTGAGCATTTGTAGCCAATGGCGCTATTAATCAGTGGCGGGCGTGTGTAGTGTATGTAACAAACTGGATAGGAAGCTACTGCAGTCACTTCCCATAGACGTCTGTGTTAGGGGTGGCTGTACCCAACTTTTTGTTTTTAATTTTGAAATCACAAAAAGATAGGAAATATTAGAAGAGGTTCAAATTTAATACTTTTTTTTTTTCATTTTTTTTTTTTATTGAAGGGGCTTTTTTAATGCCTTTTTTTTGTGCATGTAGTATACACCACATAATATGTGCTCAATAACAAAATATAACTTTAAATTCCATTCGGTTCTTCTTTCCTTCAAAAGAGATTGCAAACAACTTCAGTACTAAAAAAAAAAAAATTATCACACAGAAGAGCAGAGACAGAAAAAAATAAATAGATTTTAATAAAGATATACTCTCTACAAACCCTGCAGTTGAACTGCATACCAGCACTGCGTATTAAGAAATCTTTTTCAGTTCATTCACACTGCCACCCAGTACTGTGCGTAGCAATAAAATTTGTGTCCACTGTCTTCAAGAAGAACTGGAAGTGTTCTAAGGTATTAAACGTCAGCAGTTTTTACACTAAATATTTTAAACTCTGAAAAAAAAATCATGCATTTACCAGCATGCATGTTATAAGAGTACACAACTTCTTAGTTAACAATTTCAACAAATTCTTTCGGTTAAATATTGCATGATCACCCACTGCTACAAGATATTACGCTTCTAAAATGAAGTGAATCTTTTGTGGATCCCACTTCTGCCACCACATAACCTTTGACCTTTTTCTATGCAACAGATGCAGTGATTTGTAAAAGTGCTGCAATTTTTCACTGGTAATCTGTTTTTTCTCTAAGCTTTTTTTTTTTCAGTGCTAAGCGGATTTCTATCCATGACATTAGCCTGCGGTTAACATCAGCATGTGATGTAACTTACGCCTTCACGATCAAAGGTAATGTGGTGGCAGAAGTGGGATCCACAATGTTAACAGCAATGTGCGAACATCTTTAGCCAAAATGTTGACAAAGTCATAACCAAATCTTGCTCCTGGCTCCCTGCTTTACATTATGGTGCACTGACTTTCGGTAACCAGCCATGCGACCGACCTTGTTCGGCTGGTACCGGAATCGTCGACTAGATTTATCCGACTGTAGACTAGCAGGGGTTTGAGTGAGAACCAGTTGAACTATGGCTTAACCACAGTTCTCGTTCAAAGTTGTTACAGGACCACCTCTCTGATACTCCAACTTTGACAAGTCAGCCAGTAGGTCTATCACCCTCTAGTGTCAGCACATTGTTGTATTGACTGGGGCCTTCTGTTCGTCGGGATTACTGTTCTGCACTTGTACCATGTGATGCTGGGGCATCTGAGGAGTCATCTCCATCCCCTCCCCCGAGTCTCTCTTCTCACTGCGCTCCCTGTCCTTGGCCTTCCGTTTTTTCTTCTTGTACTGTCCGCCCCCACCACCCCCACCTCCACCGTTGGTGGCCTCTGGACTCTGAGCTTTAACCCTTGAGGACGGTGTGGAGGGGTCAAAGTGCTTCAGGACGAAGATGAGGTCGGTGGAGAGGAGCGGGAACTCGTACGGTGGGTTGGTGATGGTGTAGCGTTTGGAGGAGGGGGTGTTCGTGGAGAGCGTGGAGTCTCGGAACCGGTAAATGCCGAAGCAGAGCATGCCAAATTTCTTCAGGGCCTCAACGAAGAGGTCGCCGTACATGCCTCCATCCTGGAAAAAAAAATAATCAGATCATTGATTTATTAAACAGATACATTTCCTTAGCCAAAATCAGGGAACAAAATTAGAAGCAACCTCTTGCTTACCAGTGTTATCTTACTGCTCAACCACCGACCTTTCCAGGGTCAGATGGCTGGTTCGAATCTGATATAGCGCACAACAATATGATGCCTTCCCCACGAATGGACAAGTCCAAATTTGACCATAAGCCCCGCCCACGTTTGGTGTGTTCCGAGTCACCTGACCAAATCTCATGATCTGATTGGTCAATGCAAACCGTTTGATTGACAGGATGATAGGGATGTTATATAGACTTCAAAGAGGACTAAACAAAATTGAAACTTTGGGTACCTACCCCAAATAGCGAGAGGGGTCCGTCAATCAGCGACAACTGTGCCACTAGACATCTGTCCCGATTGACTAGGAGCTCCGCGGTACTGTACCCAGGCTTCATGTCACCTCCTTCCGCTAGGATCTGCTCAAGTTCGGGTGTGGCGCCCCCTGTGATCAGCGTTCTAATCAGGGTCAGAGCGTTGTCATTGAAGTACGTCTGCAAATACAAGAAAAAAGGTCTGGTAACTCAATTATTCATTAATTGGCCATATTGATTTTAAGTACATTTTAGTTTTTAGTATGGTTTCCCCAGCAACTTCACTTGTGAACAAATCTTTTGCAAAGGTGTCAGTCTAGGAGTTAATCTGGGGGACTTCTTTCCAGGGACAACCGACCAGTAGGGCGACTATATGTGCGTTGCATGAGCTAGATAGCTACTTAACCTTCCTGACCATTAAAACAGCAACTGATGAAAGAAGCGAGTTTGGTTCCTATGTACGAGGTGTTAGAGAAGTTGAGACATCACTCAAGATACTTACAGCACTCATTAATGAGTCCAAGACACTGACGGCAAACGCTGTGCCACAAGCGAAGGGTTGGGTCAGGTAAAGTTCCGTGTTGGGATCATCATCGTCATCTTGGTCTAAGAACTGGACGTTGCAGTCATTTACTGAAAAATAAAAAAATGACAAAATTGGGTAAATTAATAGGCAATAGCTCACAAATCTTGAGCTGTATGGCAAAGAAATGCACATGAATTGGGACTGCTACTGTCACATGGTTTGGAATCTTAAACCTCTGGATACTACTGCTTAGTATAGACAAATTCGGCAGCAGCCATATTCTGCGGTGGCACCTGGCTTGCGCAAGTCGCGCTCAGGTAGTGTGCACGCACTCCAGGCTCCTTCGACCAATAGAAATACCAAAATGCCTGTACGCCTCGTCTTTAAAGAATGCGCGCAGCATGCGCGTGAGCGTGACACCACCGCAGTAAAAGCTTCTAATTCGGGTCGCCGGATTCCACGATACCAACTAGCTAGAGTTGGGAGATAGTGTGTGGACTACGCCTCTGGGGTTACACTATTTCTCTGGCGCACTGGAACCAATGACAGATGTCTATTTTACTCATGAATATGGAAATGAAGTGGCTCATGAATATGGAAATGAAGTGGCTCATGAATATGGAAATGAAGTGGCTACACTTAGAATACAAATTGTAACAAATGTTTTAACTGGAAAAGTGTCCAGTGTAAAGCACCTTTTCAACAACCTGTGCAAAATTGCTTAGCACATTAGGTTCTCGGCGAAAATTTGCAGAGAACCAGTCAAATGCAATATACATTGCATGAACATTTTGGCTGGTAACCCGTTTTTGCTTAGCATATATTTTCTGTGCTTGAAATTGGTCCCTTGTTTTTGAGGGAGAAGTCGTGGAACACTCACCAAGCTCTGTAATCATGGGGACGTTGGCTCCTACGGCCGAGCCTCTCCTACCAGGCTGATCTGGGTTGGTAGTCATCTCAAATCCAGGCAGCTGCATCGGCATGATGGCTGTAGCAATGGTTGGCATACAAACAAAGAATTGAAATACTTGGCTATTAAGATAAACTATGACAAAGGCATTTCTTTGTTATTGTTCACCCACTTTTTCCTGTATTGAGACTTTTGAACAGACTAATTGTGATTTACTAATACGAATGGACTTGTGATAGACTCAATGAACACTTGGTGGCACTGTGAATGTTTTTTTGTGTCTTGGTTTTGATTTTTGAGCATGATGTGATATCAACCACTCATGTCATGCATATATGTGACAAATTGAGCTTAAAGTCTGACTTTTAAGAATTGAGATATTTATTTATGTGCATTCTGTAGAACAAGAGCTTTCCAATGGTATACAACGTTAAGGGAACTGAGTTCAGTAACAGAGATATAGACCACCAACTTACTTGAAGTTGTAAAACTAATTCTTGAAATAATGGCATATAAAAATCCTGCAGTTGTGGTACAGTGAATGAACAGTCAACTACAAAAGATGGAATAGGTTTTAAAGATGTTTGACAGACCAAAAAATATTTGAGAAAGGCAAAAGAGGACTTGAAAATTAAGGTTCACTTGAAAACAAAAAATGACCACCCTTCACATTTTGGCTTTGCCCACTGTACTGCAAAATGGCAATTTCCAACTTTAAGCTCATTTTGTGGAAACATGTCACATATGTTTATGCTGAATACATGTGATTTTAATGCATTAGTATGTATATATGGAAGAAACATGCACTACGGTTACATCCATAATGCACATAATGCTTCAACAGTCATACCTGAATTAGGAACAAATGGCTAAGGCTACAGTCTACTGGCGCGCAGTTGCCGAAAGCTGCAGCCATAGTCATAAAATGCCTGATTCAGTCATGCTTATAAACATGCAGTCTTGATGGAGGAGGGCGTGCTGAACTCAAATGACATTTGACCTCTTGGATGGATGGTTTCCACGACAACCACGTTTGATGTTAATAGGTTGAATTTTGGATTGGGGGTTGGGTGTGTCTTGTAAACTCAATCAGGGGATTTTTTTTCATCATCCCTTACATGCCTTGCAAAGAAAGGAAGAAGAATTTAACATTTGTACAACTTAAGAGAGAAGAAAAGGAGAAGACAAATTTTCAGAAGAGAAAAAAAGATCCGTCTTTGTATACGTGGAGTTTTCAGTAATAAATAGAATAATTTCTTCATCTGTTTAAGTCTTACGGTGGACATTTCTAAGCTGGATGGTGTATTCAGCTAGTGGTTCAGCCTTTTTTCATGGAATCTCAAATATCAGAAATCTTGGTAATAGCAAAAAAAGGAAAAATGCACATCTCATCAAATTTAATCATTCTTCTTTTTTTCATGAACCATGCATGTTAGCCTGCTGCAAACAAGTTAAAATTATGCAGCTGCAGAATTCCTACTGAATGGCAACTTGCTATCGTTCAGGATGTCTACCAAATTTAAATATGCAAGAAGCGAGCTCTATTGACCAAAATGACATCTGGTCATGTGACCTTACTTGACCCCACTTCATTGACAGCACACTTCATTAAGGTATTAAAATTTCTCCCCCCCCCAAAAAAAAGGTAAGCTATAACGTATACCCAAATGATGACACTTTACACAGAACACGTACAAGGTTAAAACCTCACAAAACACACAAGAATAGGTGAAAGGAAAGTGAAGACACAATCTAGACAGGCATGCAAGGGTAGATGTCTCTGGTTAGTGTCTGGGGGTCTGACGAGGGGTTTGACCACAGGTGCATCAGGACGCCTGTCACCTGCCGGTTTCAGCACACCCTTGCCATCGGATGTTCCCACAACATCTCCCTCCTCTATTTCTCCATCTTCGTCGTCGGACGAGGCGATGGGGCAGGACCCCTCGCTACGGTCCCCACCATCATCACCTTGTTCCTGGGCGGCCAGCAGACCCACCGAGTCGTCGAACATCATGGCCTTGAGATTGAGGGAGGCTAGAATGGTCTCCTTGTCCTGCAGGCTCTGGTCTATCGAGGTGCTGTCGTTGGCGGACAGGATCACGCACATGTCGCATTGGTTGACGTTGGCGGCGCGCAGGTCGGCGCGGCTTAGAGGTGACCCCTAAAGCAAAACAAAAGCATAAACAAAATTTCAAAAGAGTGCCACAATTTGATGAGGATAATAGCTGCCCAGTTTGTCAGTAAATGTTCACATTAACTTGTCAAAAGTCCAGGGAAATCTTACATTCATGATGTAGACTTTGGGGAAGTTCTTAAGTGTCTGCCACTCCCTGTCGATGTACTGGATGTCACCCAGCAAGACAATCGTCTTCAGCTCCTCCAGATGAAAGTTGCTGGCTCGCAGCGGCATGACGAAGTTCCTCAAACCGATGAGCGGAGAGTTGCGGTTGCCGAACACGCAGACCACTACGTGGTTGGACAGGTTGGTCTGCTGGGCCTCCTCTCGTGTCTAAGGGGGAGAAAAATAAGCAGAGTATTCTTTCACATAAAGCATTCGGTACGGTGGGATTTGAATCGTTTTTGGCCTTTTTCCAATCTAGATCAATTCAGAGCAGTGTTGTGGTCAAATCCATCACAAATCTTAGAAGTCCTCACAAGTCCATCACAAGTCCATCACAAGTCCATCACAAGTCAATCACAAGTCCATCACAAGTCAATAACAAGTCCATCAAAAGTCCATCACAGGTCCATCACAAGTCCATCACAAGTCAAGTCAATCACAAGTCAAGCCAATCACAAGTCCATCACAAGTCCATCACAAGTCTATCACAAGTCCATCAAAAGTCCATCACAGGTCCATCACAAGTCAAACACAAGTCAAGTCAATCACAAGTCAAGCCAATCACAAGTCCATCACAAGTCCATCACAAGTCTATCACAAGTCAAACACAAGTCCTTTAAAAGTCCATAACAAGTCCATCACATGTCCTCCAGTCTTCCATGGCCTAATTCCAGCAACCTTGAATGTTATTTTGGTTGAGCCTGTATCTGCGATGTGGAATTCATCACAGTACCGGCAGACAGACTCACCAGGAGTGCATAGGAGGAGGTCCTTTCCTTGCACCAATGGAACATCCCCGTTGAATCAAACTGGAAGGTGTTGTCGGCATCGTTGAAATCGGGCAGTTGTTTCAGACGAGGACTCACCCTGAAAAAAGAATTACGACAAACTTCATTTTGTGAAAATCCATCTAAAAAGCAACTTGACTAAAATTATCAACATAAAACTCGACAAGAAAATATGGACAACACAAAAAAAAACAACATTGATGCTCAATGAAAACGAAGAGTTTCTTCACGTTTTAAATTCCAGGCATGTTTTACGAGCTCAATAAAACAGCTATTAACAGCAAACAGCGGTCAACTGAAGATTTTACTATTGTTCTACTGGGATCACACGATTGTCACATGACCAAGACAAAGGGTTTGACTATACTCCAAAAATATGTTGCCAAAAAATGCGACAGACTTACCTACTGGTGCTGTGCGTACATAATGAAGTACATGGGATTCGTGTGGGGAGAGGGGGAAAAAAGATATTAATCATGTTATTGAGGGCAACAAGGGAAACATTTTACTAGCACTACACGTCAGTTTCGCAACTCAAGCACGGTAGTCTCTACATGATGATCTATATTGTGCACTGCAAAAGGAAAGAAAACCCGCCAACCGGTGATGTGTGTGGAAAAAAAAAGTGACGCGGAAGCGAAAGTGTCAACGGGAAACCGTCACCGTGGCTACTGAGTGAAGATGATGTCAGTTGCTGGGGAGACAAAGATGATTGTTACCAGGGAGACGAAATGACAATAGGATGTGTTAGGGTGGTGATGAGTCTGGTGTCGGCCTCCTCATCACAATGGCGGTAATCGTGCTCCACTATGAGTGAAAAATGTATGACTCTACAATTTTGTTAAAGAAATTAGCAAGGTACTAGGCGAGTTAATCAAACTTGAAACGGTTAAGAAATTTAATTAAGGAATTACAAAATCCCGAAACACCAATTATTCTTGGGAAAAAAAATAGGAAGAAAAGTTTAATTTTCAAACAGACTTCCACCATGTGAGCTACTTGAAAAGCAGCTTTTAAAAAATGGTAACTCATTGTCCGATTCTGTGAGTTACTCGAGTCTACGAGTTGCTCTACATAGGACACCATGGTAAGCTGAATGCTTTCAAGAGCTGTGACCAAACGGACTCTTGCTAAACCAGAGATGTCTTCAAACACACGTCCCAGACAATTTTAAAAGATTGAGAAACTCAAGAAATCACTGAGATTTTTTGGGGGAAAATGTGTATCAATTCAGCAAGATAATACCAGTTTTTAGATGAATGTTTACATTATGCCATTGTTTTTCCAGAGGTAAAATCTTCCAGTTAGCAAAGCTACAGTCAGATAGTTAGCCTGTTACACCTGATGGAAAAGGAACAGCTAGTAGTGGCATTATCGGACAACAGTTCATATGTTGCAAGAGTCTGTGGTGTTCTGATGCTTTCATACTGTTCAACTGATTTTTGGAGGTTTCTTTGAGGAAGAAGAATGAGACAATACAAACAAAAATAACCAAAAGCCGTGTCTGTTTTCAGAACTTATGGATCTTGGTATACAAAAATTAGAATTTAATTTCAGTCATTTTTTTCAAGCACAACTATTATTCGACACACTCTGCATCTGCTATACAAGGCAGATACGGTTGTTTTTGTAGCGAACAGTTCAAAGAAATGAAAATAATGCATCTCGTAGACTCTTGCAACACTCTTCGTTATCCCGCATGCAAGGGTGGTAGTGAAAGAAATGACCACGGCACACACCGGTGAGGACACACACACCCCCAGGCAAATACCCACACGCACACCCACACCCACCAAGTCGGTTTGGGGCTGCGATCCCCATTCATATACTGCATCCTTAGTAGTAGCTGGCCCAGCGATCCCACGCAGGGACGCGGCCGGTCAAACCGGACAGGACGACGGAAAGCATAACTGATGCGACAAAACAAATCAAAGGGTGAGGTATAAAGATTTCGGAAGTAAAATAAATAAAAAACAATCACGAGAAATGCTGTCAAAATGATGAAAAGAAGGCAAAGTCGTTCAATGGGCTTTTTGTAGTCTGTGCAAGTAAAATTCCCAGAATTTGAAACATTGGTGATTGTTACTATGGTCAGAGAACAATTCCATGAAAGGTGTCAAAAAGAAAAAAGAATTGATCAATTGAATTCAGCAGCCATGTTTGAGGTGCATTTCAATACATTAATTCGTTAACAATGATTGTACAATAGGTACACTCATGCGTATCCCTGTTGAACAAATTAAAGCACACGTCCCAAAGACGGCTGCAGTGCAGACGATCTGTATCATTTGGAAGATTTTAGTAAACAACCATTTACACAATTGGAAAGGGTGCCAACTTGGAAGAGTGTAGCAAAATGTTTAATGTGCACAAGACATTTTAATGAATTCCAGCAGTAAATGTATATTTACAAGTGTACATGGTATTATACAGTGCGTTTCCTTTGAATTAGGAATCCAGTTTTTAACAGACATTTAACCAACCAAGTTGTCCCAGTGCCTAATGCCGTCTTCCCATACATGCAATTTCAGTCCATTTGTTTGTCCGCATGGGGAGTCAGGTTGGCGTAGCGGTACTTTCCTCGCCTTCCACCGCTGTGACCCGGGTTCGAATCCCGCCTGGGTGAATATGTGGATTGGGTTTTCAGTCCCTACCTGATTCCGTGGGTTTTCCTCAGATTATTCTTCTGGGCTTTTCCTCCCACCTCTAAAACTGTGATTTCTTCTCACTGTCTTCTCTCCACAGGTTTCTTCAGGCTTTCGAGCTACAGTGCTTATAGGGTACTTTTGAGGAATCCTTGGTTTCATTACCAGAAAGAAATAAAATAAATAAATAAAAATGTCTATGTAGGTCTATTATAAACTGAGCATTACGGCCTGAAATCCCCCCAAATTTCATGTTTTGGATTGTTAACCTATCCTATTTTAAAAGTCTGGTTGAAAGGAAACTAACCCAATGTCTTACCGTTCCCAAGAAAAAAACGACAAACCCTGGTAGTTTACATCGGACGCATTGGACATTTTTTGACATACTCAAACGTTTTTCAAGTCCAATCTATTCAATGTATCATACACGTTTTGTGTGTGAATATCGAATACACATAGTACCAATACACAAAATGTTATTTCTCAAACGTCTGCCTAATGTGATACCGTACGGCTGGATTCACAACTAGCACTCAACAGCCCGATTTTTCGGGGACAAAATTGTGACCCCCAAAATTCGTTCTCGCATGATTCTTGCAAGAACAACACAAAAACGCCCAGTTTTTAAAGGATGGTTAGAGGATTATCAACCTTTCTTAATCATATCACATTTCTGTTTGTCTATTTTCAGACCGTGTTCATAAATAAGAACTCTGTCTCTTTGTTTTGTTCACTTCAACAATGAACACGATCTGAAAATAGACAAACAGAAATGTAATATGATTAAGAAAGGTTGATAATCCTCTAATGGTTGTGTGGACATTCATATCCTACTTTTAAATGTTCTTTCCAATTATTATACTTTCGCTTAAAACGCATTTTGTAGACCAATTCCAGGACATAATGTCCCTTTAACTACACAACATACACAAAAAAGGGACTGAAAAATGCAAATATGGAACGGCGGCGTAAGTTGTTGTGCAGTCTGGTTTCCTGACATGTATTATGAGAATACAGTGTGCAGTCAACCATCGCCGTGATTTGTCTGAAATATTGCTCAGCCAATGGAAAAGGGTGGTGCGTCAGTGAAGCTCATTTGTGCGATAAAGCATGTGACTTAATTTATTACAACTGTCATTATAATATTGTCATGGTAACAACACTCATCAGCTTTTTAATGCGGAGATCAAAGCTGTAAAAATGACAACTATAAACAACTGAGTTTCTTTATGAAAAACACTATTGGGAATAAGAATTTCTTTCAGATGTCTAAAATGTTGATAATATTTTCAAAATGCCATATTAAGTTGTACAAATCAAGAAAAGAACCACCACCTGTACAATTTTTAAATATACCACTCCTTTCCACCACCAAAATAGACTATCCCACAGTAACTAATAATGCTAATTCTAACTGCATATAACTTGTATCCACCACCAATATAAAGACTATACCACACTAATCTAACATTGACAATTCCAGCAACATATACAATGTATCACTCCAACCCACCACTAAAACAAAGATTGTCCTATGACACCCTCTTAATGGCAATTCTAACATCATACCCACCACCAAAACAAAAAAACAAAACCATTTATCCTCCAGCAACATAAAAATGGCAGTTTCAATTTTGTATATTACTCAGACCCAACAACAAAATAGCGACTTTCCTACATCACCCTTATAATAACTTTCCAACTACGTTACACGCCCACCACCAAAGCAAGGACTATTCTCCGACAACCTAATAATGGCTTTTCCAACTGCGAACCCGCCACCAAAATAAAGACTACCGACAGTAAAAAAAAAAAAAAAACATTTTCCAGCCACAACCTAAAAATGGCAGTTAAACCTACATGTCACTCCAACCTACTGTGACTCACAAAATAAACACCACCCTTGTAATTGCAATCTCAAATGATCTTCAAAGTGGCAATTCATCATTTCAAACCACCACCAAACTAAAAGACTATCCTTTATTATCCCAATTATTATAATCTCAATCCTGCCCGCCACCACACTAAGGAAGCCTCTACAGCCCACACCCCTAACCTTCTCTTTTTGTCTTTCCTGATAGGCCGTGACCGCACGGTGTTTGGCCTTCGCAGCCCACCATACCAATCCTCATCGGTCGGTGGGTCCAGGCTGTACGGTTTCTCTGCTTGGTTTGAACTACATGTACGTGTGTGGATGGGGATACAGCTTTGTAGGCTAGGTTAGTAAAAGGCAGACAAAATTTAAAAAAAGGACAAACAAAAAACATTTTAAAGCAGGGTTAGTGGATTCAACATCATGACAAGACTGTAACACCACAATTACATGAATAAACTTATCATCAAAAATTGGAGTTTGATGGCCATCTCTGTAGGAGAACTTCAACTATTTTACGCAATCAAGCACGCATTGCGCAGTGTTGAAAATGTTCCCAACATGCGCGCTTTTGCTCGAAATGTGTTCGAAATACAACACAGCCGATGCATGTTATGCAAGTTGACGCTCAAAATGCCGATGCACGTGGCTGGTCTGTAGAAAGCACGTGACTGGTCTGTAGAAAATGTCTTCATCAGAGAGAGACCTACAGTCTACATCCAATAATGCTTGGTGTAAGTATTCTTGTCTGTTCATTATGTTTATTGATTTTTAAGTTTGAAACACTAATTAAACTTTTCACATATCACAAACATGTTGAAACAGTCAAACAAATACACAGTCCCCTACATGAATTTCGTCTGTGAGAGTTCTTAATGCGCATGTTTGTAAAACAAATCTAGATTACATGTCCATATCTTGGAAGTTGGCACAAAGTACAATGGGAAGGGTAGCAGAAGTAACTATTTTTTCCCCCCGGATGTCAACCATTTGGACTACAGGTGCCTGACCCAAAGCGTGCCCAACATCACTATGGTAACATTAGTCACAATATTGCGCAGTGGCCTAAGTCCCCTCTCTGGAAGCAAAAGCAAAGCAAAAATTTTGTGTCAAGAAACATTTGCTGTGAAGAAATGAAACAAAGTGTTCAACAGCAAATTTGCAGCACGAAAACTTGATGCGATGTCACCAAGTCGTGTTCAAACTTAATAAACACCATGTTGTTAACCATTGGCACATTCATCGTCACATTCCAAGACATTTATCCGATGTATCCTCCACGGTTGCGCACAATCCCAGCCACTTACATCCTCAGACAGAACAAAGCTTGAAAAATTGTAACTTGTAGAATTTGTAAATGCAGCTTGGTAAATGTCTTACATGATCCTTCACAATCATCCCTTTCAAGGACAAAAACTAATGTACGTACTTTGTATTGTTGAGAGCCATGCCGTTGCTCTTGTCCTGTCTGCTGCCCTCAAGGTTTGACGGAATGCTCAATGCTGAAAAAAATAATTAAATAAAATTACGAACCAGAAATTACTTCCGATTGCTAAGTACAACTCAAACAAGTTGAAACTAGCATTTCATCATAACATGCTGAATTCCAAGCAACTGACCAACTGACCGACCAATCAACTGACCAGCGAGCGAGCCACCTAGCCAGCCAGCCAGACAGACAGCCGACTGACCAACCAACAATTCATCCAACTGTCAAGCCATCTTATTTGTAAGAAAACTGAGTCATAATGTACTTCTCATGCATCCAAAACATCACGTTCATTCTACAAGCCACAATATCATTCTGAACCAAAAAACATCTGTCAATAGTAAACAATTAAAATAAACATGCTTTAGCGAATACGTGCTTTCATCACTCAAAATGCTCCTCAAAATGCTGAATTATTGAAAATCAAATTCAGTACGCATTTAATCAAACTAAAAATACAAAGAGCAATCTAGATGGTTGCAGAAATCTTGCAGGTGATTGGTCAGGCGACGTCACGTGATGCTGTAAAAAAAAATGCACAGGCATACGACGCAGGGTGTTAATAATAATCAAAAGGGTTACATTGAAGCTGTACAAGTGCTACAAAGGTGACCAGCAGCTAGATACCGATTGGCTGGGTGTGATCATGTGACTAGGCAGTGCAGCTGTGATTGGCTACTAAGTAAAACAATGTCATTTAAAACAATTGCAGCAAATAAAAAAAAAAAGGATCTCTGTGAAGAATAGTCTGGTGTCGCACAAGATAATTGTGACTGAAATTAAATACGACAATTTCACTGCATTTGTTATTTTACATTTCTTTTTGAGTTAATCAGTAAAATATTTCTTTTCTACATTGAAAAAAATACCAATTCTGTCTCCCTGTATGATTGAACAGATGCGGTAAAAACAGTTGTACCTTTTCAATGTTTTATTTTTTTAATCTATTTTCTGTTAGCAAAGTATTTAGCTTTTACGCACACCAAAGTACTAGCAATGATTCCTGTCAAAATTTAAAAAAAAAAAAATTCTTACAGCTACCCAGTCTCTTCTTTACATTATCAATGTAAAAGTTGATAATGTAAAAGTAGTAAACAAAATAATAAAATGATAAACATACAGGGGAACAAGTACTGAATATTGATGGGGAACAGTAAATAAGGGGAACAGCACAGCACGGTGATAGCAGCTTTCAGTTGGCGGTGATAAATGGTCATTTCTCAACTTGATTTGTTTGCGGGATAGGCAATATTTTCTCTTACTGATCCCAAATGGGGATCAGGGTTGGCGTAGCGGTTCTTCCTAACATGTGGATTGGGTTTTCAGTCCCTGCCTGATTCCGTGGGTTTCCCCTAGAATATTACTCCAAGGTTTTCCTCCCACCACTAAAACTGTTCCGTCAACATCTTCTACCGAGGGACCCCATTGGAAATAAGTCAAAAGACTTTTGTGGAATATCCCAGCCAAATGCCGAATAATCACAAAACAAACCAAAGCTAGATCATGAAAATGTATGAGTTATCGTGAACCTTACACGTGTTCACATTGTCAATGTTACACACGCTTGTGCTGTCATCTATTGAAACTCAACTGAACAGTGATAGTGCTTGAATTATTTGTTACAAAGATACATACAAGTACAGCACTGTATTTCAAAAAACCTTGGCTTGTGGAAACTGTACAAATTCACAGTTTACGCCATAATGTTTAATAGACGATACTTCTAGTATGAATTGCACATTACAATCATCACAATGCATGTGCGTGGGAGAGTATGCTAAGACTTTGGATGTAACTACAATTGTACAACTGGGTGCAGTTAAGACTTCAACTCAATTTAGTGGCTCCGCTAACCATTAGTAAAGAGACCTGCTAACTACAGCGAAAGAAATTCCACGCTCACAATTAGCGTGTTTCATGATTTAGCAAGGAATATTGGCTTAAATGTGCATGCGTACATCCCGTAACTAAAGGTTTCCATGCTTACAGGGTTAGCGCAGAATTTCAGTGTTAGTACTGTGGCCACAAAATGGTGATCAAAAATGCTGATTTTTATGGTTAGCAAAACCACGAAATTGGGCCCAGTTCTGAGTTTCGGGAAAAACCAGCTCAAAAAAGTTGACTTGAACTTGAAGACAACACAAAATGGATCAAATTGGCTTGAGTTTAGACTTGACAAACTCAACAACACACATTTTAGGTCATGGTATTAGACTCTTATCCAGGCTAAGTCCAGGTTTTATTCCAAATCAAGCATGTATTCAAGCCATAGCTCAAGTTAGTTAAGACTTGAAAACAGGTTATTGATTTTTTTGTATGCTTTTGTGTTTTTATTCAAATCAATTTCAAGTCAATTTTTTTTAGTCTGTTTTGACCCATTTAGTTCCAGACTCGACAACATTGCTAAGCAGTGATACTCATGAATATTCAAATTAAACAGGTGACAAGAATCCATACTGAGGTTTGGTTGATTAGCATACTAGAACAGTGATTGGCTGCCGCTGTGCACACCCACTCATGAATATTCAGTGATCCCCTTACCAGTGTCCTGATTACTAATAACCTCATGTTCCTTGAGTATCTTCTCGTCCGTGGTGCGTGTTGTTAGAGCACTGCTTATGTCAGCCACTTTTGGGTTAAATTTACGCACAGTAAAACCAAGCACATAGGAATGAAAATGTTAATAGTTGCTCGTGTTTTGGGGTCAGTTAATGATGCAGGGTCGGCGGGATTGAACTTTGACCTGTACTCACAGGCGAAAACTGTTGATACTGTTTGAATGGTGGAGAGGGATCTCAAACGAGCTATTGGGTCAAATGAACAAAGAGACAAACTTTACTGTCTAACATTTGACGACAGGTTACTATGACAATGGAGAATAAGTGGAAGGCCGTTTCCTCTACATACACGACACTGCCTCGTATTATCAACCAAAACTTACATCAAACTGCTCTTCATTTAAGGATTTAAACAACTTCTAAAAACAATTAAAAAAACAACAAATACCAAAGAATTATGTGAGGTGTTCTTCTCTGCCCAAATATTCTATGTTGCAGACCTGTACATCCGAGACAACAGCGGATATCTCTGGGAAATTGACTTCCATAGTTCCTGGTTTGAGTGCAATACAGTGACTTTTATGTTTTGAATTCAAATGTTTGAAGATGCCTCCAAAAAAATTTGCTGTGCAAAGTGTAAGATTACCTGAAAAAGGATCATAAAGGTGCAGATTACATGTGTTACTACTGGTGTGAATTATTTGAAATTTGTGCCAATCATTTGCTGAATAGATGAAACATCAAAACAGGAGTGAATGTAGACTTAACACACAAATACATGAACTGTTTAAATTACACAGTAGCCAAAATGGACATTGTTTTTCTTCAGATCCTTATGCGCTGACATTATTTCATTTTGGCCGTCAAAAAACTGGTCAGACAAAGCAAGTGGACTGATTGTCCAAATGACCACCTAAAAGGCTGAAATGTAGAATAAAGTTAACATAAATGACACGACAGAAAAATTACTTAAAATTTCATTCTCAAATTTTTAAAAGTACAGAACGGAATGAAGGTTGGAATGGAATAAAAGTGGAAAAAGGAAATCATGCAGGGGAAAGAAATGGACATGCAAAGTTTACAAGTGAAAAGGAGCAAGAAAGTAAGAGAAACCTGAGAACTTATGGTGTTTGCGTTTCCGAGAACACGGCAGGAGACGCCTCAGGCCGTGACGATTGCTGCGTCGACCTAAATAGTCCGCTATATAGAGGGAATAAGAAAGTAGCCCAGGAAACCGATGAAGACAGAGTACCAACACCAGGATGACAAATGGTAAACCATTTACCATGTCACATGTGGGTACAATGACATCGTAAGCAGTAAACCGTTTACCAATGGTAAGGACCAAGAAAGAACAGGTTTAATGGTTTACCATGGTACATGGGGTACACTGGCAGTTTATGATAATGCAGGTAGGTAAACCGTTTAGGTTTAAGTAATGAGGTAAGGTTTAAGTAATGAGGGGTTTAATGGTATACCGTGATCAGATAATAACCCCATTTATGCCGGTATATGAAGGTTCATGGTTCATGACAAGAGGGTAAACTGTTTACCAATGGTAAGGACTACAAAATGAGGGTTTAATGGTTTACCATGGTCCCATAAACAAAACCGTCCCAAATAAATGAAGGCTCATGCAGGGATACATCATGGTAAACTGGTTACCTATGGTAAAGTCTGATGAGGGTTTAATGGTTTACCAGGGTCAGATAATAAAACCATATGGATGTTGATACAGGCATATGTGATGGTAAACTGTTTACCAAAGTAAGCTCCATGGTTTACTCATTATCATGGTAAAATTATAAATTCTCTACTCTGATAAATAAAGGTTCAGGGTAAACCAGAAGAGAAAGCTCAAGAACAAAATCTATAAAAACTCATTCTTGACTATTTGGAGGACAATCAGTAAACGTTTTCTCAGGATTTGAGTGCCCTCAAAAGCAACATGAATAAAATATTCTCTATCTACAATTATTTCTAAATAACTGTTCACAATGGACCAGATGAAAACATTTCAAATGCATAAAGAACCTAGGGCCCTAATAGGTTGCTATGTTTTGGCAATGAAATAAAATTTAACGAGAATTGGAATAGTTACCATTATCGCAGTCGCACTGTTTGATCTTCTCAACAGCTATGACATCATCATGACACACCTTGCAGTAGTAGTAGGCCCTAAGCAGAGAGGCACACAAAATGAACACAAACATATCATTTTATTGTATGTCTTAAAGAAATATATTTGGCTATAGGACCATCGCCCATTGGTCCTTTGAAAAAAAATATAGGCAGAATAACAAGCAATGTCAGCCATTTTGAAAATTTTGAAAATTGCTTGTTATTCTACCTACATTTTTTTTCAAAGGACAAATCTGCGATGGCCCTATAGCCAAATATCTTTCTCATGACATACTCTAACTGTGTGCCAAATGCCATGCTAATTGTATCATCAAAGGCAAAATTCTCCCACATATCTCTCTATCTGCCCCACTAAATTAGACAATAATCATCTAGATGCAAGTCTGAATATTTAACTTAGAGATATTTCTGTGGCTGTCTCTGCTCTTTTCTTACGAGAAACCTGTAGAGTATAAATATTTTCAGCTCTCACCGTTTGACCTCCTGAGCCGAGGGAGCTACAAAAAAGCCCAGCGTCCCTTCGTGGATCTTGATATGTGGACCAGGATTGATTGCAATTCTAGAGAAAAAAAATAAATGAATAATCATAATTTTAAAAACACATTTAGTTTCTGAAATGGTGAATGAAATACATACAATTAGTCTTTCAAGGCACTGCTTTCGAGCCTTAGTTGACCGCAACTCAGATGACTCCAGTTCCTAAGCCCGTCTGGTGCATCATATGGAGTGCAGATCCTGAAATATCTTTTAGACCGACTCCAGTGATTTATGGGTTGTATTAATTTATTTAACAATGATGGTCACTATTATTACAAATAATGCTTCGTCACAAGTCTCACTTGACGAAGTAAAATGCCCATAGCTGTCGTTTCCCATTTATATAACCGACGTTTATTATTTTTTGCCCTTATTTTCTGTTCTTATTCCACTCACATGCTTTCAACCGTGTCCATGTTAGACTCCACTGCTATCAGCAAAAGCTTCAGTTTCTGAAAGCACACCCTGAAAAGGAGAAAAACAGGCAGTTATTTTTCATAAAAATCAGGCATCACTAGGATCTCAATACTCAAATACAATTACGTTTAGAACAATCATCCTTTTTCCTTTTTTCCAGATACAGAAATTTCTACATTTCTCAATTGTTACTTGTATAGCTTGTATTCCATTTCATGTTTCAAAGACAATCCAAATTTTTGGATGAAAAATCAAAAAAGAAAATAAATACAAAATTGCAAACAGATGATAAGTAAACAGTACATCTTTTTGCTAAGTTGATAATTTCTTTGCTTAGAAAATTTCTGCTCTCAGCCTCCCCATGAAATTGGCCATTAGGAATGTAGACAAATTTATACACAAACACTTATTTCAGGAATTTTTCCAAATATGTTATCAATTAAGAATGCAAGTTTTGTAACATGCACCTCTGCCTGACAGAATTTGTCAAATACAATTTCACTGGTTCACTGGATCTGCTTAACAAGGAATTCTGCTTAGCAAAAACAATTTCCTAAGCAAAAACAGGTTACCAGCTAAAAAGCCATGGGATGTCTATAGCCTACAACTGGTTCCCAGCAGATATTTTCGCTCAGCATATAATTACATAGAAGCTTAGTAAAGATGAATGTGAAGATTTTGCACTTACTGAGCCACCTCGGGAAAAGACAGTCCAGTGAACGATTTGGAGAGGTATTCAGTGTACATCTCGTTACCGCAGCCTTGTAAGTAGTGTGTCTGCCAAGACACTTTACGACCCTGGTTACAGGTGTGGGGGAGAAAGTTATGCATTCATGATTTCATCAGGTTTCATTGCAGGCCTTTAATGGTAATTTTTCTTTTTTAAAGGAAAAGCCAGAACCAGGGCCCAATTTCTTGGCTCTGCTCACCAAAAAATTCCGCGCTTACGACCACAAATTTTGTGCTAACCGCGCTAGCTTACCCATAAGCACAGAATCCTCATATACAGTAGTTACGGGATATACGCATGCGCAGAAGCAAAAATTCTTCACTTACGCATGAAATACGCTTATCGTAAGCAAGGAATTTTCTGCTATAGTAAGCAGGGATTGTTTGGTAACGGTAAGCAGAGCCAAGAAATTGGGTCCAGTTTGCTAATGAATTCAATTTGAATAAACCAATAAGAATGTAAGAAATACGACAAGGTATCGCCAATGCACTGCCTAAATTCTGCCTAAATGTTTGTCATGCGCATGCGTACACAAAATTTTACTAATGAGCAAACTTGTCTTATTTCATGTATTTCTGATGCTTCTGGCTTTTCAACTATTTGAAAAGGAAAACAAATTACAAAATTTGATTAATTGGTGACAGGTTATAAGAGTCGGATGTGAACATAAATAATGCAAAAGTTAATCTGCTTGGTTATAGTGCTGAAAATAAAACAAAATACTCTAATTTGTAGAAAGAGAAAAAAGCAAATTTAGTTAGCATTAAAACTCCTGGCAATTACTACTTCAAATAACTTTCCAAGTAAATTAAAAGGAAAGGAATATATCACCATTGCAAAAATAAAAGCTGTACAGTTTACATATTAAATTTGCAGTATTAATAAGCATCAAAAGGAAGGAAAACAGTGTTAATTTCCAAAATGGTAAGCATGTAAACAATTGATTATAAATAAACAATTAATAATACATGTATATCACAAGACAAAGTGTTCTACACGATTCACGAGTGGAAGGAAAAAGGAGCAAATGAATAAACGAAAACAAAGCAAATCTACATTACAGAGGGGAAAATTAAGGTAATAAATCGATTGATTAATAGCCATATTTGACATAGTGGTGTGCATTTACGAGTAGTACTGGTACCCTGGTAGTGGGCACCCTAATGAAGTAAAACACTGGTACCCGGGTACCCGTAAAAGAAACCCAACCCCAAAATTCAAATCCCGGATGTTGTCTGAAGAGCTTTACAGCTTTACGGTGTAAACTGCAACTTTAGCAGACGTCATCCATTGCACGTTAAAATGCACATAAACTTGAAATCTGTGTTAGTTTTCAATGTAGAATGGTGTTCAATTTGAAAATTCCCACAAATGGCATTTAAAACCTTTTTTTTTTGATTGTCTGAGAGGTTACTTAGTAATTTGTAAGGGGTACCCGATCCCATAATCTGGAACCGGTTCCTGACATCACCAGTCGGGTACCCAGTTCCGATGCACCCCCCCCCCCCCTTGATTTGTCAGCCCAAATTTTATACCGTTGATCCATGCATTCTAATTGACGTGGCAGTTAAATTTAAAAAAATCTGGCTAAGTAGTTTTTGCCTTTAATTTCACCCTCTTTACTACCTGGACCACGGAAAAGCAGCTACAATGGGCAGAAAATGGCACAGATGTTTAATGCTTCAGAATCATAACAAGTTAACTGTTAAGAACCAGTTTTGAACCAGTGTCTCCATAAATCAACCAAACTGGCACAAAAGACAACATCAACTTGTTCCCTTTGGAACTAAAGAAAGACCTTTTTGTGGCCAGTTTTCTCCCCAAAAAAAAGTTAAATGAAAAAAAAAAAGAATTTTGATTTTTTTTCTTCTTTCACATGGAGAAGACAAGTGAAGTTGAGATGGAAAAAAATACAATCGTGTACAACTTTGTACGACAAATGAGGACGAAAGCCAACTTGACAATCAAGCATGAGTAAATACTTTAATTGAGAACACTGAAGAATAACATGAAGCAGCTAAAAGCCAAAGTGTAAGAATTGAGGAACGGAGGTGAAAAATGCAAGCTGTAAGTGGGAAGTGGAGAATAGTTGGCACGTGCATGTAAAGAGATGAGGACTATTATATTTACCGCAAGAACCACAGATAAGATACGGTAGTAATAGTATATTCAAATGTAGAAGTAAACTAAAGATTGCTGTGAAAATATGGATTCAATGTTGTTTTCTTTTAATCAATCAGTCTTACTGTTCTGGTACATCTTTGACTCAGTTTACCTACAAACTTTTCGAGGAATGGGGGTTGTGATGGAGGGGGGGGGGTGTGATGAAGGGGAAGGGGTGAAGTGGCTTGCCCCTCATCCCCTATAGTATGGCGCATGGTGTGATAGTGCATATGGCAAACAGGGTAACGCTGGTGTACACGCTTGTGTGGCATGAAAACAGTGAATCGGGAATCAATCTGCAGGATTGTGTTATTTCAGTGTCACTGGATGAGTTCACCATCGAGGTCAAAGGTCACATTCAACACACCTGATAGGTAGCCGCTCCAACCGAGAGAAAACCTTCACTTTCATTCTGAGGGGTCAAAGGTTGGGGTTCAGAGGTCAGAGGTTGGAGTTCATAGGAACAGGAGATATACAGGGACACACGGGTAAGTACAGGATTGGGTGCGGACAAAAAAACAAAGAAAACATTTGAAAGACAGATAGAGAAAACAATTCAAAAGAGATTTCTGAGCAGAAATTGATAATAAAAACAATTGGCATGCTGACATTTAGAAGAGAGTTCCCTCCAGGAAAAATGAAGACAATTGGTTGTATCAGAACTTACATAAATACAAGATAAATCAAATCATACGTCATGCCAATTTGTTTTTGTTTTTTTAATCAGCTTTGTTGATACAATAAAGAATATACAAACTAAACAAATTTGGTACTAAAATTGGCATATGTTGTACGGTATGCTGTTGAAAGAATATTGCATTAGTAGACAACTGAATAGACTAAAGGCAATTATTAAAAAATTATTATTGTAAATGACATTGTAAATCATGCAAATTAAACATGTTCACTTCTCAAAAACAGAAAAACAATTCACAAAACTGAACAAAAACAATGAATTCTTATTACATTGCAAGCCAACTACAACTAGCGATACTTTTTTTTTTATTAAAGCGACATTGAAAAATAAATATTACATGGAAATTTGGTAAAATATACATCGCAGCAACCTTCGTTCAAGCACACTCTTAAGAATTACCTCCAAATTGTCACGAATTCTCTAAAAAGTGGGTTAATGCCTGAAAACCCAATTCGGCAAGGGCAGATGGATTTTCAGTCTATTTTTCTAGAGTTCCTAAATATTTCTGAGCTTCTATTTTCGTCAGATTGCCTTAATGGGAACAGCAAGGTCATCTAAACAAAAGGTATTGATTCGGACTTGTCGTGTGACCAATCTGCAAGTACAATGTACAATTAATCTTTGGTTCTTTACTTTCGGGACACAAAGGGAAATTTTTTGATCACCACAGACAAATTCTGTTGTTTGACATTTGGAGGTAATCTTGGCGTACAATATAGGCCCTTCCAGTCAAGATTTCGTGGGAATCACGTATTTTTTTTGGTTTTATAACCGAGAGACCTTTTTTTACAAGCATCTCCATGATTTGGATCAGAGAGAACGTTTCACGCATACTGCTTATTTTGAAATACACGTGTATATCACAAGTTTGCAATGTGATGTACAGAAAAAAAGGTTAAACCAATCAGCTGATTAGACAAGCGATCGCTGCACGGTGCCCCGTAACGGCGAAGGCCTTGTGCCAGCCGTTGCACACAAAAATGGTAAAAGTGTAGTTTAGGGCCCTGTTCCATTTTTAAAAGAATGAAAATACACTTGTATGTTTTGGCACTTACCAAAATAGTTTGCGACGATACCAGCCAGAAAAGTCATTTTATGTTATTTAGTTTGCTAGGATACCATGCTGAATATCAGCAGGCTTAATTTTGTAGAAAGAGGGCAGGGTTTTGATTTATGAGGAAAATTATGGGGCAAAACAATGACAGCATTTGAACTGCTGTGACTCGTGCGTCTCTAAACTGTTAAAACAGGCAAGACAATCGCATTTTCTTCCAAAGTAGACTAAATGATCAAAGTTACAAAAACCTAGAGTTTATGTAAATTAAAATAAAGTCTGCTTTGAGCTGCAAAAGTCACTTTGGAAAAATTTGAGTTATTAGCAAAAGTCATTTTTGAACGGAACTAGAAAATAACAGAGGTGACCTAAACTCACTTTTACCCGAATAACTGCCCCGTGAAGGCTATTCTGAACAATGGCCAGGGCACAATGCTTCTGTTGCTTTTGGGACACTTGTTAGTGAGCAACGATCAAACGCTTGGGCTGGTCTATAGTTTGTAATGCTACGCCAGAATCCAGGCAAAGTGGGCGCCGTCAATTTGGAACAGCAATCTTGACTGGAATGGCCATTAGTTCATGCACTTGTGGTATTAGAAAGCATGTCATGCAAAATCAGGCCAGCCGCTTTTCACAGATACACGTGTACATACAGCAGTGTCAGATTCATTGGACGAGACTTGGTAAACATTGGTGTGACTAACACCCTGAGTGAAGGCGGCTCGCTTAATCTGTGGACAAAAGCAAGACTACATGTACATGCACACGGGACACGGACAAAATGCGGATAATCTCCATCAGCAGCATAAATTTCATTGCCCTCGCGTCAACAAATACTTGTTGGTCCCAAGGGCCAGCCCAGAGTTGTAGTCGAGTACTTTCCGAGTACTTTGTTTATCACCAAGTATTGAGCTGTTTCTTGTGAACAATGCGAGAGAAACATTGACAGTAGATAGCAAAATGAAGTCAGCGGTGAGTAAGGTGCTTTACCTCAATTACTTCTCTCATACCAGGTGTTAAATGGGTACCGGCATTATTCAATGCTGGGAAGGTAACAGACTCGCTGTGGAGGAGGTGTGGCGATCCCCCCACAGCAGCATACGAGTCTGGCCCAATCGCTAACGAAAGAGAGATGGGCACTGCGTTCCTGTTAACACAGGTTCGTCCACTTTACTGGCCCGTTGTGTACACCACATGCATGACCAGACAAACGGTGGATAGTCATTCTGAATCGATTGAAATGAGTTTTGTGCCCTCCGTGACCAGCATTGTTGTTGTACATTTTTATCCTTATTTCACTATTTTCATGCAATTACAATCAAGCATGACTGACGAATTGAACAAGCTACATAAAAAAAAACCCAATAAATATCTCATTCACATACAATGACATGGGCCTTATGCACAAGTTGGCCATTTTTGTTGTGTTTCCTGACTGTATTTCATAAATTGTGAACTGTTGAGTGGGGTGATGCCAGACTATTTATTCACTCTAGCCTCACTTTCATTTTTTTTTAAAATATGGCTTAAAACATTAGAGTGTGTTTAATTACAAATTTTAAATGATTCATCAGAGCAGATTGGTATTGATCTGTACCGTCACTGCATTCGTTTCTCTACACAAGTTCCAAAAATGAAGATTTTACCTCACTCTCAATACAATATGGCCGACTCGTGAATAAGGCCCATAATTATAATAAACATGCACACGGCACATCATCCATGTAAACATTCTCAAAAAAAAAAATGCAAAGCGCACGGTGGAAGCACAACACAGTTTTTTGTTTTCACGCCACAAAGAGGGCCTCGTGTCAAGTCCATCACGAGTCCATCGTAAATCCAGCTTCAGTACAGTGTAAATTGCATATCATTTTAAAAGTTTGGTCTAAAATAAAAGGGGATAAACAATAGCAAAGGAAGGTCTTCGTCACAGTTCATTTGAATAGCTTGTGACTTGACTTGGGACTGGAAGACTTTTGATTGATTTGTGACGGACTTGTGGGAACTTGCAATGGACTCGACAAAAATCCAAAATCTGAAATGAAACACTGGCCTTAACACTGCAAAACTGGGTAGCCAAATTGCCCGTAACTTGTCCCAAAACTCTAGCAAGCTGACATCAAGAGACAGTTATGTTCGTAAGAGTGACCCACGTGAGATTCACAAAATTTTAGGGGGAATTTTTCGCAGCTTACCTCGCTGTTGGAGCGCATGGCAAAGAGGTTGGCCATGATGGTGGAGAAGCCGGGCGCTAGGCAAGCCTGGGCGATGAAGCCCAGCTTCAGCTCCGCGATGCAGATGACGTCATCTCCGTCCCGCCAGTTCCAACTGGGAATGTTCAGGAGATGGGCCTAGGAAAAAGGAAGTTGGTGGAAATCAACATGAGATGGCTAGAAACGGATATGATTACCATTGGATCTGTGCAAGTTCTTCAAGTCCTTCAAAATTAAGCCTGTGAAACAGGGACAATTGTACGTATTGGTGTCGTACGCCTACAAGCCTGAATATTAGTGTGTATAAATTACTCAAATAGATGTACGCGCACCAGAAATTCAAGCTATGTATTGAGGTCTAAGGCGGGCCTCAGGTTGACCTGTGATATGTTTGTGTCGTGACAGAACTAGCCTTGGTCAAGGCGTTCATTGATAGTGTCCATGATGGTGTCTTGCCACTAAAAACATAAACACAAGCTGCACGCTAAGCACTGTACGAAGCAATATCAACGAGCGCCTTAACCGAGGCTAGTTCCGCCGCGGCGCAAGCAAATCGCAGGTCGACGTGAGGCCGGCCTAATACACGTTGGAGTCTGAGTAACAGTACATTGAAGTATGACAACAAGTTTGAGATTGTTGTGCTGCCGAGGCGAATATCTTAAACTTCATCTGTCTTACCTTATTATGGTAATTCATAAGTTGTACAATGACCCTGCATTTGGAGTGATAGTTCTTGACCGAGATGACCCTCATGATGTTACCGGCGTCCTCCGCGTCTGGATCCAGGTTGTACTTGTCGCATAGTACTAGACATGCATCAGCCTCTTTCAACTAAAAAAAAATTGACGAAAATCTTGTTTTTTGACTTGGGAGGCGTAATTTTCAATATTAGGTCTTGCTCATCACTTACACACATGTAATTTTATACGCACTATATACTCAGTTCTGTCCGACTCCTAAAAAACTTGCCACAAAAAAATCACAAGCTTGCTAAGGTAGGAATCGAACCCAAAATCTACTGTTTTCTAGTGCTTTGGACAGCAGTGAGAAAAAAATTAAAACTTTCTTAGCAAGGACTAGAACCCAAGTGAACTGCACTCTGGCTACCACGGAGTCTACGTGCATAAAACATGGGAAGTCCACATTTGTATTCTCGGCTCATTAATTCCCTGCTTGGCTGGTTAGAATGAGCTTGGATCTTGTACCCGACCCAGGGGGAAAACATACATCGCGACTGGCAAATTGACAGACTAGGGAATGAGAGAAAGATTGCGACAACGCAATGCCATCAGTTCCGCATGAGCAACGCTTCTGATTTGATTTCACGCATCGCGGCACAAGTCGATCCAGGAGTTTGTGACCAGGATTTGCAAAGACATGTGATGTTATGATGTGGAATCCCGAGGCAAGCCCTGGCCTAGATATGTTTTTAATTCTGAAGCTTTCCCCAACTTTCTGTTCAATAAACAGAACAAAAAAAAGTGATGTAAAAATTCATGTGGCATCTTACCCGGACTTTTTCCAGGTCCACTGAGTTGAGGACCGAACCTTGGAAGAATTCCAGCTGCGTGAAATGTCTCTTAAATAAAGCCTGCAGCTCCAGATCTGGCTCCGAACTGAGCGAAGAATGAAAACAGGAATATTTAGTCATAATAGTAAATTGCAATATAAAGTGCACATGCCGTTACCCAGCAAATGGGTACTGAGAGTGCAGTACATCACTTCAACCCCCATTCATCAGGCCCGTGACAATATTTTAAAGACAATCTCAGCTCCCTGGGGAGTATACAGCTGCCATATTGGCATGAATGGCTAAATCAAACACACAACCATCTCTGCCCTCATAGGTACCTATGTCACTAATAGGTGGGGAGAAGCAAGCTGTGACAAAGTGCCTTGCCCAAGGACACAAACACACATACCACAACCCCAGTCTGGACTCCAACCCACAATCTGCATAATTACCCACAAGATCTTGAGTTCAATGCACCAGACCAAAAGGCCATGGCACTTCTTTTGTATAAATAAAAACCTGATTTCGTATAACAAACAAGAAACTATGCAATATCGTTTTAATATTTAGGTCAACATTTTGGATTGAAATATACTTTGAGTTTGCCTTAAGTCCAGTTCCTTTAGATGCCTGTTAGCATGTATAAAAATATAAATAACATTCAAGATTGCTTACTTATCCAGAAGGACAATTTCAACATTGACGTCATCTCTGTCCTTGTGGAGAAAGTCCTTAAGAAAGTTGGCCACGCTGTCATACGTGATGTGTCCACACAAGATGATGTGCCTTGATGACAAAAATAAATACATAATTTGACCAAATGTAGCTGGCTGGTGGTTTAATAAAATTATTTAAATAAATAGATTACATGATGGCGTACGTTGCAACGCATTTCAACATTCCGCTCAGAGAAATATTTTTGTAACCCACAAATCTGTAGCTAATGTGTAATCTGGAGTTGTGTTAATCTTTACAATGCAGCACTAATGCCAACCGTCATTTAGTTTTTACAACTGGGGCTGTTAAAAACAAATTACTTCAACAAATATTTAAAGTAGGGTAACTCTAAACCAGGGTTCACAAACATTCTCACTCAGATCCATAAAGTGGTAGACATCCTTGCCTATGTGGCTGGATTTATGAGCTTATACATGTACACAGTGTTCAGGTACTGGCAATAGATTTTATTCACGAGTCGGCCATATTCAATTGAAAGCGAGGAATTGTCTTCATTTCTGGAACTAGCGAGTTGAGTTAAAAGCAATGAAATAAAGTTTATTACAAATAAATACCAGTTTCTGCTCTGATGAATAATTTTAAAATTTGTGATTAAACATACCTAATGTTTTAAGCCATATTTAAAAAAAATTATAATTGAAAGTGACTAGTGAGGCTTGGCATGCACTACAATAAAAAAAATAGTTAGGTACCATCCCGTTCAACAGTTTACAATTTATACAACAGATTCAGGGAACACGACCAAAATGGCGTCCTCGTGGATAACGTCTATTTGCACATTATCACTTAAACTTGAAGGATTACATGTAGTTCTGCAATGTATGTACAGCACATATGAGTGTGTGTACACAGGGCTCGAACAAAGTGGCATCGACCAGACCGTGTGTTGATAATTAACCAAAACAGTTATCCTAACATTGATCGAAAAGTATATGGATTGCCTGTACAAGTACCTCCTCGACAGTTACAAAGGGAGAGATATATATTTAACGCAGTGCTGCCATATGGTAGGTGGTCATGTGAAGACGCAGTGGGTTTGTTCACTTCCGGAATAAATTTTTTTGCGTTTCTCACCCAAACGTGGGTGAAGGTATGCATGCATGTAATGTATCCCACAAATGGAAATCTCACAAGCGGGTCAAGAGGTGGACTGTACCGTTCATGCATAAAATCTATTTGGCTTAAGGGGTCCACTTTTTCCCTGTCCCTATTACATCTGACATGTACGTTAATGGGAATTCTGGAAGCATTCCTTAATGGTAGAGAATCATTTGTCATTTGTGCATTTTTGCCGTTCGAGGCAACTAAAGTGCTCAAAATCTAACGACGGGTGATTAACAACTGACCTGATGACGTTTGAGCTCTGTAAATGCTGTATTTTCTGAGAAAACAATATTTAAGGATCTCGATTTCAATTCAAAAGTTGCTGAGTCGTGTTTTGAATTGCACCTGAAATCAGCGTCAGGGACAAGCTCTCATTCAGATGATTGCAGCTACGCGATGTCACACATTGAACTGACGAATAATAGCAACCGCGTGCGCCCGTGTGCATCACGTCAACACTTGCCCACAACCGTTCATGGATTCGCTGAATGACAAACCAACTACTAACGGAAATAACCAAACAAGCGTCACTTGACGCATCTTTCAAAATGACCTTCTTTTATTGCTTTCTTCAAAATGACGGCATGCCAGGAGTAATTTCACAGGTAGTTTAGTCCATTACTATCTTGAAACCAAGTAAGCTTTTCAACAATAATTTGATCAGTTACTTTTTGGATTAGCTGCAAATAGTCTACTCTACCTTTAATGTCTTTTTCCCCTACGAGCGATAAAAGCTATCGGTACCTACATAACAATTGAGAACAATTTGAACTCATTTGTAATGATACTTGAGAGGCAAATTACTCATTTCGAGTTAACAGGGATGGAAAATGTCATACTCTGGACCTTCAATTTATGACCCACGCGTATTCAGTGTAGGATGAAGCAAAAGGGCGCCTCTGGGATTTGATAATGAAGGTAATTTGGCGGGACTGAGGAAACAAGCCCCCGGAGATGCAATCAGGGGGAAAAATCTGCTAATGAAGTTGGATCTAATGATGAACTGCTGATAGAACGGAACATAATCACCACTACACCAGTCTATAGGCTGGGATAATGTACAAACCAGGTGGTATTGGCGCTAGGCACTTGCGCACGAACAATAGATTGTGGTTTATGACAACTTCGGAGGGCTCTGTGTGTGGTAAACACTACACTGTGTTACACACGCCATCCCAGCTTTAAGGAGTGGAATAAGATTTCGTGCTATATCGGACACACAACAACTCTTACTGATATTAAACGGTTTTTCAAAACTCATCTTTTTAAAGCCGATTGCTGATTATTAGTGTGACTTAGATGTAAATTTTATATGGCAAGGTTTAACAGTGTTTTGTTTGTATTGGTGTATGCTTGTGTCTTTACAAGGGCGGATCCAGAACACAATTTTTGGGGTGGCCAAACAAAATTTTGGTCCCCCCAAAAAGTGGGCCTAAAAAATTACGGCGTGGGGTTCGGGGCCCGCTTAAGGGCCCCGAAAAAATTTTGGATTCTAGATGCTCTGTGGTGCGATCTGAGGCAATTTCTGACCACTTTAACCAATTTATTTTGAGGAAAAGATGGTGGTGTACTCATTGCCTGCCTTTATTGCGATGTCACATTAAAAAAAAAAATTTGTTTCGTTTTTTTTTGGGGGGGGCCCCTTTGCCCCCCCCCCCCCCCCCGATCCGCCCTTGTGTCTTTAATGTGTGATTAGGACCCTATGTTTTTAAAAATGTTAGTTTTTGGTGAATGTACTTTAATGTGTTTTGTAGGTATCTTGTTTTCAATGATGTACAGTGCCTTCAGGTTTTAAACGCAAGGCACTTTATAAGAACTTATTGTTATTATTATTATTATTACGTGTGCGCACTCACTGGCTTGCACACCCAAGGCACAAATTATGTACAACTAATTTAATTCTGCATCTGCAGAAACCTGTAATGTCTTCGCGTGAATGCCTGGTGCATGGCAGCAAATGCGTTCTTTTAACTCGCTCTTTGTAACCGTTGACAAGGAAGTCGCGTGCCAAGTCGATTGTCCTTGCCTACTTGACTATTACATGTAACTCCCGCAGTGCAGAGAGTTAGTCTTCCAACTCGAGAAAGGCTCTATTTACATTCAACGAACATAGGTAGTATCTCTTTTTATAAAGCACCATATGTATTCATGAACACTTACAACTTGTCATTATCTTCCCTACAGTGTCAAAATACCTGTATAATGTTGGTTGTGTTTGTGGTGGGGGAGGGGGAAAAAACCTGAAAAATATACCAGAGAATTTTTGTCGATACACATGACAGAAAGGAAAAAAAAATCATGTCTTCCCTCTTTTTCATGACTATCCTTCAATACTTTATCATCAAACTTGATCAATACTAACCAGCCAGATACGGCAGATGTAGAAAGGGTTTTTCCAAAAAATAAAAACGCCCTAAGGTATGGAAAAAAGTGTGTTCTGTTTTTTTCATTATTTGTTTTAATAGGAAACCTATTTAAGGCTTAGTATTTATCCCCAGAATTTGTATTTGTATTTTGAACCAGCATACAGAATCATCAATGTTGAGTCATATTTTACGGGCTGTGTGCAATGCATCGTAACGTTTTTAGCAACAAGCTACAGACTTTCGGAAACGACCATGCCAACCAATCTGCTGATTAGCATATCTTATCATGCATAATTAATGACAGTTTAACTCAGCAAAAGGTGGCAGAAACATCTGGCCGGCGTGTTGCCAGGCAACTCTGTTTGTTTGTTTTTTTGGTTAAGCGACTGTTTCTGGAATGCCAAGGCTTAAATTGTGAATTAAATTATTGGAAATGTACACAAAGATGGTAAATAGCATTTACTATCTGAAGATAACAGTTTGTTGAAGTTGTTGGGTATTTAGGCAGTTCAAAATGGCAAAAGGCCAATTTGGCAAAAACAGATGAACATTTGAACACATTTTATACAAATTGTGCTTTCAGGTAATTGTGGTCTGAATTCTTTGTGTTTCAAAATTTTCAATTGTGTCATTTAGTTTGAAGTCTTTTTAAATTAAATTATATGCAGCACAATATCTCAAGATTGTGACGTGACCGACAATTGACGTATCTACCTTTGCAGATACTTGTGGGGGGAAAAAAGGCAGGTCAAAGATGGCCACTATGCAAAGCGTCTATTCCAAAAACTTGTTATTTTTTTTAAATTTCCATCTGTTTAATTCAACCATTCAATATATTTTTGGCCAATCTGTCACTTACTTTCGTCCTTTCTCAGATTGGTAGGACCCCTGGTACTTCTTTCTTCTCCCCAAGATGTCAAAGCACTCTGGCAGATAGCTGGTAAAGATGGCCTATTTTGAGAAAAGAAAAACAAGAAAATTTAGAAAGAGAAATGTAGAAGTTCTTTAATCTCATTAGCAGTTGTCACAAAATGCATTTCGGAGGTGAAGTTGAAGAATATTCACTTTTTCCTTTGGTTGTTCAATCCATTTTTTTTGACAGTGCAAGTATTTCAGGTTTATGCAGAAACAATTATTCACACATGTAATGTCTATACTTATGACAACTATTCTTGACAGGGTGTCCCCCCAAAAAGTTGTGTAAGCAGATATCCTTTAATTTCAAAAAAAAAAAAAAAAAACTACTTTAGGCCAAAAAAAAATAATAATCGGTCTCTGGTCAGACCAAAGTTCTGGAATTGACGCGAGGATGCGCTTTTTTTTTTTTTTTTTTTTTTTTTTTTTTCCAAGCTTGGATTGTACAGACAAGGTGGGTACTATTTTGCTTTTTTGGTGTCCTCGTGTACATTGGTGTCCTCCATAATTTGCCTTGGTGCTCTTGATCATTTGCCTTGGTGTAATTTCCCATTCTTTGGTGCTCTTTGGTAATAAAAATTATTATGTTGGAGCTACTGCGGAACATTTTGGGGAAAAAAAAGATCGACGCGCATGATTAAAATCGACGCGCGCGCTGACCAGAGACCGACGTATTTTTTTTTTTGGCCTAACATTAGTATTTTATCTTGATGGAACACATTAATGATACTCTTGTGTATATTCAGTAAAAATGCCATGGAAATCTGCTCGTGCAAACCAGAGATCTAACAGATGGTAAAAGGCTATGGATTTTGCACCCATTCCAATGGGATGGGATTTACACAGTTAACTTAATTTACATCAGAGTGAAAGCCCATGACAATCTGATGCGCTGATATCACTAACTGTGTAAAACCCATTGGAATGGGTGAAAAAACCCACAGCCTTTTACAATCTGTTAGATCTCTGGTTTGCATGAACGGATTTCCATGGCATTTTCACTGAAATTCATAAAAACTTCCATTCCATTGCAGAAACTTTGAAAGTTTCATTCCTCATATTTTTTTTCCAGTTTCACCAAGAAAAACATGTTTTTTTTTCAACTGCTACTCTTCAACTAATAGGAAAGCTACTCACTTTTGAATGAGACTTCGAACAAAAAATATTCCCCCCAAATTTAGTTGTTGAAAAGAATTCCTTAACAAATTTTGAATTATATGAGGACTGACAATAACAGGCAGATCTTTTTATGCATTACAGGTGAAAAAGCAAAACAAAAAAATTAGCTCTAATTTTTCAGAGGCTTGTAGAAGCCCAAAATAAGAAAATTTATGTTTTTTAAATACAAATTGAAAATTCGATAGGAAAAATTGAATTTGGCGAAGAGTATGTCACGAGTAACTTTAAAGTCAAAAAGATGTTTTTCTTTTTCCTTCTGCTAGACCTAGTTGTGGCTGCATTAAAATTGGATGTAAATGTATTCTCCAGACCTGGCGACACGGAAATGCAATTTGGTCTTGCTATAAATAATGACAAGCTCCGCTGAATTTCTATATCCACACTATTTGACATAAATTTAGAAGCAATTACCATAAAACTCGCCCGAGACCAAAATATAATGACCAAGGTTGTCGGAAAATTTGAATTACACACAAAAAGGGTAGACTCTTTAGTAAATCAACGGTCTATCAAAGTGGTAAAGTAAAACTAACACGGCCCTTAATTATAGGCTGTTAAAGGACTTTAAATTATTCAGTACCGCAGTCGATGAAAGCCCTAATGACCACTAGTAATACCGCGGTAATGACCCATTTAGGACACTTATCTTATAACAACAGCATCAACTCAGAATCGAGTGAGCACACCTCCTAGACTTTCATCCGAGCGTCACTAATAGATGTTCTTTCAACATAAACGTACAATATATGACACTTTATGATATTCCGCTTACAGATGTCATACAGTGCATAAATCTTAACTCGGAAAAACATGTCCCACTCACTTGAACACAAATTCAATGTACTCGATCAGCAGAACCAAAAGAGAGAGCTGTTTTATTTTAAGCTAAAGCATGTTGACTATTTCGCTATTTTTATTCATTCTATTTTGGTACTTGAGATGTCCGTCTTGTATGAAACACAGAATATGGGACCAAACCTTAGAACGCAAAGGTTGAAAGCCATTATCGCTCATGAAGTGAGAGTTTCCGTGTCCAAGAAATTGGGACACAGTCATCAGTCTGGACGAGATAACATACCACGCTGACAAAGATGGAACCCACGATGAAGATCCTCCCAAGAGTTGTCTTGGCGGTCTCGTCACCGTAGCCGACCGTCGACATGGTGACCACCAGAATATAAACGCACGTCCAGTAGTCGATTTGTTGGGGATTGGTGAAAGAAGTCCAGAAGTCACCCGAGTTTTCAACCTGGGTTTGGAAGGAAAATAAGAAGCAAAATATTAACTTAAGACAAAACAACGCCACTTTTTTTTTCGGCTGCATTGAAGTTCACTGTGAAAATGAAATACATTTAAAGGCATATAAGATAATTTGCTTTTTCATGCATTTTTCTTTTGTTTCCAACAACAAAAACACTCAAAATCCAAACCTGTTGAAATTTTAGCTCAGTGGATAAACCACTTTTCGAGAAAACAGTGAAAAACCAATAACAGCCTTTACTCACGAAACACAATTTGGTCCAAAGCACTCTTTACTTTAAAAAATCAGTCTATTTACTGATCCTTGGAAATCGACCTACATTTCTGGTTTTCTTCTAAATGACAGCAAGCCAGATGGAATAATTTTAAGGGGCGTTTAAGTACCAGTGCGATCTTTAATCCAAGTAAGATTTTTGATTATAAAGTGGCAGGTTGCTTTTGAGATAAGAGTGCCTTTAAGAGTACATCTTTTGCACTTATCAATAAAATAATTTCCCATTAGCGCTTGAATGACCTTGTTTTGCTATTTATTTAAAGTTTCATGATAAGTCAATAAAAATTTCAGGTTGTGGCATAGTAAGGAGTGACATGTAGGGCAGATTACAACTAAAGGAAGGTAGAGGATGAAAAGGGAGAAGCAAAATTGTCATAGGTATTAGGGAATGTAACAATTTATTTTTTCAGTGGTGATCATGATACATGTACATGTGTAGTGGAGCTGTAATTGAGTCAGTCACAAGTCATCATAAGTCATCATAAGTCATCACAAGCCAATCACAAGACCTCCAGTCTCAGTTCAAGTCACATTCTCTTCAAATCAACAGTGACAAAAAATTTCCTTTTGTAACTGTTCATCCACTGTTCATTGTGACCTGAATTGCGATTTGACACGTGATAGATCTGTAATTGACTCGATCCTATCTCAGATACCGGTATATAGATACTTTAGCCTGCACACATACCAATGAAGACTTCACAACTTGCACAATTTTTTTTTCTTCAAAGTCACTTCACGCAACCTTTCAGAGCATCTAAGATTCCCATTAAATATTCCAAGTCTAGAACTATTTAGAATGCTGCAAGTTCAATACACCACCTATGCAACTAGCATAGCAAGACAGTCTAGTCACGTCTCAGAAAAGAAGCGAATACTTGCCCAGGAGGAGGATTTATCGCTCATGCCAACAGACCTCTGCTCGATGCTTAATGAGGGGGAACCAATTTTTTTTTTACGAAGCTAGCAATGATTCAACATTCCTGGGCCGAATGTCGAGGGTTGGAACGTGAGAGCGTGCGGCATAAAATGCTGGAAGCTATGTTGCTTCGAAGGAGTTGTGTCGGGCAAGGTTTTAACAGTCAACGAAAGAATCGGTAGACATCTGTTTGGCATAATGACAGTCACTTTAACATGTTTAATGTTCCATTCTGATGGTAACGGTGGCTTTGAATGATTTAATGGGTTTCGCAGATTGGCACTATAGGAATTTCTTCTTGGTACATGATGGTATTGATGACAAGGCTTCAGAGAATTTTGAGGAGATTGGGGGGGGGGGGGAGGAGTAGATTCTGGAGTGGAATTGGGGACAAATGAAAATCTGCAAAATAATCAGCAGAGGGTTTGAGAGTTACCAAGGGCCCTAGAGCAATGTAGGGGTGTATGTTTGTATAAAGCACAAATTAGGTCATATTTTTGGAATTACTTGGTTTATGGAATCTCCGCCGAAAAAAAATCGAAAATCAAATTATTTTTTTTAAATCGCCACCTACAAATTCCACTTTTGATAACCAAACAAAATTAAAATGATGCAAGTCATGCAAGTCAACATGGCAGTTCATGCGGTGCATGCTGCGCTGCTAGGCTGATTCTGCTGCAGCGCACGCTGTATAGGCGTGTTGGTTGTTGATATCTTTACCCACTCAAATTTGGATAAATTTCGGTCAGTAAAACTGAATGACGACATTTTGTTTGAGCACTTTCGCGTCTGCATACCGTGTCTAAATGCTGTCCATTACTGGCTGTAAAAGGCCCCCCCCCCCCCCACGTGTGGATTTTTTTTTTTAATTTCCCGCTTGCCGCCCGACCCCGAGACCCAAAAAATCCGTAATCCAAGTTTTTTGTTTTTTTTAAATGGCCTTACTCACTTTCTTGTGTTCTATATAAACAAAAAACACCTTTCCGGTAAAGTGGTTTTTGTTTATAAAGAAGTTAGTAATGAAGAAGTTAGTAATGGAATCCCTAATTCCAAAAAACCTGACAAATCTTAACCCTTGTTGTACTTACAAGGTGAACAAAGCCCGCAGCAGTCAGCCACATACTGAAAAAGATGGTGACCAGGTTGACCAGTTTGATGGTGTCGCTGGTGCGTAGGATGCTCAGAAACTGCAGGATCTCGGACAGCTGGATCATCCGCAGGGCTCTCAGGAAACGGAGACCTACAAGTGAACCCCCCAAAAAAGAGATGTTTTCAAACACATGGTTGGAAGACAGAATAGCGAGAAAAAAAAAGTCAGATCCATGGTCCAATGTCAGATCCATTATGTTGACCGAATTTAAAAGCCTCCAATTTCACTGCGCTGCTAAGCACAGGAATCTGCTAAGCACGGAAAATATTTGCTTAGCAAACACGGGTTACCAGCCAAAATCTCATGCAATGTATATGGCGTGTGACTGGTAATCAGCTGATTTCTGCTTAGCACGTTACTCTGCTTAGCAATAATAAGACGCTTAGCAGAAACTATCCCTCGTTTTGGGGTATATACTCTATCCCATGAAAAGAGTGTTTTTGAACAGTGAGAGTATGGGCTTACCTAGCCATGTTCGTCCGAGGTATAAGGAGACAAAGATGGGTGGTATTGTAAAGAAGTCCACAATGGAGTTCCATGTTAGCCAGAACCAAAACTTGTCTGGTGCAGCGACAAACTGAGAAGAGGAAAATGATGCAAGTTTGAGATTTGCATATATATAAAGACGTTGGTACCCAGTTACCATATTAATTTTGTGACCTGTCACCAAAGAATGAACAGAAGTCAAAAAGTTCCATAGGTACAAATTAAAGTCTGTCACGAGCCAATATGGCCCATCAGACCTGCGTTTATCTCCGATAACAGTTGAATGAAATGACTGAAAATATTTCGTACACCATGGGATGCTAGTCCATCGCAGGTTACTCCCCAGCTAATGCTGATACCCATTTATACTCCTGGGTGGAGAGAGGCAAGTGGGGATAAACTGGCTTGCCCAAGGACACAACATATGACCAGCAGCTGGATTGGAACCCCTGACCCTCTGATCATGAGTCATGAATCCTAACCACTTGGCCACTACGACAAAGATCACTAAGAATAAAGATCACTGAGATAAAGTTCACTAAAAGATAAAGATCAATGTTTACAAATAATCTACATGCCTTTTCCTGTTTAATACACTATGTGTTTGGTTTTACTTTTCTATTCACGCATCTTCTTTTTTTGTTTAATTCTTTTCCCTTTCACATCGTCCCTTTCACTATTGCTGCAGATAACTGTACATGACTTCACCAAAAGCAAAGTATTTCAGGCAAAACAACTTGACTGCAAGATCTCTGGAACAATAAATCGATAAAGATAACGATCAGTGTTTACAGTGGTAATATCCTTTCTAACACACTTTCTCTTTGCGTTTGTTTTCTTTTCACGTATCTCCTTACATATTATTTAGTTTTCCTTTTATACTTTCCCTTTCACGGTTGCAAAGATAACAGAACATGACTTCCCCCGAGGCAAAGTAATTCAAGGAAAATAACAATTGCAAGATCTTTGGAACAAGCTAGGAATCTAAATTTGTCGTGTTTTACACTTTCTCTTTCTCGTTACTTTGCAAAGGTAAATGTACGTGACTTACCCGTAAGGCAAAGTACAGCAAGAAAAAAAAGTTGAACGTGAGATCAATTTGGAACAAGATGTCCTGGGACAGTATAAAACACCTCTCAATGGGCCTGTGAGAAAAAAAAAGACAAAGATTGAGAATCGATACGCAAGAATTGAACTTGTTTGACTGATTGAGAGATTAAATGTTGACGTCAGGCATGGGCTCCATGCACACATTACTCAATTACAATGAGAGAGTTAGACAGTACTCTTTATTTCCGTCGTCTGTCTGGCACTCTCTGAAAATGCTGTAGGTCTGTGTACAGTCAGAATAAATTGAATTGTGCGTACTTTGCAGCATATGGGCTCGAATCAGTGTACGCATGCAATGTGTTCCTCCCATTGAGTGTTCATAAGTGGTCAGAGACAGTGGCGCACCTGGGGGGGGCTGGCTTGGGGGGCTTGAGCCCCCCCCCACTGAGATTTTAATTTTTTTTGTGGTCCCACGATTTTACCTTGGTGATATGTATGTGGCCTTTTTTCAAGTAGGGGTGTAAGTGGCGCCATCAACTTCCAAATAGTCCACCCCCGAAAAAAACTCAAATTTTTCTCTGCGGCCAAAAATTGTGGGCAACATTTTTGAAACAAAATTTGAGCCCCCCCCCCCACCAAATCCTGGGTGTGCCACTGGTCAGAGAGCGCCACCTATGGTGCATGCACAGAGCCCATAATTCTGAGGGACAGGGGTTTTCCCCCCATAACAGTAAAACATCAAATTTGTCTCATGTCAGTAATTGTTGATTGCGTGGTCTTTTTCTGAAATGATCCATGTCCGTCTGTTATCACTGTATGTCAGTCTGCTCATAAGTGCAATTTCTCTCAACTTTCTTCTGTAAACATCATCTTCATCCAAATACATCTAGTTCTTGTTCATTTTTCTCAACTTCTATCTCACCATATTCACAACCTATGAGTGACTATTTTCAAGTACAAATTCCCCAAATCAGTCAGGTAATAATCAAGCAATTTCTTTCTAAGGGCCTTGTCACAAAAGGCCACATTTAAGACAATCTCAAAGAACAAAACAATAGGCTAAGTTTGAATCCAGCGCACCCATGGACATTTCTGTTATCTACCGGTACATATTGGGACAAGGAACTCAGTCGAGGTTGTTTTAGCTTACAGACGTTTTGATTGCCTGCAAGTTGCCTGCGAAAATGACACAGTATGGGTTGGCCTTCAAACTGTCAGACCTTGCAAGTTTTTTGCCTTACAATTGTTACATTCAATTCAGTTTCCTTATCTTGTCATAAGAATTATCTTCACAAACTAATCAAGATATAAATGAACTGCACATGTACATGTTCTCACAAAAAAACACCTTCACTTCATTCAGCCGACATTTACATTTAGCAGTTTGACTCAAGAATGTATTCAAGACTCCACATCAAACTCAACTGCACTTTATTGATGACAGTACCTCCAGAAAATCAACTTGGTAACAGCTCTAAAAAAGAAAATCCTTTTTTGCTGACAAAGACTTTATGCTGGACTAGACTTCCTCAAAACAATTTTAAAAAGACCTCCACTTTTTTTTTTTCATCATCAAGCATTTTTCACTCTGTCATTGCATGTACTATATTTGCAGTCTGCACGTCATCCTAAACCTTACTTAAAGATGAGTGCACGACAAACAACATAATCAGTGTTTTCCTAAGTTGTTTTAATTTTATTTGTCCGTAAGCAAACAGCGTTAATCAGTCTTGTCTGCTCACGTCTCGCCGAAGGGCGACGTCCAAACAGTCATTGAAGCTTTTCATCCTCTTAATGGATACACCCCTCTGCCTAACAGCATTTACCATGTCCGTAATGCAATTCTCTCCGCCGTGGCTTTCATAATCCTGGCAGATAATCATTTTATTGCCTTCTGCAGCGCAAAATGGTTTTGAAAAGATTACAAATTGTTCGGGCGGAGTTGTTGTGACTTTAGGGGAGAGGTGGTTTATGGAATTTGTTTGCCAAGATTTCTCAAGGTGAATCCAAAATGAGGAAGTTGGCACTTGCATAACCTTTATTCCTGGATAAAAAGTGAAATTGTTACATGAAGCTTCCAAACTTGTCAAAGGCAAATAAAGTAGTTGAGTAGTCAAGTCTGCCACAAACAAATGTGGCCCATCAGGCCGGTGTTTCTCTCCGGTTTCAGTAGTATGAAACTACTGAGACTATTTCTACTCCCCCCTGGATGGGATGTTAGTCCATCGCAGGTTACTCCCCAGCTAATGCCGGTACCCATTTATACTCCTGGGTGGAGAGAGGCAAGTGGGGGTGAAGTGGTTCGCCAAAGGACACAACATATGGCCAGCAGCTGGATTGGAACCTCTGACCCTCCGATCATGAGTCACAAACCCTAACCACTAGGCCACACTCCCCCGCAAATAAACCAATCTGATATTAAGGATGTTTTGATCTTGTGTTTATATCTGAAAAGATTATGTAAACATATTCTTTGTTTAGAACAGGCTGTCAAAGCTGTTAATCAAATGTGAAAGTGCAGCAAATTAAACTGTTATTTATCTTGAGGAACATTTCCCTCGAGTAAAATTAATGTTATTGTTCTCTTTTTTCCCCCCATTTCATGTACTTTCTCTGTTTATTTTTTATGGGGGACGAGGCACGTTTAAGAAACATCAGCAACTACCAGAATCAGAGACGCATCTTATTATCATGACCCAATCTAAAATTTAATCTACTCTTCAGTCCATGTCCAATCGGCACAATTGGCAACAGTCGTCGTAACCAATTTTGGCTGCCGTTAAATGCAATCAAGTATTGGATTTCAAGGAGATACTGCCATAGCAACACCATGGCAACCAGAATTATTATTTTTACATGTATAAAGATTGAATATTCGTACTGCGGCTCTTTGATTCATGTGGAACACTTCACTCTGCACATTAACAATACAAGCCTACCATCTGCACAGATTTGTCAAAAGTAAACAACCTAACCTCCCCCGAGAACATATTTTCATATTTTTTTATTTCTTTTACGATTCCTCATATGTGATCAACACTTTAATTTTAGTACTGTTTTAGGTATTCAAAAGACATTAAGAGAGTTGCTGGTATTTTGCAATGATGTAATGACTTTTTAAACGCATTATCACTCGGGAAGTAACACACTGATACTATGATTATACGTCAGTGAAGGGCAAAACCTAATATTGATTTAAACCCATTATCGTTATGAATCTTAAATTTAATCTTAAATTGTAGACTTGAATTTTTTGTGAGAAATAAACTTGGTCAGATAACAATTAGATTTAAGCCCAACACACGCCAGTTTTCTTTACGGGTTGGGTTTATTTAATGATAAAATTCTATAGACTGGACAATTTGTACAATTCTGTGGAAAAATCATTGGGAAAAATTTAATAAACTGCCCCACTTTCCCAGTATCGCATTCTATAAATAAAACAGTTTATCATGTATAGGTTACACTTAGCGTGAAGGAGTGACATGTCAAATTTTTCTATCAAATGACAAATTTTAAGATAACATCATCCTGACAGCCAGTATTTTTTTTTTTTTTTTTTGGTGTAAATTTACTATTGTTAAAGGTAATATACACCATTTGCAAACATCAAAAAAAAAAAACTACCAAAATTATTATGAAATACGTTACTTGACTGTAAGTGAATAATAGTCTCAAGCACCCTGTGAAGTCATGGCACTTGCTGTGCTGTCATTTTCAAGAAATCTCAATTTCCAACTGACTATTCTTCAAATACTGCCCCAAATTTACCAAATTTAGTTAGTCCACATTTGGTTTGCAATCAGTTACACATCCGTGAACGGGTACAAGCCAGCTAGTCTGGTTCCTGAACCTGACAATTCCCCGACATCTATAAACTGCTCCATTTCGTCTGAAGTACAGGTTGGGTCAAGGAACCAGACTACAAGAACAGCATTTTTTTCTTGCTTTTTTCAGGCATCTATCATGTGAACACAGAGCTTTAAGCAGGTCAGTATAAAAATATTTGCTATAACATACTAAACCCCCAAAATCCATCCAATTCCGAAAATTTCAGCAAAAGCAAATGTTGTATATTACCTTTAACCGGGCTACTGGCTCATCATAATTTCAAGCAATTTATCAATATTGCAATGTAGGTTCAGGTGGGCATTTCATTATTAAAAGGAATGACGGCACTAGTCATGAAATAATTATGGAAAAGGATGATCGAGTGTTAGGAGGGTCCCAATTCATTTTGATGGCTTGATAAAATACAGAATCAACCCCTGCTTCAGAGAAACCTCGCCTTCCACCTCTGTGGCCCCGGTTCGATTCCTGCCCTGGTCCACATGTGGATTGGGTTTTCAGTCCCTACCTGATTCTGTGGGTTTTCCCCAGAATATTTTTCTCGGGTTTTCCTCCCACCTCTAAAACTGTGATTTCTTCTTCATTGTCTTCTTTCTACAGGTTTCTTCAGGCTTGTGAGCTCCAGTGCCTAGGGTACTTTTTTGAGAAATCCTTGGTCTCATATGATTACTAAAAATAAAATACAAAAATAATGCTACCGTAGCATTATTTCGACAGAAACACATCACAAGTGTTTTGTGTTTATCACGGAAGGGTTGTCGAACGAGCAGATTGGCAGTGCCTCCCCAGTTATTTAGGCATAACTGCATCGTGATGTCTTACCGCCTGCCAACAACATAAAGCTAAAAGCCCACATAACTGTGAACGTTGTGCAATTTGATTCTGATCACGGACGTTCTGACGAACCTCAAGTACAGCCTCGCAGATGATGGTGAAGCAACGCCCATCACCTTCATGCATCGCTGGGATTCGATGACGCCCGAATGAGCCAATTTATCGTAAGATCTTGGACAATGATGGGTCTCTGGGGAAAATGAGCGCACACGCGCTGATCGAGGGCCGCTGGTTTTGCATAAGAAAGTAGGAATGGTCTTTGGAATTGCAAATTTGGCGTCAAGATTGGACTACTGATAAATACTGAGGTGAAGGCCTGTGAATATAATGACTTGTTTAACAGGAAAATCATGGTCAAAAATGCTCCCAAATCACACTTGAACTGCTGATGTTTATTTTTTTTTAAAGCTTGGATTTAAAAAGCTTGATTCTTGCAAGTTAATGTTCTGAACCAGAAAGTCAAATTAATTCACACTATTTGAAGGACATTTCTACTTGCACAATTTGTTCCTGCATTTTTGATATTGCATACTAAATACGGCATTTAAAAATTATTCAAATATTTATTTTGTTGTTTTTGCTTTTTATATTATATTATTTATATTTTTTTATGTTATTATTATTATTATTTTTTTGTTGGTGGTGGTGGGGGGGGGTGTTTAGTAGTAGTTTCAAATTACACTTTATGCATGCAACATTAAAGATGGACTGTACCTGATCAATAACAAGTTCAATTTTGTTCTCACTGTTTGGTTTTAAGAAAAAGAAAGATTTTTTTCTCTCTTCTGGGCATCTGCAACCCTTTGGCTTTTACCAGGCATGCAACTGGGAATGTAGAGAGAGAAAAAGGAAAACCCAAAGTACAAAAGACTTTTGTACAGTGGTTTTAAATTTGTAATGACATTCGTGAGAAGTCACAAAAAGAGGAAATCAGCGGATCCAAGGAAAATTGCATGCCTGTTTTACTTTGGGCTGCTTTTGGGCACAGACAGATCTGCTTTGTGAGTAGACTGATTACCAGTCCCTACATTGTCGATTGTGATCGGGGATTGGAACCAGTGAACCTCGAAAGAATTGAATTATTGTCAGGCTGCAAATAAATAAAAATTTGCAACGTAAATATTTCCATAACTAACATGGGTCGAGTTTTTTGTGTGTTTGATGTCTCAACTTTCGGACAGCTAGAAAATAGCGAATAAAAAAAATTCTATTTTTTTTTTGTCTGAAACTTGAAAATTGCACTGACAGTGCATCTTTAATGACATTACACTTTTAGACAACACTTGATTGCATCGAACCGTAATCTGCGAGCGCAACATTATCGCATCGCCTTCAGACAATTAGGTCACATTCAGCTCACCATACGGGCATCTCAATGCTCACTTCGACACCACAAGCCTGGTGTATTATCAATGCCCCAACGGTCACGGCACAAGTCTTTTTATTCACATTTACGGCATGCGGGTCAACTATCATACTGGCCGCGGCGAATAATCAATTTCTGGGGTCCAGGATGTTTCTTCCCATTTCACGCATGCTGCTTGTAGGTCTTTTTCGTTTCAGTGGCGATCTACGCATTCACCGAGGAAACGGTCGTTCGGGTGCCGGGATATCACATGTACGCTCCATCAAGTCCTGTCCACGCCGGTATTGATCATGACCGTTGCCACGACAACAGGCTGTCGTCGATAGCAACTGTAGAACTGCAATATCAATCTCTGTTGCAGCTGCGCAGCCGCTAACTCAATAATTCCGCACACTCCCTGCCAAGACATTTGAAATTACATCCACGCATTTTCATGAGAAATGTTAGCTCTCACACCACCTCATACATTGTATCTCATGCCTCCAAGGCCATGCACATCAATACAACTTTAAAATTGTTTTGATAAGGTGATCTTTCACCATCATCGCTTACAATGTTGCCCACACCACTGTCCCCTCGGTACTTCCAAAATTCGATAGCACATTTCAGCTCCGATCCATCTTCTCCACCCCTGATCCTGCTTTTAATAGTTCACCGGGACCCAGCTGTATCCAAAGACTGGTTTTTTAGTCTGTCTGCTTTGTTACCAAAAAAAGGTCTGTCCATTGGCGCTCGTTTTTACTAAGTGTTATAGGCCAAGGCTGAAATGCTTTCAAGCATACCGCTAAACAGCTGTGAGTTAAGTACAACTAAAGTAGACCCTTTTATTCCAGTATCTCTCCTTAAGTACAGGCAGACACTCTCTTTCCAATATCTCTCTTAAAGTGCCGTAGGTGTAGATATACTCTCTCCAATACCTCTCCAATAGTACAGGTAGACACTCTCTCTACCTCTCTCCACTGTCACATAAGTATACCAATTCCTTTTGCCACACTGACATCCGTTTGCTCAATTTTTGTATATTCACTCCAACCACTATCATTAAGAGTGGTGTCATTTCTGATGTGGCAGTCATCAACCTGACATCGTCACATCAGATTGTCATTGTCACATCAATGTCATTGTAGGCACATGTATGTTTCCCCAAGTTGTCACCTCCGTCTGTCATGACATGCTGTCAATTGTCCCTCTTTAGCATTACTGCCTTGACGCTGTCATTAAGATGGGAAAATTCATGGACACAAGTCAAGTCCACTGTCCTAGTCCTTGTCACTGTCATTGTCAATTTCAGTGTCCTTGTCAAGGTTAATGTCAACTCCAATGTCCTTGAAAATGTCAAAGTCGTTGTCAATTCTAATGTCCTTGTCAATGTCACTGTCAACTCCACTGTCCTATTCAATAATGAAACAGCAAACCATTTTAGAATATTGAAAGCGAATTTAAGGGCAATTCCGTAAATGCATGTCAGACACTTTTATGAGTTGCTGTTGGAAAAGTGACTGTCATACGTGTAAATATCACTAATATGTGACATCTAATGAGCAGAAAACAAAATTTACAGACCAAACTAAGGTACCACCACCTTGTACGTGTACATCATGTGGCCGGATGTACGTTGGAATTTACAGAATTGCCCAGAAGTTATCATTCTTAGATCTTTGTGCAAGCGAACCATTTGCATTTCAATGCACACGCACGCTCATTTTCATAAAAGATTTTTTTTTCTCTCAAACACTGTGAACATCTTCTATCATATGCATGTACATGTAAGCATGGAGATATTCCTCCATCTATTGGAGCAAAGTCCAAAAATGTTCAGGCAGTTATTTAAGCATTTTTAGTTCATGGAATTGCACAAAAATCATTCAAACTTGCAGATAAAAAAAGCTTCTTTTTTTTTTTTCTTTTTTTCATCATGCATAAAGCAAACAGTGCAAGCAGGCTTCAAGCAAGGCTTTTTAGCAAGCTTGGCAAAAACAAAATTCTAAAAAAAAAAAAAAATCCACACAAACACTTCAAAGAAACATGATCTAGTCTGGATCCGTCTGCCATTCTATCTCCCTGTGCAGATTGGCATAGCCGCAGGGGACGAAACACTTGAAATGGCAGACGAATCCAGGATATTACATCATAAGCCACACACTTACTGGGAGACCTGCAGCAGATATATTACAAACGACGCCACGCTTATGATGAAGACAACAAGAACCTGGGAGGCGGGGAGGCGGGGAGGCGGGGAGCAAGACAAGGATTGAAAAAAAAAAAGGAAGAAAGAACACCAAACAGAGAGAGAATGAAATCAAAGGGATATAAGACAAAGGGAACAAAAGGAGTTGAAGGAGATTTCCATTCAAAAAAAAGGCAGGGGAAAATAAAGAAAGTATCCAAGCGCACAAGGAAGACGTAGAGAGGAAAACAAGAAAAGAGAGAAATTTTACAAGCACGCCAGACGACATGGGGGGATAAAAGAAAAGAAACGAAAAAAGGAAAGGTATAAAATTATAAATACATGTTCAACTAAAAAACATTGCATCAATTTCTCACTTCTACCGAAATTGAAGAAGAACTATATAAAACTAACATATTTCATACTTTTCCTATAGCACAACATGTACAACCAAATATTGTGTCAATTTTTCACTTCTACCAAAATTGAACAAGAATATAAAACTAAGATATTTAATACTTTTACTACGAATAAAAAATTAAGAAATTCACATTTCTAAAATGGAGGGTAGGCCTACATGTACAATATCTTACAAAATATATTTAAAATGCTCAGCATTCTGAAACTGTAATGCAAATATTTCCATACAGTTCTTACGATTTGTGTACAAAATGTGTGTACTGTATACCGATACAATGTATTTGTAGTACACTAAAAAAGGTTATGCAAATGTTCTGTACATTTGTGTACTTGCGAATATCCATTATTCCACAGATTATCAATGAAGCGTTTCCGATTCACATATGTCGTATCGCATTTCATCCAGTATCAACGCAATGCCAACTGATTTCATTATTTGCCCAGTTGTTTTCACACACCAACGCAAACATTTTTCCTTTTGTTTGCTCTCCAAACAGAGCGCCTGGACAGTGAAATCCAGCACATAAAAAAATATGCAAGTGCCAACAGAAGGCTTTTTCGCAAATAAAATAAACAAGTGAATCCATGCGCTGTTTCAGCTATCACCGGTCTGGATGATTGTCCTGGCTCTGTCGAGCGAAAGTGGCAAATGAAACAAATCTGATAGTTAAAAACTAATCCCGTTCATCTATTAAGAGACTCTTAACTGTCTGTTCTGCTTATCAATCACTCATAACATACTCTCTATGATTATCTGCTTTGACAGAAAATTGCCGCATCGGTAAGGAAATAATTTGCCGGCACGGCGGTGTATCTCCGCGGTAATCCTCACTGCTCCCGGAAGACGGACTTTGAACACAGAGATGCAAACTCATCCTCTTAAGAATGGAGCAATTTAACTGGGAAGACATTAAGTGCATGGCGACTTCATCGTTGCCGTATCTTAGCAACGGCTCATCAAGGAAATCCGCCTCCTGATAAACGCAACCTTCCAAATCGGTTACTAGTATTTAACAGAACAGTAAATCATGGAATTTAGTCCTTTCATTATTTTTGGACAAGTTACATTAATTTTTGACATCTTTATCAAGAGAAAAAAATGTTGAGAGTTACACATGATTACCAAAGTGCATAAATGACCCTCATCCTTATTTAGTACTCCTTGACGGACTCAGGTTTGAGATCAGATAACCTCATTTCAACAGCTCTTGTCAGTACTTGCCTTCACAGACGTCGCCAGAAGAAGGGGGGGGGGATAAAATATTGCAGAGAGACCTGTCTTTGCTGGAGGGTAATTTCCTTCCGCTCTGTACATCCTCTTCTTTTTTTTTCTCAAAATCTTTTTAATTTATGAAATGCTATGCAAAGATAACAGAACCTTATTACGACATACAAAATCGTTGCCTGTAAGATTTTTCTGACACTACGGGTACGTCAAAAATTTAAATCGAACCAAGAGGCTTTTATTCCTTTTACAATAACAATTTAAACAATCGTGGAAAATTCAAATTTGGAGAGAAACAAACTGTGCAGATGGCAAGATTACCGTGAACATGCTGTGCACTGAGGAAACCACAGGCAACGAAGGAAAAACAAAATTTAAACTGATCAAAAACAGAAAGGCAAATGAAGATCGTGTCGTGAGAGAGCAAATAGAAACAAAATGTACACATATTCAGCTACTTGCAAGTGGAAAAAACTGCTGCCATGCGTTCCCCAAGAGAGAGAAAGAAATTCCCCCACCTCATGACGATGAAAAAACTCACCTGTGTGAATCCGCGATGTAAATGACAAAGGATCCTATGCAAAGTATGAAATGGACCAAAACCTACCAGGGTGCATTATCATTTAGAACACCCATGAGGTCGAGGGTGGTGAGGCAGCATGAAGTACATGTAGGAGTGGTGATTGAAAAAGAAGACGAGGTGAAAAAAAAGGAGAAAAATGTACACCGTTAGAGAAAAATAACACTTGAAATAGTGGTATTAGGCATCCCGACACTCATAATCATAGTTAGATTTTTAATTTCAGAATAAAGAAATTACTTACATTTACAATGTATTGTATGGTAACATATCTGGCAAAGCTATTACAAAATTTATATTTTGGTCATTCTATAACTTTAGTGTCCAAGGTGTGACATTTTTCCTGTCCCTGTTACCTTGGTACTTTGTAATTTACCATTCAAGCATCATTAAGAATGACTTCAAATGATATTTATTATTTGTACTTTGTACGTAAATTGCTATCCGTATCCGTAATAACTCTCGGAGGACAACTGCATTTAGGAGTTATCAGAATTATCAAATCATAAATGCCAAAGTGTAACAGGGACAGGAAAAAATGGGACCCTAAATTTATAGAATGACCCATATTAATCTGTAACATTCAATTCGGCAATATTCTTTAAGTTTTAGCCCATGTTACTGTGTTATATACATGTACATGTACAATGTAGAACCATTAAAATGGTGTGGGTAAGGGATACGTGGCTCAGAAAAACTAGCTGGTTATATCACCATTTCGTGTTTTTGCTGTAAATTTCACCAGACCCACACATCTTAATATTTTGATGTGAAATGCACATTGTCCATGATGTGTCCCAGGAAATTATCACGCAAATACATGTAAGCCATTTTGGTGCGCATGCACACAATGATATGGGTCACAGGTTATTCGGGATAATCAAATGTTTCGAAGGCACATGACCAGGGGCGCGCAACGCTTGCATACCAGCAGAATGGGCGTGCATGTAACATCATGTAACATCGCGTAACATCACGTCAGTGTTGTTATCCTGAATGATCATTGAAATTCCTGGCTCATTGATGATTTAACAAGCTAGTTTATTTTGAGCAGCATGTACTGGTAATTGTATCCCTAAAATACCAGCAGAATGGGGGTGCACGTAACATCGCGTAACATCACGTCAGTGATGTTATCCCGAATGACCTCGGGTCATTGAAATACATGTACATGTACCTGGTTTGTTGGTGATGTAACAAGCTACGGTAGTTTATGACCTCGGGTCATTGAAATACATGTACATGTACCTGGTTTGTTGGTGATGTAACAAGCTAGTTTATTTTGAGCAGCATGTAATGGTATGTCTCCCATACCCGCATCACTGGCTACACGCATGATGCACCAAATGAATGCTTTTCTTTACATAATTTAACAAACCTCTGAATTGCTCCCCTGAATTGCTTTTATAGCCTTATGATTTTGCGGGGTATGATTCCACAGGGTAAGTGCACGCATGAAAGACATTTTCACAATTATCTCTACACCGATTTAACGGTACGATGTAAAACATTAATCACGCTGAATGAGTGTTTAGTACACTGTAGTATACTATAGAAATATTGAATGCTTCGAGTGGTGTAGTAAAACTAGCCTCCCGAGGTGATCCATGGACATTCTATTTTCCCAAGGCGAAGCCGAGGGAAAATAGAATTTTCCATGGATCATCGAGGGAGGCTAGTTTTACTACACCACAAGATAAAGCATTCAATATTTGTTTTATACATGTAACACTTCTCCCACAGATTCTGCTTGATTTTAATATTTTAAATTATTTAAATCTGAACACAGTTGAAATAAACTTCAATTTCAATACAAAATTGGTGGAAAATGTATTTCTCTCTTACAAACTACCCCTTCACGAAATGTTTGAACCCAAGTCTGCAGCGCTCTCTCTCTTTGGAACAATACGTGCTACGCGCACACAAGCATCCATTTGCACACAAATACCGCGCCGTGGAAATAGTACTTTGGTTGCCAATGGTATAGTACTTTGGTTGCTACGGGTATAGTACTTTTGGCCGTGCACCGAAAAATAGCAAAATTTGAAAGTAACATGTGACTCGCTCTCGGCCAATCAATTAAGACACAGAATCTGTGGGTGAGGTGTTATAAAACCTTTTATTTACACAAAATCTATTTACTAAACAGCACCCGAAACCGAAACCGCCCTGCCTGTTTCTCACTGTATAGCACCTGAAACCACCCAACCACTCCATGGTTTTATTGATTTTTCAGTTAAAAATACAATGTAATACAATGAAATCCAGGTGGTAAAGGGTTTACCTGAGTAATTGTAAAAACTATTGTACAAATATTGTGTACACACATCCTCACAGATGTTACATTGTAAACTGTCTGAAAACATTCTTATTGAGCAAAAACGTTGTCATTGTTTTGTACATTGTACATTTACAGACATATGTAATGTACACATGACCCTATGGCAAATTATTTATGAACGTCCTTGTATTAAATGTACATGTGCTCATCCACAAATGTTCGCATCCACTGCATATATTTAAATATCAAACGTAAAAAAAAAAAAATAGATAAAACTAAAAACTTATGATTATTTAGTAAGATACCCTTTACTGACCAAACACAATGCATGTCAATCACCGTACAATGCTAATTACGTTCAAGTTCAAGTATTTCTTGAATAAATATCGTCAAATATCTGTTAGCAGGTCAGTACATTTGGTGATGAGTAATACACAATTTTCACTACCGTTACCCAAGCTTCCCAGTCAATTAGTGCTGAGAAATGGACAGGTGTTTTCAGGCCTGTCTGTGAAGCAGGTCAAGAGGAAGCATAC